ACAAATTCCTGCAAAGATTCAGATGCCCTGGGCACACAGATTCTGCAACGTTCATAAGATTTCAAAGAACTCAGCCCACTCCATGCCGGAAGAGACAGGGCCCACTAAGGCACTAAGTGGCCCAGGCTGGCCTTGGACTTGCAGTCCTCCTCAGCCTCCCAGATTCCGGGCTCTCAGGTGTGAGCCACCTCACCTGGCAGGAAGCATTTCTCAGAAACAACAGGGTCAGCTGGACCTCCTGGCAGTGGGGTGCTGACTCCCTGGGTGCCTCCTGGAGAAAGAGGAATGTGCTCTGTGTGCTTCTGAGCAAAGTGTGGCCAAACACAGCCCCAGAAACCCCAGGCGGGGGCCAACATAAGAAAGGCATCAGGGTAGAATTCCAGGCAGAAACGATCAGGTGCTCATTTTATATTATGTAAGAGGGATGCTCGGTGCTGTGCTTTGCAGCAGGGTCTCACTGCATGTCCAGGCTGGCCTTGGACTCTCAGGCACAAGTGATCCCTCTGCTTCAGCCTCCTGGGTCACTGGGGTGGCAGTGCACCATACTCGGCTTCTAGAGGAATTTCCGAGAAAGGGAGATGCAGGGGCTGGACCTGCCGCCCAACCTGGCAGCACCCGCCCTCCCTGCACAGTCCTGGCCCCAGAGAACCAGAATCCCTTTCCTTCCCGGCCAGGCAGCAGACCTGCACCCAGGGGCCTCCGGGCCTGGGAGAGATGGCCGGCCGAGCAGGACCAGGCACCGTGTCCGGGCCCAGCCTCTGCATTCCACCTGCCAGCCACCTCTCAGCCAGAGAAGAAAGCAGGGCCATGTGAGCGGGCTGTCCTGGCCGTCCGCTCCTGTCCTGGTGTGGACGCGACCCTGCTCCCGGGGCCGCTGCACTGGCCTGGACTCTTCTTGCCCACTAGCAGCCTCCTATTGAGGAGCATAGAGCCTGGGGTGCTGCAGGGCGTGTGGCCCAGGGCTCCAGAGCTGACTGAGGCCCCCAGTGCCGCCCTGGCCTGGGAGCCGAGCTTGCTGCCCGTTTCCTACCTGTTCCTCTGGATTTTGTGCCTGAAGCACCAGCAAGGCCCCTGCCCCTGGCTCCTTCCCCCCCTGCACACCCGCTCTGCCCCCAGAGCTGCTCTGAGGCTCCCGGTGCTGCCACCTTGGCCTGGGGAGAGGACGCACAGGGAGACAGGCAAGATGAAAATGCCAGTTAATGACCGACACAGGGCCGGACTAGCGACAGATGGCACAGCCGCAGGCTTCAGGGTGGCTGTGACTCCAGCATCCACCCTTGCCCGCGCATCCACCGCCATGACAGCCCATCCACTGGCCTCGACGGTGGGGGTGGGATGCCAAGGGAGGGGACGAGGGTCAGGGAGGCTGGGCAGAAGGGGGCGCTTGGAGAAGGCAGGACACAGACAAGGCCAACAGTGGCTGCTGCAGATGGGGAACAGGGCCAGGCAGCCTCCTTCAGAGCTAGCTGCAGCAGCAGCTGCCCCACAACCAGCCCGTCCTCCAGTTCCTGGGCCTGCGCTGCACCCAGCAGACCACCAAAACCCAGCACCCAGCACTCGTACCTGGCAGCACCCAGCACCAGTATCCAGCACCATTGGCCCCAGACCCGGTCTCCCACAGGACCAGCAGGCTCTCCTCGCCATGCTGCCCTACCTGCCCTGCCGAGGAGAGCCAGAGGCCCTGAGCCTGCACACAGAAAGGCTGTGCTGCTGAGGGTGCCGCTTCAGGGTCCCTGGATGCCGGCAAGGCCACTGGCTGCTGAGTGAGGGCCACACCGAAGGCTGCCGAGGCCCCAGCACAGGCGGGCAGGCAGGGTCTGGCCCGACAGGCTAACGGCTTCCTGCATTGGCCGGGTCCCCACTCTGGCCCACGCAGCACTGCAGGGACGACTCGGGAGCACTGACGGTGCACACAGCCCCGCACCCCGGGGCAGGGAGGCCAGGGCACCGCTCACCTGAGCCCCCCTGGGCGGGGTGGGGCTCTCAGTCAGCCCTGGATGTGATTTGCCAGTCGGTCTGCCAGTTGGTTGGCTGGAGGATGGAGGCTGTATGGAGCTTCCTGAACCTCCCGGCCCTAAGTGCCAGTGTCCCCAGCCTGCCCTGCAGGGCGAGGCCTGAGCTGCGAATGCATGCGGAGCTGTTTCCAAAGACGCTTCACCCCCACAGGATCCTGCGTGAGCAGGGACACAGACGGGCTTCCTCGGCAGAGCTTCGGGCCGGAGCTGAGGGGGAGCCATCTGGCAGCGCTCAGGAGGCGCCTCCCTCAAGAGTCCTCCAGCCACCCAGGATTTGGGGCAAGAGGCAACTCTGCCCAGCTGAGAGCACACAAAGCACGAGTGTTGGTGCTTCAGCCTGAGTGTTTGCGCTGCCTGCTTGGCAGGGAAGGAGGAGGACACCCCGCCTGCTGAGGGCTCATGGTCAGGGCCCTGAAAACCAGCACTTCCCACTCAGCACCTTGCCCCTTGACCGGGGGTCCAGGTGCCCACCTTGGCCCTCACCCCCCCCAGCCACTTCTGCCCCAAGATGCCTCAAAAGAAGCCCCAAGAGATTCACAAACACACCCACTGAGTTGATGGATGCCTGTCTCTTAGCTTCCCCTCTAGGGGTGTGATGTCAGACGGGGCAGCAGAAGCCACTTTGTGACTGAGAAGCAGGTTGAACATGAAAGCTGCACCAAGGACAGGAGTGGCACCTGCCACCACCAGGTCCCCGACTGCAAGGATGAGCCAGCTCAGGACACCCTGTCACCTGGCTACTTGGTCCAGAAGCATCTCCCTCACACACGCCCTGGACGTCCCCTCTGCCCCTGCTGCTTACTGTGGCCCAGCTCAGACTGAAGCTGCACTGTCCCTGGCTTTGAGGACTCGGCCTCACCTGGTCCAAGGGCAGGGAGCAGCAGACCCCCTGGAGACCCAGGCAGAGCAGACAGGGAGAGGTGCTGGGTCCTTGTCCTGCCTCAAGTGGCCTCATGTCCCCAGAAGGCGCTCAGTGCCCAGCCACTAGGCAGCAGAGCAGAGGCCCTCGGTACACAGAAGCCAGAGCCAGCTGGGGCCAAGGGGCACCAGGCCTGGGCTCCGGGGACGGCAGAGTCCAGGCCCCGGGCTGAGCTCCAGCCCCCAAATCCTAGCCACTGACCTCCTTAGCACAGCACCAATGGAGCCCAGCTGTCCCAAGCTCTTCCAGGGGTCCCCACGGCCTGGCAGGGGATACTTGGCAGCACAGAGGCTGGGCCGGCAGGCCTGGGCAGGAGCCAGCGGTGCCCATGGGCAGGGCCAAAGGCACCCAGCCAGGAGCAACCGGGCGCCTCAGGCTTGGCTCAGGTCTGGGCACTCCAGAGCCCCGGACACCATGTGTCCCCGCTGCTCCCCCTAGGCAGGGAGACAATCTGAAGGTCGAGAGTGGCCAGGTTCAGTCAGGCCCCGTCCTGGGGACCTGAGGTGAAGATTGCCCCAGGGTCCTCCCCCGGCCTTGGATCTCCGAGGTCCGAGTACCACCATTAGCACACGGTCCAGCCAGACTCTGCTCCTGGTGGGCTCGTCTCTCTGTCTCTGTTTCTGTCTATTGCTGTCTGCGTCCCTCCCTCCCTCTGTCAGAGCCTCCTCTGTGTCCCTCTGTCCCCTGTGTGCCCGAGTCCATTTCCTTTCTTCCTCGGTCTGTTTCTGGCTGTCCTTTCCCTTCTGTCTCTGTCTCTCGGGGGCCTCCTCTGGCTGCCCAGTGTCAGGCTTGCTCTGCCCCTGGCCTCTGTCCACTTGTGACCTCCATCTGGATTCTGCTCCTTCCCTCCTCTGGCGCGCGCGCGCGCGCGCACACACACACACACACACACACACACACACAGCACTGAAAGTGATGCCCAGGGGTGGGAGGAGCCTGGAGCCCCAGTCCCAGTGGCGGTGGCCGCTCCCAATCAGAGCAGGGGAGCGCGTGTCCATCACAGTGCACACCCAGGGCAAATGTGTCTCCCACCTCGTGTGCCACAGCACCGGGCGCCCCAGCCTCCCTCCTCCAGCTCCCTGGGCACCAGCGAAGCCCACCCTGTCGCCACTGCAGGAGAAACTTTGGGCTGACGGGGAACAAAGAGGGAACCCAGGCTGGCAATTACCCAGCTAATTTCAGCTGTGTAGACAAGCAAATCAGCTATTCCGGTTTCCGCAAAGCCCACTTCAGGACCTGAATTAGCCGCTTAATTAATTATCTGGGAGCGGCCAGGGACTGAAAGAGCGGAGCAGGGTCCCAACCAGCGCAGGGTACTGGCCTGTCACACTGCAGTGACGTCACCCGCCTCCTCGGAGGCAGCAGCCTCCTCTTGACCACGGCAGGGGGGGAGCAGCCAGCATTCCTCTGGCCTGAGGGAGGTGCAGGTGTCTCCTCAGCCCCGTGTGGCCCCATCCCCTCCCTCTGGGACCCGCTCGAGCTGGGGACCGTTGGGGCAGGCACCTCTCACAGGAGCTCTGGGTGCCCCAGGCAGCAGCTCTGGGTCTGAGACCAGCCCAGGACAGTGCCAAGGCCCCCGGCCTGAAGTGCTTGTACCACCAGCTGCCAGCCTCTCTGCCCCGACCCCTGCTCCTCCCCAGAGCCTCCAGAAGGTCCAGTCCTTGGCCCGGCCTCTGGCCATGAGGATGGCCCTGGGCTGAGTGCGGACAGGGCCCCAAGTTCAGTGGCAGTCCCAGGCTGCACAGGCCAGCATCCAAACACACACAGAAGAGGCTGCCTGCGTCCTGCAAGGCTGAGTCACATAGCACCTTCTCCTGTGCTGTGTCCAGCCAGTCCTGGCTCCCTGGGAACTGTGCTGTCCCCACCCAGGTGAGTCCTGGCCAAAGGCCGCAGTTGGCTTTGGGCCACCCTGCTGCTGCGGCAGCTTCCCACCCCACCCCCCAGCTGCCCAGCCTGGACTTGGGTGCAGAGAGTCATGCGCACCCTCCCCTCTGTCCCCTGGTCCCCAGCACTGGGCACTGCCAGCGGGCTGGGGGGCACCTGCCTGTCCCTGCCCGCCCTCCTACCTCCCAGGGCCTGTTTCATCACAAACTCCATGCTGATGGCTTGGTTCCTCGGTGACCACTGGGTCAGACCTCACATGCGCGGAGATGGAGTCCCTGCTGGGGAGAGCACAGGGTCAGGACCCCCCCGACCCTCTGTGTCCTCTGGCCTGTGTGGGCCCCTACTGCTGGGCTTTGGGCCTCACACCTAGGATTGGGCAGCCCCAGACCCCAGCTGGCCCCAAGAGTTTTCCACCTGGCCCTGGGTTTCTGCAGCAGCTTTCAGCTGCTGCTGGGGGTCTCACAACTGGGGCCCGCAGAGGAGCCTGCTGCCAGCCTTCACAAGGCGGAGGCAGGGCCCAGGGCGTTTGAAGGTCGCTGCTTTGCTCAAAGCGGGCTCTGGTCCCCAGCCTCCTGGGTGGTCCTGGCCACGTGTGGGCCAAGGGTCTGCCTACAGGTCAGGGAAGGGGGCAGGCCCTTGCCCCCTTTCTGTGGTGGCTGACTGCCTCTGGAGGCCAGGCTCTGTCCCTGGCTGACTCCAGTGACCCCTACGACCCTCAGCACAGGGCTGGAGTAGAGGAGGACGGAGGGGGACAGAGGGTGGGATGCCAGGAGCAGGGTGACTGTGGGCCCTCCTGAAAGGCCACAGCGCTGCAGTGTCCCTGCCCTGAGGGGTCTCCTGGCGGGGAAGCCCGCTGTTTCGTGGTTGTCCCTACACAGCCGAGGGGACCCTCATGGGAACTCGGGGGTACCCCAGAGGCTGGTTGTGGGGCCTTTGCCGCAAAGCTGCTCTCTTCCAAACTTCGCCCTGGCTGGGGGAGGGGACCCGAGGGGCTCTGGCCAGGACCTGGGCTCTGCAGGCAGGCAGGGGGCTGGGCTGGTGGCCTCGGGTGTCCTGAGCAAGGGGGGAGATGGAGACAGGGGCGGCGAGGCGCAGGGGCTCCGAAGCAGCGAGGGGCTGCGGGGCTGCTTCAGCACCGCGCAGTGGACAGCGCCCGCCCGGTCGGGGGCCAGACGCGGGTGGAGGGCGTCAGGGGTCCAGGGGAGCCGCGTGCGGAGCGGGGTTCCGGGGGGCGACCAGGGACCCAGGGGCATCTAGAGGCACAGGGGGCTCCGGGTGCGGAGGGATAGGGGAGACAGGAGATGCAGGGGGACCAGGGGCGTCAGGCTGAGGGGTCTGGGGAGCGAGGGTCGCGGGGGTTCGCGGGGACCAGCTACCTCCTGGCGAGTCAGCGGCGGCGCGGGCTCCGGCTGGCTGGGTCCATGTGGCGGCGCTGAAGGGCAGGAGGAGGGCGCGTCACTGGGAGGGTCCGCCCCCCCCCCCCCGCGGCCCGCGTGACGAGAAGGGCGGGGCGGCGCTGGGAGAGGGACAGCTGCGCCCCGCCCCTGCGGCCGCCGAGACCCCCGGCCGCCGCCCCTCCGCCTCTGCTGGCAGCGGGCTGCGCGGCGGGCACAGAGCTGCGGACCGGCTCGGGGTCCCGGGCTGAGCCCCGCGCCCAGTGTCAGACAGGGGGCAGGGACGCCTGAAGGTCACTGCGGACGCCCGCCGGCCCCCTCCGCGGCCTGGTTTCCCCACGGCTGCGGCTGCACCACGAGGTCTGCTGGGGCCACCCCCACTCACCCGGGTCCTGCAGGACACGTCCGGTAGCGTGGGGGCGCTGGGCGTGCTGGGCCCCTGCCAAGGGAGGCTCCTGGCCACGCTGGACGATGCAGGGACACTGCGTCAGTTATCACCCAGCCCGGCGGCTGAGGCATTGGCCTCACCCTAGGAGCCCAATCATCTGTCCCTGGGCCCCCTCCCTGACCAGCAGGGACCCCACAGAGGTGACCCAGGCAGGGGAGACACCGAGGGGATGCTGGACGCTCCCAGGAGCCCCGAGCCCCATCAACGCCCAGTCTCCCTGCTCTAGGAGGGCGCCCGAAGCTGCAGGGCCCAGTGGCACCCGGCTGGCCGGGGAATTGTGTGGCACCCTAAACCTCACGCATCAGTTGGGGTCTGGAGGCACCCTGTAGGGTCACCTGCTCCCACACTGCCCAGCTTGCCAGCCCCCAGGTGGACCCCCCAGGGGGGTCGACCCAGGGCTGGCTGGACCCAGACAGCACCCCACGAGGTCCTGGGGTGGCTCTACACGGAGCCAGACCATCAACTCCCCGTGCCTTGGGCAGTTTGCTCGGTCCCAGTGGTACCAGGAAAGCTCAAGTTCCTTAGGATAGAAACATCCAGGGCCTAGGCTGGACCCCGAGGCCAGTCCCACCCTCCAGAGGCAGGCCAGGGGGACCTAGCAGTGACCCAGAGCAGGGCCCAGGGGACCCTGTGCTGATGCAGAACCAGCCATGTGGCCAGGGACAGGCACTGCCCAGAGTACAGAGGTTGGCATCAGCCTCAGACTCTGTCCCATCTCCTCAGTGCCTCCCCCCCCCCCCTTTTCATTTACCCACACAGCCGCAGCCCTTCTCAGCTCTCTTGCTCAGGCCTGCGCTGGACTGGGATTCAGCCCTGACTCAGCCATGACGAGGACCCTTCTGGAAGGGCTCAGGAAGGCCGTAAGTATCGAGGCCCCCCAGGGTGACATCGGGACCTGGGGGGGATGAGTGGGGGTGAGGTGGGGCCGAGGGTCAGTGAGCAGGTGGTGTGAAAGGTGATGGGGTGCTTCGGGGTTTTCTGGAGTCACTTCCGGCCCTGGTGGGGTCTGCTGCATCTGTCACAGGACTGATGCGACCCGAGGTGGCACCTGGAAACTACAAATGCAAACTCCACGAGGCAGCACCCGGCACCACACTGGGTGCCACCATTTCCTTCTAGATCTTCTCTTCTCTTGAGAGGCGACCGTGTGAGAAGCAGGGTGCAAGGCCGTCCTTGTTGCCAGAGCTGGGCTTAGGCCGAGGGGGCACCTCGCAGCCACGGGATCTGTGGGACTCCCGCTGCTATGGCCTGGCCCACGGCCTGTCGGTTCACAGCGCCAGAGACCGAAATCCCACTGGTCAGCCCGCTGGTGTCCTGTGTCCTGCCTGTGGCTGGGGCTTGTGCTGGGCTCTGGGCTCTGCTGCCCCCAGGCACATCCTCCTGAACTTGTGCTCCCAGTGGGGAGTGCGGTGGCCTCCAACAAGGCCCTGTTCCCACCTCCCTGCCACCCAGAGCCTGGCTGGACAGGCCTCAGTCCCCGCACCAGCGTGCTCTCCCCACGTCCCCCAGGACACTTCCTTCCATACAGTCCTGCACGGCCCTGGCCCCACAGCCTGGCTACCTTGCTGTCCTCCTGTCCCCTCACCTCCATCCCACAGCGGACGGATCCAGCCCTGCTACGCTTGGCTCACCACCCATTCCTGCATTCACACAGCAGAGTCCTGTCTTTCTGCAGCCAGGGCTTTACCAGTTGATCCCAGTGAAGTTTGGAGAGCGGAAGGGTGATTTTACCAGGCGTGGGCATGAGGGACTGGACGTGTGCCCCCAGGATGCACTGACTTATGGGGGTGAACTTTGGGGGGCCCAACCAGAGTGGGTGCAGGTGGGAATGCGTGGGGCCCTTATGGGTCAGGGTGAATGAGGGGTCTGTCGGAAGGGGCATCTTGGTTCTGGCTCCAGGCAGACAAGGGACCAGCAGGGTTGAGACCTGGGTCACCTTCACCCACTGCCCACTGTCCTGGGTGGGGACTGGGCTCAGGGCTCGGCATGTGGCCCTGGCTGCGGAGGGTACACACTGTCTGCTCGGTGTGGACAGGCAGGGCCCTGAACGCCCATAGCTAGTGACCCTGGGCCGGGACACAGGGCAGTTAGGCCCATGAGCTGGGGCCGGCTGAGGCCCACACCAGCCAGACAGGGACACAGATGTTGTCTGCCAGGCTTGCCCAGCCTTAGAGAGCCCAGAGCACAGGCACAATCTGCACCCACTCCCTCCCCACTTGGTGGGTGGCCAGACACAAACACCCAGGGACCAGCCTGGTGGGCAAAGACCTCTAATGCCGAAGGCTGCTTAAAAAGAAAATCAGGAGGGGAGAAGATAGGCTGAAACTAGCGCCATTGACCACATAGACAAGAATGGAGCCTGGATGTGCTGCCTGTCTGTACCAGGGCAGGCACCCGGCTGCAGGGCTGTGGATTCAGCCAGGCAAGCCCCAAACCACGAACACCAGGTTTGGATTTTCAGGACCAAGTGGAGGTGGTAAAGACCCCTGTGATGTAACCTGCTTCTATGCACACCACAACCTGGACGGTCAGCCTTTGTGGCCAGGGCACTCGGCAGGGGATAGAGGAATGGCATCTGGAGTGCTGGGAGAGGACGGGGCGCAGGCCACTTGGTGGGGGTCGCTAAGCAGGGCCACGTCCCAGGCCTCACTGCCTCCCATGTGAGTGCCCAGCCTGTTCCTCTGGCCTTCGGAAAGTCCAGCCTTATGCCTGCCTATGTTGGCCATGGACACAGGTGACCTGCCGGGCCCCAGACCCAGCTCTCAGCCTCCTGGAAACCTCGGATGGAGCCCAGAGGTCAAAGGGGCCAGACCCGCTTGAACACAGGCCACGTTGCACGCAGTGGGCCTTGGGTGCTCCCTCTCTGGCCTGCAGACCCCTTACCAGCCAAGGCGGAAACCTGGCCATCCAGGAGCTAGAGGATGGGCCCAGCACCCTGTCTAGGACTGAACAGATGTGAGCTGAGCAGGCTGCAGGCCTGTACCTTTGTGACCTCCCAGGGCTGCCCGGTATGGGAAATGGGCAGCCCTATGCAGACCAGGCCCAGGTCTGGAGCTTCAGCTGCTGGTCACCAATCAGGGCAGGCTGGCTGTCTCCACCTTTGTCCTGCCCAACTTGTGCCATCAAAGGCAAGCTGCCTCCTGTCCCTCGGCCTGGAGTCCCAGGACTGCCCGAGAGGCCTCGGCACACAGAGTGGGGCCTGGCATGACTGCTGTTTCAGATGAGTTGAGCCCACCCTGGGGTGGGGCCACCCTGCCGGGGGGCTGTAGCACACAGGGGCTGAGCTGCCAAGCTGTGGCCCGGTCCCCACAGGCAACTGGGCGTGAGTACCAGGAGGAGCAGTGAGGTGGACTGAGGACAGTGCCCAGCTGCAGGACCTCAGAGGCACAGGGCAGGGCTGGGGGCTCATGGGAGAGGCTCATGAGGACGGCGTCCTGGCATCCTCTGGCCTTCACTGCCAGACTCCCCGAGTCCCCAAGGCCTCTCTCAGGAGTGTGCCTCGTCCTACATGAGCCAAGCATGCAGCACCCTGTCTTCCATGGCCCATTTCCCAGCAGTGAATGACTCACCAGCCAGGGTCCAGCTGTGCCCAGCCGCCACCATGAAGGAGCCAGGAGCTGCACAATGGTCACTCTGGGGCCCCCAGAGCCTCAGCCACTGGCAGGAAGGGTGGACTTGCCAGTCCCCTGCCTGGGCTCCGGCCCGGCTCACGTCCCCTGGGAGGTCATCCCAGGCCCACGGTCCCCCCACCAGAATGGCCTGGCTGGTGCTGTGGAAGAATGGGAGGATGGACATGTCACCCATGTTGGGCTCACAGGTCACAGCAGCGCAAGGCACAGAACCCCCCAGAGGAGACCCCGTGCCACCCTCAGACAAGGAGAGCCTGCAGTCCACACACACCAGGAGTGGCCCCATCCGGGCCTGGAAGGAAGGACTGTCACGCCAGGGACACAGGCGTGACTCCTGATGTGCAGTGTCCAGGTGGCAAATCACAAGACAGAACCAGACTGGGGTGGGAGGGGCACGGCCCGGCACAGAGCCCGGGAGAAAGGGTTGCTGTGGAGCCGGAGAGGACGTGCCGTGAGTCCAGCACATGAGGGCGTGGGGCCCCTGAGGGCCACAGGCTGCTCCTGGGGTGGTGCTTAAGGCCCTCTGCTCGGGCCGTGGGCTCGCCCCCATCCTCACTTGATGGAAGTCTTGCTGCCCCACACCTGGGCCTGCGCCTCTGAACCCAGCGTCCTAGGCCTCTGCGTCTTCCACAGGATTCTGCAGCGTCCCCTCACTGAGCTCTTTCCCAGCCAAACACCGTGAAATCCTCTTTCCCCACCGCAGGCTGCTTCCGTCTGACCCTGGGGAATCTTCTTCCAAAGTTCACAGTGCCAACTCGGTAAAAAGCAGAATGCGTGTTGGATCATGGGTTTTGAATCATAATGACGCCAACGATAAAGTAGCGGAGGTCCTCGAATGTTCCACGTGGCCAGCCTGGGCCTAGGCCGGCTCAGGGGGCTCCATGCAGGCGCTGTGCCTTCCCATACCCGGGGAGGGTGCTCAGGCTGGGTGGGAGGGCCACGGGAGCCCCCGGGGCAGAAGGCAGCACACGTGTCCTCAGCTGGGTCCCATGTCCCGGGCCTTGTCTCCCTGGGGTCTGGATGAGGCGGGGACTGTCCCCTGAGGTCCAGGCTGGGAGGTTTGCCTGAGCTGTGCTGCATGGAAAGAGGGAGACCACAGCCCAGAGCTGTGAGGGACCTGACAGGTGTAGGTGGAACAAGGGGGGTCCGTGTGTGGGGACACTCCTCCAGACTGCAGGCCCCAGGGATGGGTGAGTGGGGACAGCCAGGACTGCGTTCCGTGGTGGCCCAGGGCACACAGCCCGAGGCTATGGCAGCTGGTAGGGGACCAGCAGCACAGGACGGGTTGGTGGGCAGTTGATGAGAGGGCACAGGTTTGGCTCCTGGAGGCCAGGAACAATGAGGTCCTGGGGAAACTGGGGCTGGGCCACGGCGCCATAACAGCAGGCCAGGGCCCAGTGGGGCCGAGTGTGGTGTCCACAGGCCTGGACGGGCAGCCTGAGCTTCCTCACATGCATGGCCAGCAGACTGCAGACGCTGACGGGAAGCTGCATCCTAGGCTGGTCTCCGAGGAGTCCAAGCTGAAGAGCTGAGCAAGTGTTCCCTCCACCTGGGAACTCTGAGGACAGCCGGACACTGGTCTCACTGGCCATTGGCCGGGCAATGGGAAAAGCCACCCGATCTGCAGTGAGGACCAGGTCAGCCTGCCCTGCAGGGGCTTTGGACAGACGGTCGCAGTGGGAGCTGCCAGGGCAGAAGACTGATGGGCCCTCCAGGCAGCACGCCCCTTCCACCCAGGAGACCACTGAGAGCCCACACCCACTCCGGCCAGTGCAGTGGCAGGGAAGTGCAGGTGGGGTGTGGGCAGGTCCCGAGGACACAGCTTGCCACACAGGGCCCACAGCCCTGCCCCATGGCCTGGCCTGAAGAGCATGTCTGGGCCACACGGGGTGGCCAGAGGCTTGATGGGGTACCACGGTGAGGCCTGGAGAAGCTTGTGAGAGCTTCCCCCAGACCTGCATGACGCCAGGCTGGGTTGTGACTGACCGTGGCCACGTCCCAGCTGGGTGCTGTGGCTAGGGGGCTCCAGGACCACTTGGGCTTACCCAGGCTCCCTGGAGAGCAGCAGGGCACAGGGTGCCACAGCCCACGTGCCTCTCCGCCCACAGCCAGTGCCACCTGCCTGCATGCGTGTCTGGGACAGGTGCAGATGGACGCAGGCGGCAAGGGCCATGAGTGGGCAGGTTTCAGGCCGGAGAACTGTCCTCTCGGGCCCTCGGGGACAGAGCCATGAGGCCCTGATGGCGCAGGGGTGGAAAGCCAGAGGTTCACGCCTGCGGCTGACCTCCTTCCCATCTGAGGGTACCGCGTGCCACCATGCCCTCCCTACCAGGTGTCTGGCGCCTCTGGCTTGGGTGTGATGAACGGAGGTCCTTGGACACTCAGGACAATTGTGAGGAAATGGGATTTCATTTCTCCCGAGCAGGTGTCTAGGAGTGGAACTAAGTCACGTTGCTAAGTAAGCTTATTTTGAAATGGCCCAGCTGCTCTCCGAGAGGGAGGCACCGTTCACACCTCTGCCTGCGGACCCGAAGACTCCAGCTCGGGCAGACAGCTTCTAAGCTAGAGATCCACCAGCCTCCATGCTGCTTGAATTTACCTTCGCTCACTGCAGGCACCGCTGGTCTCCCCCTGTGTGCCTACCCCTCAGCTCCCACCTTCTTTGTGAGATATGCACGAAAGAACAGCGGGTGGTTTACCCTCTTACTCAGGTGTAACACTTTCTCTTTTACATGTCTCAGATGCAAATCTTTGCCAGGTACATGAGTGCATATAATTTCTTTTTTTTTTTTTTTGGTACCAGGGATCGAACTCAGGTCCTTGCACTTGCGAGGCAGGCGGTGAAACCACTGAGCTAAATCCTTGGCCCCCGCATATATTTTCTCTAGTCCTTTATTTGCCTTTTTTCCTCATTGTCCCTTGAGAACCATTCTTAATTGTAATGAATCCGTGTTGTTGGTTTGTTCCGTATGTCTTTCGTGTTGCATGGGCCTGTGCAGGATGCAGTCTCCCTATGCTGCCCAGGCTGGTCTTACACTCTTGGGCCTGAGCAGTCCTCCCGCCTCAGCCCCACAAACATCGGGAACAAAGATGAGCATCACCACACCCAGCTCAATTTAATCTTTGTCCCTCTCTCTCTCAACTCTGTTTCTCATTTTTAAACTCTTACCTCAGAAATCTTTTTTGCCACAAGCTTGCAAAGCTTTCTCTTGTGTTCTTTTCTTTTTTTTAATTAAAAAAAAGTTTTTTGTGTGTTCTTTTCTTGAAGTTTTGTAGCTTATCGTTTACATTTTGGTCTATGATCCGGTCTTTTTTCATCCTCCCTCCTCATCCTCCCAGAGCGTGGGATCGCAGGCATGCATCCACACGCCGGGCAATAATCCAAGTCACTTTTGTATATATTATAAGGAGGTAAGAGTTTCATTTCTCTTCCTGAGGATACTCAGTTATTCAAAAACTATTTGGTGGAACGGTTTTCTTTCCCCCATTGATTTGCTTTGGGAATCCTATCAAAAAATTAGTTGACATGTATATACCTAGGTCCATTTCTGGACTCTAGCTCTCTTATTCCACTGATCCATGCATTTTTTCTGATGCCAAAGCCACCACACCTTCTGTGCTTTACAGTAAGTCTCAGAATCAGGAATTTAAGTGATTCAACTCTGTCCTCTTTCAAAAATTTTTTCAACTTTGGTGGGCATGGTGGCATATGCCTGTAATCCCAGCACTCCAGAGGCTGAGACATGAGGATCACTGTGGGTTCAAGGCCAGCCTGAACTGCATAGTGAGACCCTGTCTTAAAAAAACAAAACAAAAAACAAAATTTTTTGGCTTTTCTGCGTTATGTCTCTAAATTCATTTTTAGAATAAGCTAGCCAATTTCTATGGAAAAGTCTGCTGGAATGTATTGGGATTGCATCAAAGGTATGGACTGGTTTGAGTTGACATCTTAATATTCTTAATATTCTCGAGTCTTCTAATCCATGAGCAAGGTATGTCTCCCATGTACTTAGTTCTACCTAGATTTCAGCACCAAGTTGTAGAGCTTAATTATTTTTGCAGCAAGGACTTTTATGAGTAAATAATAGATTGTGCAGATATTTGTGAAAGTGACCTGAAAGTATTTCAGTTTTGATCCTATTGTTTTATCCCATTTCCAAACATTGTCAGTTTTGATAATTTGTGTCTGTCAAAGAATTAGTCCATTTCATCTAAGGTACTGAATTTTTTGTGTAAAGTTGTTCCTAATATCAATTATTATCCTTTTAACGTCAGTAGGTTCTGTTGTAATGCCTCCCCCTTCCTTCTTGACACTGGTAATTTATATCTTGTCTTATTTCTTGAGTAGCCAATAGATACCTACTTACTGATCTCACAGTGCAAAGTTCAGGTCCAGTGACCCCCTCGTTGTTGGCTTATGCTCCACGCCATCTCTGTATGCGCTTATTTTTACTGCTTTCCTCCTTCAACGTCCTTAGGGCTTGCTCTTGGTGCTGTCTTCTTCTCTAGTAGGATAACTAAAGCTACAAAATCCTCTCTATGCATCGCTATCTCCTACAAATTTTAACACTTGGATGTTTATTTTCATTGAATTAAAAATATTTCCAATTTCTTTTATGATTTCTTCTTTGACCCCTGGGTTATTTTAGAAGTTCGTTATTTAATTTTGGATTTTTTTTTTTTTTTTGGTACCAGGGATTGAACTCAGGACCTTGCGCTTGCGAGGCAGGTGGTGGAACCACTGAGCTAAATCCCCCAGCCCCTGTTATTTAATTTTGAAGTATCAAGGGGGTGATGATTAGGTATTTTTTCTGCAACTAAGCTCTAATTCTGTTCTGATTAGAGAACATATTCTGTAGTATTTCAATCTTTTATAATTGGTTGAGACTTATGGTCTACTCTAGTGACTGTTCCATATTCACCTGAAAAAGAATGTGACATCTTCAGTCTTTTGCTGAAATTGTGTATAAATATCTATTAGGGGGCCGGGGATTTAGCTCAGTGGTTCTGCCGCCTGCCTCACAAGCGCAAGGACCTGAGTTCTACCCCCGGTACCAAAAAAACAAAACCAAAACAAAACAAGAAAACCCAACAAACATCTAATTAGGTCAGTTTGCTGTTCAGGTTTTTATGTTCTTATTAATTTTCTATCTACTTGTTCTATTAATTACTGCAAAAGGGGTATAGAGGTAGCCAATTACAACGGTTGATTTATGTATTGCAGAGGACTGTAATACTGATTATGCCCAAAACTCACTGTGAAGAGTGAACCGCACAACTGGCTTGTTTATAGAAGTGAGTCTGGCCAAAACCTACGTGCTGAGGTCAGAGTAACTCACACCCAAATTCCATTCCCACAACTAAAATCTTCAGACTAGGACAATGTTCCAATTACAATCATATATTTTGTCTATTCTGTTCCTAATTTGAGAAGGCTTTGTCTTATCCTTTATGAGCCTTGTTTACATCAATTTCTATAGAAACTGCACACAGCTCACCTTTACCCAATTGATTGCCAATAAGTCAGCGCCTGGGACTGGCCAGGGCCTTTGTCGGTTGCACCCGCATTGGTCCCCCGGCCCCCGCTTTCTCTCTCAGTCCTGTCTCTTAGCGTTTTCTTTTTCTCAGGCCTGCGTCCCATACTGGGCAGGCGGGGACTGGAACCTGACTGCAGCAGTCTTCGGCAATGTATTTCTCTGTAAAGCCTTAAAAGCTTTGTCAGTTTTTGCTTCACATATTTCAAAGAACATACATATTTAGGAATGTTATGTTTTCCTGATACATTTGACCCTGCATCGCTGTGCAATGCTTCTTTCTCTGCCAATATTATGTTTTTAAGTCTACTTTGTGATATTAATAAGGCCACTCTGATTTAACCATGACTAACGTGTGGTATGTCACTCCATCCTGTCTTCATATTTATGACGGGTTCATATACAGTGTAATAGCTGGACATCGCTCTTCGTCTATTCTGAAAATCTCTTCCTTTTAGTTGATATTCTTACATTTTAACTGAACTTGTATATTTTTAATTTCTTCCATTTATTCCTTGTTCCTTTTTTTCTTGATTTCTTTTGGATTAGATGACTTTACAGGATTCTATAGTTTTATTCCATTTTTAGTGACATCTTTTTGTTTTTTAAAGACTCTGCCAGGGTTTGTAGTATGCAGCGTTACCTCATCTCTGCCAACCATCAGGTGATGTCCCACCTTCTGTGCAAAGGAAGATGCTTGTGATATTCTACTTCTGTGCATGTCACAAATTCTACCACACACAGGTATTGTTCTAGCTTTAGCAATTACTTTAAACATAAAATTTTAAAATGAGAAAAAGACCCTTTGTCCTTTACCCACATACTCATTTCCACTCTTTTTGTCCCAGGGTGTCATGGTTCCTGTCACACACAAATGCACAAGCACACACACGTGCACACGCGTCTCCATACTTAGCAACATCTAGGGACACTGGGAAGGTTTCTGGGTCTTTCCTGTCTGGGTTCCGCCTCTGACCCCTGAACTCTGACCTCTGGCCACTCCACCACACTCCCCGTGTTTGCTCCTTTCTTTTTTTTTTTTTTGGTACCGGGGATCGAACTTGGGACCTTGCACTTGCGAGGCAGGCGGTGAAACCACTAAGCTACATCCCCGGCCCTGCTGTACATATTTTGTTATTTCTGGTGGCATGAGAAGTAAGTTGTCCCTCTGTTGCTCCATCAAGTTTGGGGGTGAAGTCTGAAGTCTCAGCTATGGGCGTTTACAGCACACCCTTGGGCAGGTGGGGAGTGTTCAGCGGCCGTAAAAAGGGGTCAGGCTGGGCCCCCTCCTCACAGAGACCCCAGTATTTCAGAACCGAGCAGGTGTGGAAGCTCTGTGGGTGGGGCTGGCCACAGGGAACCCCCTGCTTGGTCCAGGAAGACTCGGGGTGCGGCCAGGGCGAGGGGCCAGAAGTCTGAGGAGCTGCTGGATGGGGCAGGGCGGAGCCTGACACTGCCAGGGTGTGGGCCAGGGCAGGGCTCCTGCACTCCCTCCAGCTTCCCACTTCCAGGGAGACGGCCCGGCTAGGGCCCAGCCTGGCACCCAGGCTGGGACTGAGCTGGGGGTGCATGTGGGGCGGGAAGCAGGGCTGGGGCCTGTGGCCTCACTTGTGCGCATCCTCTGGGAGGCGGGAAGGGCCCTGAACAGGGAGCCTGGCCTGGCCTAGTCGCCCCCATGGCAGCTGGACCTCACTCCAGAGGCCAGGCTCTCTCGGATTCAGCTTCTGGTCATTCTTTTGCTTGGCAGTCAGGGACCCCAGAGCAGTTGAGACCTGTGCTGTGCCCCTGAGCTCCCCCTTGCTCCTGGATGGAGCCCCGGCCACTCTCCTGCTGTTCAGTGTCCTCCTGCACAAGCGAGCTGTGAGGACGGGCTCTTGTGAGAGGCCAATCAGTGTTTGTTGAGTGAATGTTGAATGGATGTGGAGCCCAGTGGTGCATCCTCAGTGCCTGGCCAAGGGCAAAGCAGACTCCCTGATGTGGGTCCGGGACACTGGCCTGCCCTTCCAGCTCCTGAACTGCAGCTCAGTGGCTCCCCCTCAGCAAGCTGACATGTTTTCTCTGAGTCCTGCACAGGACCTGGGGCAGCTCACACCTAGGGAAGCCAAGTCCCAAAGTCCCAGCAAGGCTGCAGTGAGGAGTAGGGTTCTTACCTCAAGCCAGGGAGTTCCTCTCACTCAGTCATGCATGGTGGAGTGCTGGGGCCCCAGGTTGCCCCAGGAGTGAGTGTGGGAGCCGGTGGCAGGTCGTTGACCAGAGCTCTGTAGCCGACTGCCTCACAGCTGTGTGCCAGGTGCCAGCAAGGGCAGGGTGTGTGCAGTGGGGTCTGGGGCTAGACACGGGGGGGGGGGGGAGGCGCCCCGCCCCTCCCTCAGGGGTCCCACCAGCCCGGAGCAGCAGGACACGCCCTCAGATACCTTCCCAGAACCCCAATGCCTGTGCCTGGCTCTTCCCCCTGTCCCGGGGTCCCGGCTGCCCTGCCAGGGCTACGCAGGGGCCCAGTGAGCAGTGCAGCACAGGCAGCCTCTAGGTGCCCAGGGCTCTGCCTGAGCTGGGTCCAGGGAGACACTGCCACTACCTGTCCTGGGCACTAGCTCACACTTCCAGACACCCCTTCCTCTCAGCGTGGCTTCCTCCACTGAGCAAGGCCTGCGATTAACCCGCCGGCTCTCCTCTGCTGCTGTGTGGCACCACCCAGCTGGTGCCCATGGGGTCAATCCACACGAGTGGCCTTGAGCTGTGGACATCTGCGCATCGCGTGGTGACTGCTCTTGGCAAACATCAATGGGGGACAGCCATGCAGGAAATCCAGGTTTCACTTGTAGGAAGAGCCATGCTTTTCTGAGGTGGGTGCAGCAGTGAGTGTGGGCCTGGGTCCCCCCAGATGACATCGCCGGCTGGCCTCTCGTGGGTCCTGGGAGTGGGCGTGGTGCTGCGTGTCCCCACCTAAGGACATCAGCCATCTGTGTCGACCATGTGCTCTGCGGAGGCAGCGCCATCAAGTCCTCCTGGTTCCTGTGTGTGGATGTCCACTGTATGCCGAACCTCGCTGGACAGGCCTGTGTCCTGAGAACAGGGCCAGGCACAGCTCAGGCAGCCCTGGCGGGCATGACTGTGGCCTGGGGTGTGACGTGACTCTGTCCACGATGACAGCGGGGAGAAGAGACTGACGGTGGGAGGCTGGGCCTCGATTCTCCCTGGATGTTGGTCCCACCCTGCAGCCAGGACCCACCCCTCCTGTTCCGCCTGACACACCTAGCCAGGGGTCCCAAGGCACAAGAAGGGACAGCAGTGAAGGGGAGGATGCCAGCCTGTCAGCCATGCCCAAGGCTGACCTCGCCTGCCTCAGCTCCAGGGGTCCTGGCAACACCCCAGTCCCAGTGGGCCCCAGTGGGCCCCAGAGACCCCCAGGCCGCAGCCTTTGCTGCAGGTCTGGGCTCGGTGCTGCCCTCCCCAGCACTGTGGGCCCTGCTGGGCTGGCGCCGGATCCAGATGACTCTGATGTGAGTCTCAGCACCTATTTAGGTTGCTCATTATTCTTTAAAAGAGCTGAACACTAAAAATAGTGGCCATGCATAACAAATGTGAGTCGCTCTTCCGGGTGCCAGTGACAGAATCAGGCTGCTGCACAGGGGCCTGTTGGGCCAGGGGCTCTGAGTGTCTCAGGTGGCTGCATGGCCAGGGCCACCAGGGGTGTCCAGGCACAGGGTGCAGAAACCTCCAGGCTCCAAGGACACCACTGGGAGCCTTCCGGTGTCCTGCTCTTCCTGGTGGTGACTCTGGGGCCCCCGCTGCCCAGGCCACAGGCTGAGCAGAGCCCAACCCCATGCTGCCCTCTAGTGGCCTAAGGCCCTCTCCCTACATCTCAGCAGGTCCCACAGGCAGCCCTGGGGTTCCTGGTCCCATCCCCATTCTCGGGTCCCAGAGCACTTCTGGGCACAGCCTTCCCCAAGAGCTCATGCTACTGGTTCCCGACACACTCTCCTCTCTGGCCCCCACACAGGCAGCTGACGCAGACCCCAGGAAGGCCAGGCCTGGGCAGCAGTATTGTGCCGGTCCACAGGGCACCTGGCTGGACTCCATGACTCACGTTCTGGAGAAAGAGGCCACATGGGGATGGCTCAGGGCCTCAGACACCAGCGTGGGGGCTCCAGGCAGGGTGGTGGCAGGTGGCCAGCTGGCAAGGGGACATCAGGGCCCCCAAACACATAGGACACTGCAATGCCCCAAGGGCATGGTCCTAAAAGCTGTGCAGGGATGCACTGCCCACAGCCATGAGAATTGCTGATAATGAGGGAGTTTAATCTCCGGAGCAACAAAACCCAAAAGCCCAGCCCACCGTGCAGGACCTGGCAGCCTGCGGTGGTGCAACTAGGCCTTGAAGGCCTGGAGCTCAGTGACAGCCCTGAGTGACAAGGCAGGGTCCCCTGCATGGTTTCCCAGCGAACTACAAATGGACTAAACCCTCAGAGCCCTGTGCGGGGCTTTAAGCCCAGACCCAGGGCCAAGAAAGAGCCCGACTGGTGCATCTTAAGACTTAAGACGGAGTCACTTTGTCCTGACCAGTGGATGCTCGCTTCCTCCTGACACCCACTGCAGGGTCCTCTGCTGTTGCTGCCACCAGCACTGCGTGACCTGGACCTGCCTGCCTCTCCTCAGTCTCACGGTACCATGAGAATGAACCTCAGACACTACGCCCTGGGGCAGCACCCGGGCACCCAAAGCCCTCCCCATGCTCCCCGTGACCTCCAGGACCACACCGACGGCCTGGGTGGGCTCAGACGTGGCCAGCAGAGCAGGTGTCCAGGCAGTGACTCAAGCTCCAACTCTGCAGCCCATGGCGGGCGGGAGGTAGATCCTGAACTTGGGCAGACAGCGAGGAGCGAAACCAAGGAAGGTGGGTAAGGCTGGGCAGAGGGGCTGCCCTGGCCCAGGCTCCCTTCTGCTTCGTCTCTGGATCCTTCATCACAGTGCTCAGACACAAGGACAGGGCCACCACTGGCCACGCTGGTGTCTGCCCCAGCTGCAGGTCAGGGTCCAGATCCAACGGTCCAGTGGCGGGTGAGAGGCTAGGGGGAAACAGATGATGGCCTGGCGAGGCCCCTGCCAGGCTGGAGACCACAGCGTCGTCAGAAAAAGTTTAATTATGTACAGACGATCATCAGACTGATTACAAAGCGGGACACTCCAGCCTGGGAAGCGACAGCACAACACGCAGTCGACAGCGTGCTGGAGAGGTGACAGCCACCAGACATGGAAAGAATCACGAAGTGCGACAATTGTGGGAGGAGCATAAATCTACACTGTTCCTCTGGGACAAGAAAAAAAAAGGAACGAACATCAGCTTTGGAATGTTTTCCGTCCTGCGCTGCGGGAGGGCATCTGTGCAGGACACGCAGGGACAGGGCCGCGGGGGGCTGGGGCCTGGGCTGCTCGGGCTGCAGCAGCAGGGTCACGCCAGGCGCCCCGGGAGCCTCTGCCAGGACCCCCACCTTGGCCGTGTGAGCACCTGCAAGCTGCCCCAGGGCCTCAGAAGAGGGGCCGCGAGCCCTGGTTCTCAAACTCTGACCAGGCGTCACTGAGCTCCATGAAGATCATCTTGGCGTATTGCTCGTAGGGCTGCCCTGTGGCCTGCGGGTGACAAGAGGTAGCGAACACCCGCCTGGCTCGCCCTGCCCAGCCCCTCCCACCTGCCCCCCCCCCCCCCCGCCGCGGCTGCTCACCTTGTCCGGGTGCACGACCAGCACCGCGCGGCGGTACTGCCTCTTCACCTGGCCCGGCGTCACCAGGTCGGCCATGCTCACGGGCGTCCAGCGGTGCTCCCCGGCCCACAGCACCGTGTGCAGCGTGGACAGCAGTGCGCGGATGTTCCTCTCCTTGCCCTCAATCCAGTCCAGGAGCTGGGGGAGACACTGCACTCTGAGCCCCCACGCACGGGGCACTGTCCTCCCTCCAGCTGGAGAAAATCGAGGCAGCAGCCACCACTCTTGGGCCCCGGGGGCAGGTTCTGTGGCAGCTCCGTGGGGCCTCCACACACGTCCCACCCCTCCCACCCAGCAGGGTCCCATCTCAACGGCCCACTCCTGCCCCGGGGCCCTAACACCACACAGGCAGGTGCAAGCTGCAGCGTCCTGGGATGAGCTGTGCCGTCACCAGGACCCGTCTTCACCAGACACTCACAGGACACAAACCCTGGCTCCTCAGCACAGCCGTCCCAGCCAAGGGCTCAGGGCCCAGGGGGACGAGTGGGTTACCCGGCCGGTCAGAACTCGCACCCTGCTACCCAGCACCACCCAAACCCACACATGAGGACGCCCCTCAGTCAGGACACCGACTGCGGGGCCACGCTGCGTCTGTCAACCCACACAGGAGGTCGCAGGTCGGGAGAGAAGCCTGAGGTGGCACTGCTGTCCCACTGGTGCACGGACGTGGATCTTCTACATGAGAGGGGTGCAAATCTGACCCAGCCCCGTCCTGCCTGCTCTGGGCAAAGGTCTCACATGCTGGGTGCCAGCCCCAGTCTGCCCACCTTCAGCTTGAGGGGGTCCGTGTCTCGGGCGAGGTCCTGCTTCCTCATCTCTGCCATGGTCTTTGGGCCCCTCTTGTCAGACTTGGAGAAGCCTTGGTTGGGCAACAGATCTTCAAAGTCGTTCTCTGAGACCTTTGGCTTTGGGGCTGGAAGAGAACAGGAGCTTTGCAGGGACACTGGCCCGTCCTGTTCTGCCCAGTCTCACCTGCTCCAGGACAGGACCCTGACCTGGGGCCTCCATAGAAAAGGGACAGGAGGAGACTGTGGCCCCAAATGCCCTCTGCCAAGCCCAGGAGAGAAACTGACGCTGGGAGGAGGAGGACTGCAGGCAGCCAGGGAAGATGCTGGCAGACAGACCGAGTTCCCACTGTGGGCCCCACGGTGAGCCTGCACACCTCACAGACGGGCGGCACTCACCAAAGCTGGCCACGCGGGCCCCCCTGTCCTCCCGGTCCCCGATCACGCTGAAGCTCATGGCATAGTTTGGCCTCTGTGGTGCACCGGTTTTGGGGGGCACCTTGATCTGGGGGGGCCACGAGGTACCCTGGGCCGGCCGATTCGTCTGCCAGGAGCTGCCGCCTTTGGGTGAAGGGGCTGTTTTGGGAACAAAGCCCCCGGGTGGGGGTCCAGCAGCTGGGCCTGAGGAGGAGACCACATCACACTCAGGCCACACATCACACAGCGGCTGTGCAGATGGGGTGACTGCTCCTGAGCCTGGGAACACACGGACACTTGAGCTGGCCTGCTCCACTCATACACGTGAAGGGCAGACAACGGGATGGCCCCACGCCCTGTCCACAGGGGCTGGGGGCCAGCATTCCCACCACATGGAGCAGACCGAGCCCCTCAAACATATACCTGATGCTTTAACTTTTGTAAAATAATTAGAATCACAGAAGCCTCGAGGTCCTGAGCCCCTGCACCCAGCATCCCCAGGGCGGCCTCTGCCAACCCCCGTGCACATGGCCCCAGTGTGTGGTCTGCACGTTCCACCACAGTGCAGATCCTGGCAGCACCGTGGCTGCCAACAGGAGCCTGGGCCTCGACAGTTGCATCACACTCAGAACACTCTAGAAATGAAACCAACCCTGGACCTTTGCATCCCCAACGATCAGTCAGCTGTTGACGGTGAGGGAGCTTCCTGGCGTGGGAGGATACCTCACACACCCTGCTGCCACTGGCAGGGACAGCTCTCTGGGAGGGCCGCCATGGATTTCTCTGGGTCACTGGCAGGGAGGCGTGCTAGTTCCAGTTCAGCTTTGCAAGAAGCTGACCAAGAGTGGCCGTGTCATGTACACCCCAGACCTCCTGGCGCTGGGTGTTGCCGTTGCAGGACCCGGGGCTCCCTGTCTCTCAAACAGCCTCCTGGGCTGCTTTCTGCTGTGTTTTCCTGGCAGCTGGGGCTCCTGGTGCACAGAAGTGGGGCGCGAGGCATGTCCGCCACTCCTGCCTGCGAGGCGCCCTGCCTCCTTTGCTCCCGGCGCAGGGAGCCCCTCTCACTGCTGGCTTGCGGGGCTCTGCGCGGGGCACGGCGATGAAGACTCTTTCGGTTGCTGCTGGTCTTAGCAGAGGTTTCTAAATTCTATCCATTCTTCCAAAGAACAAAGGTTTTCAGCTTTTTAAAATTATTCTTTTCGCGGGCCGGGAATTTACTCAGTGGTTTCGCCGCCTGCTGCACAAGCGCAAGGACCCAAGTTCGATCCCCGGTACCAAAAAAATAAAATTATTCTTTTCCTTTTATTTGCTTTGGGTTTGTCTTGCATTTCTTTTTCAGACTTTCCAGGTGGGAGCTCGTGCTGCTAGTGAGACACTTCGTGCGTCCCCTCCAGGGCAGCTCAGCTGTGCTGCTGCTTGTCCCTTGTCTTGCTCTGTCCGCTGGTCCCTCTGACCCGAGTGAGTGTCCTCTGCAAGGGCTGCTTTGTCCCAGTGTGACATGGCTCTGTTCCCTGCTGTCCCCGATCTCCAGCTCCAGCCTGGCTGTCACGGGCCAGAGGGCACTGCGACTTCAGGTCTGGGGGAGCCGCACAGGCGGTGGGGGGGGACCAGCGCTGCTGCTTCACTTGGCCATCTCAGCCTCTCGGGCCCAAGGGGGCCGCTCGGGCTCCCTCCAGCACAGGCCTCCCAGTCCTCAGCACCTCGCCTGTCCTCTCCTCATGTCCGCACCACCCGCAGCCCCGGAGGGAGAGCACCACGCTGGGTGGAAGCAGAAGCCCGTGCTCAGGCCCGAGGGGCGGGAGACCTCAGAACAGCACACCGCTTTTTAAAAAACAAAGCACTGAGAGGGCAGAGTGCTGGGACGGGACAACAGAACAGCAGCAGGGTAACACCAGGGGGTGAGGGGGCATGAACTGAGGCCGGCGCCAGACTCCACGCTGCTGCCCAGGATGCACAGGGCAGGGAGACCAGGGCCGCCGGGGAACTCGCGATAGCGTGTCGGTACCCAGCATGCCACAGGAGGCCACCTCACAGCCACCGGCTGCCACAGAGGATGGCAGCCACCCGGCCAGATGGGACTCGCCCCCCGGTCACCAGCCTGGGGCTCCACATGCCGGCCAACAGTCGAGGTTGAGAGTGCCAGGCAAGGTGGTGCATACTGTGACCCCAGCACTTTGGGAGGCTGAGGCAGGAGGATCGCTGTGAATTAGAGGGCAGCCTGAGCTACATATCGAGACTCTGTCTCAAAAACAAAGTGCACCAAAGACACCTGGCAGCCGAAGGCGGCAGACACAGCCCTCAGGCGCTTGGGGCCTGCCCTCACCTTACCTGGGAGGCTGGAGCTGAGGCCACGGAGGTCACCAAGGTCGGCAAATGGGTCCAGGCTCTGAGACTTGGTCTGGCTGGGCTGGGGGCCAGCAGGGACTGGCTGAGCTCCGGGAGGGAAGAGAGGCCCTGAAGAAGGGTGGAGGGCGTCAGACAGGAGGAAAATCCTCCAGGGCCCTCGGGGAGCACCGGCAGATGAGTGTGCCCACACTGGACTGCTAAACGTCCATGTCACTCCAACAGCATGGCACCACTGCTGGGAGCCATCTAAAAAGCGAGGATCCGTGACGTGCCTTAAAATAGTGTCAATATGAGAACATCTTAAGTCGCACTGGTCCTTGGCGAAATATTATGCAGTCAGTAACAACGATGGCTATTCACCCAGGTGTGGGGGCGCATGCCGGTGATCCCAGCACTCTGGGGGGCTGAGGCAGGGGGGTCACACGTTCAAGCCCTGCCTGAACAACTCAGATGCTTAACAAGACCCTGTCTCAAAATAAAAACTAAAAAGGGATGGGGATGTAGCTCCATTAAAAAAAAAAAGGATGATTATTCACAGGCAGAGAGGTTTCACAAATCGGTAAGAAAAACCAGAATACCCCATGTGAAAAGGGAGCAAAAAACAGTGAAGTAATTTTCAAAAGAAATGCAAGTACCTAGAAACCTATGAAATAAAAGTCAATTTGATTTGTAATGAAGAAATGCTAATCAAAAGCACCAGCAGCCTATTAAATTGGTAAGACGTCTAAAATCCTCATCGAACTGCATGAGAAACTGAGGGCAGGGACTGCTCAGCGACTGCTGGGAGAGAGCTGACCAGCACGCCCTAGGGGAAGGGGTTAGGGGAAAGCAGCCAGCGTGCTGAGGGGCTGGAGGGCACTGTGCATGCAGCCCTCAGCGCACACAGCACCGGAAGGCACCTTAGGCCTTCAGGTGCCGACAGGATGGGAGTGCGAGGCTTCCGAGACATTCATTCGCCCTGGGGAGAGAAGGGCTGCAGCACCACAGCCACGCTGCCATCGGGAACGTGCTGCGAGGACCCTGGGCCTGCCAAGTGCACCGCAAGGCGAGCAGCACGCAGGGAGGCAGGCGGCTCCTCGGGGAGCAGGGCACCACCACTCGTGTGAGCCATGGCTGGGCGTGCGTCCTACCTCCCGAGGCAGGTCCGGGCACAGCAGCCTCGGCCCAGGCATCCCATCCCCCCAGCAGGTCCAGGTGGCTGGAAGAGGCCGTCACCTGGCCAGGCTCCGCTGGCAGGTCTCCTGGAAGAGGTGGCACAGAAAGCACGACTGTGGTCTCTGCAGGCCCCACTCACCGCTGCTCACCCCCGTCCTGTGTGAGCAGGAGGCTGAGAGGGAGCACACGGCCCAGGGGGCCCACAGGGAGCTGTGCTGGCGAGCAGCTACACTCAGGCACCTGGTGGCTGACGACCTGCATGCTTCAGGCTGGCAGTCAGAGTGGAGGTGGACTCTGCCCTCTCCAACTGCTGGCACTGCCTGATGGGTAGTGAGGATGCAGCACGTGGCCGAGCTGACCGGTAGGACTGCAGGTGCCGGCAGGGAACCTCACGGGGCAGTCACAGGAATGACACCTGGCGTGCTGCCTGAGTGGAGCCCTGTGCAGCCACGCAGAGCCCCAGGACCTCCTTCCCATGGCTCTCAAGCTCCATGGGTGCCCCCAGTGCACCCCAGGGTGTGCAGCCCGTCCTGTCCTCGGCAGTTGGCCCTCACCCCGAGCCCACCAGACAGGCTGCTCCTGCTCTGGAGGACAACCACCCTTGCCAGGGCCACACTGGTGACAGCTGGGCCTCCTCTGGGAACCACACCGCTGTCCCAGGGCTTGGTTTTCTCCCCCCAGCACGACAGGCTTCAGGCCTCCTGCTGCCTCTCCCCAGCCTCAGCTTCCTAAGCCCTGCTCTGAGCCAGTCTCCCCCCTCCTGGCATCCTCGCCCACAAATGCTTCAGGCAAAGGAAGCTGGCCTCTCATGGCTACAGTTCTGGGCCTGAGAAAAACCTGTGGAAGTCAGTGTCCTGACCTTCTGAGTGCCTGGTTGGCACCCTGGAGCTGGAAGGCACTGCGTGAAACGCTAAGTCCCAACCAACATGGCAACTATGGCTTCTGGAGTGCAGGCTGCCGTAAACACTCACCCAAGGGCAGGAAGGCAGTGCAGGATGGCGGTGGGGCACTGTTGGTGTAGGGGAAGGGCGCTGGGGCTGCCACAGGGTCCGCATGCAGGAACTCGCCAAAGAGGTCAGGCTGGGAACAGGGCTGGGGTTTGGCGTCGGGAGCCAGCAGGAGCGGGTCGAATGGGTCATCTGTGGAGACAGCAGACAGACCCGGGTGCTGACAAGGGGCACCTGGTGCTCTGCAAGCACAGCCAGAGCCACTGCCCTGGGCCCAGACTGCTGGCTGCTTCCCCTGGGCACTGCTGTCCACAGGTGGGGCCCAGACACCTGCCCTCCAACATCCAGCAGCTTGAAACGACCATGTAGCAGATGCTGCCAGGCCCCAACGAAAGAGCCGGCAGCCAGGCGTGACTGGGTGGGCATGGGTGGGAGCGAGCAGGGGCTGGCACCCCGCAGCCACTGGCGGCTCCTCCCAGATGGCTCCTTTGCCCGGGAGCCCGGCTGCATTCACCTGGGGAATGGGCCATACCCGTGGCAGGGGGCGCTCCTTGTGGGGTGCTCTGAGCACTCAGAGGCAGCTCCGGGCTTGCCAGGAGCAGGGGGGCCTCGCCGCCCAGCAGGTCGTTGGGTGGCCCCAGGAGACAGCTGAGCAGGTCAGTGTTGCTGGAGGGGGCCCTGCAGGTCTCTGCAGAGGCCGCTGGTACTGGGCTGGCCTGGGAGTGCAGCCCGAGGAGGTCCACACCATCGTCCTTCAGTCTGGCCTCCTGAGGAAAGGCTGGCGTGGCTGCATCGAGGATCAGGTCTTGGTGCTGGGTGCCTGCCATGGGGCCTGGCGGGTCCTCACTGACGCCAGGCTGGCGGTCTCCACCGGGGAACGGGGACGCCTCTTCATCCGACGTTTCACTGCCGTCTCTGTCTGCGACCAGGACAGCCTGGCTCTGCTTAGAAGACCCTTCCACAACAGTCTCTGCTTTTTTCTCTTCTGTAAAAAGAAGAGACGGCAGGTCAACAGCGCCACAGGCTGGTATGGCCAGGCGAGACTAGGACAGGGTGACACACGGGTTGGCTGCCTTGGGCTGCAGCCTCAACAGGGTCCCCACTCCCACCTGGAGGCTGTTCTGAGGCAGACGAGGTGCGTGTCCCGAGGTGTGTGTCCTGAGGCCGGGCCCCATGGCCGCCCCAGTGCCTCCAGCAGGTTCCAGGCTTTGCTTCAAACCCTCCCTGAGCCCCAGTGGAGGGGCACTACCCTCTCCAGGGCCGTTCGTGTACCTCTGTGGGGACTCTCTGAGCCTCGGCCAGCGGGTACACAACCAGCACCCCTCGAGGATGGCCGGCGGAACCCCCTGGGATGATGGGGTGTGTGTAGGCCAAGGGGGGCTAGGGAGGGCAGGGAGCCTGGTGGGGGTGAGGGTGACGAGTCGGGGAGGACATGACACCCCACTCAGCTGCCCTCTGCTGGCCTCCTGCACCGAGCACCAAGGGCAGGGCCTGTGCAGAGGCTTGGTCACAAACGCCTCAGGAGGGCTGGAGCTGACACTATAGCCTTGGTGGACCGTTTTTTTAATTCAATTTTTTTAAAACCACAGAAGCAATTCTCAGTGTATGAGCCATTGAAAACGGGCTGGCCCAAGAGGACCACAGGCGTCCAACACCGGCTGCAGACCACTCCAGTCGCCGCACCCCATGGAGACAGGGCCTCCCGCCCCAACAGGTGCTGTGGCCACGGGGCAGAGACCCACGAGAGGGTGGAGGGCGGGCCGCACCCTGCGCCTACCCTGCCAGTCCAGCGTGTGGAGGAAGTGGTTTGCATCTGTGCTGCTGCTCTGCAGCGAGTCCGAGTTTGTGGGCTCAGCCTCCGGAGACTCCGCCTCGGCGTCATACTGAGCCGTGGAGCCCGGCTGCCGGGGCAGCTCTGGCTTCCCTGCCAGGAGAGGACTGGCGTTAGCCAGCTGTGCCAGCGCATGAGCTGGGGCAAGGCCCACAGTCAGGGACAGCAGGGGAGCTGGGCCCCAGACACAGCCAAGACAGGGGCACGGCGCACACCACACACCACACACATGCTCGAGCACAGAGGCGTGCGTGCGGCTCCTGGGGATGCCGAGCCGTCCTCAGATAAGGAGGAGGAAGAAACACAAATCAGGGCCTGGCAGCCTGCCTGCTTGGGGACTCTGAACTATTCTGTTGGGTTGCCCTGAACTGAGGAGACCCCTGTGCTGAGCAGGGGCCACCACCAAGAGCACAGGTCCCCAGGCGAAGCTTCACTTTCCTCAAGGTTATTAGGCACCTCACCCATGTCAGCCAGCTCGCAAACTGAGCCCCTGGGGGTGGGGGGATCATAGCCTGGCCCACCAAGACCCCAGCAGCAGCTCCGGGCCAAAGTGCTTGCAAAGCAATTCCACCTTGCTCTGGAGAACGGGACCTACTCTGTCCCAGAGGACAAGGACCTCCCTGGAGAGGTGGTGTCAGGGATGGCGTGGGGTGCAGCTGGAGGGATGCTACAGCCCTAAGCTACAGCCTCAGGGAAGGCTGGAGGGAGTTCCTGCCACCTCCTAGCTCCAACCTGGGCCTAGTGCCAGGGTCAGGGCTCGAGACAGGGTGGGGTGCTCCCCAGCCAGGGGCAAGTTCAGTATCCCGTAGGCTCTTCCCCACAACTGGGGCCACAACCAGGCCACCTGCAGGTGGGCACAGTGTACATGTTGTTATGCCTTTGTGACCTTACCAAACTTGGACAGGATCTCCTGTTGCTCCTCCCGGCTGGAAAACAGGATCTTGGGGTTCAGCCCCCTCATGCTGGCATTCTCCCAAGGTGGCGCCTCCCGGCACGGCCTGTCCCTGGCCTCCACCTCCACCTCCAGGTTCACTTGGAACAGATCTGGGTACTTCTCCTGAATGTCACACGCATCCAAGTCATACCTGCAGGTCCCACAGACACATCAGAACTGCCTGCAAGATGCTCACCCATCCTTCAGTGCCCACCAAGACTGCTCTAAGTGGCATATCTGAGCAGGAAGGAGCAGGACCTGTCGCCTCCTCACCAAGGGCTGGCACACCTAAGTTATATCCAGGCTCCCTGCCTGTCAGCACTGAAGAGGACTGGGCTGGGCCCATGACCCCCGAGTCCACAAGAGGCCCAGGACTCCTAAGTTACTGGAGAGGACAGGCCTGTGCCAGGTTGGGGAGGTCATAAGGGGAGGCAACCCAGAATAGTTCTGCCTTTGTCCCTCTAACTGCACACGCGCTGTGGATGCTCAGCTGATTCAGATTAGGTGCTGTGGAACCTTACGTGCATTTTCCATAAACAAGGTAATACCTGTTGAGAAACCCCTAATCATTACCAGATGGCCATGGAACCAAGCCTCTGGGATCTCTTGCAAGACGGCTGTGGGGCTGGGGGAGGTGGCCCACCTCTGTGCCTACCCTGCCTGGGCTGTGGGAAGCAGGTGGGCAGGCAGGGGCCTCCAACCCCCAACCCCCGTCAGGCCCTGCAGGTGGTGACATTAGCCATTTCATGCACTACCCCAACAGAGCGGCTCTGTAGCACTCTAAGCCACCTGAAAGTCACTACACGTTACTCTTAAGTTTTAGATTTTAAAAATCCCAACCCTAAAAAACGCAAAAAAGTGGCGACCATTCCCTACCCAGATGCTGAGGCGGCCTATGGGCTCCTCTGAGCACTGTGAGTCCCTGGTCACCAACACTGGGACAGCAGTGAAGGTGCATTCAAGGGGCAGAGTGACGGCTGACTGCACCTCTCCCTCAGATTCAACAGGCGGGTGGTGACACACATCACCCTGGCCTTCCTCCGGGCTGGCCACGGCTCCTGTGCGTGGGAGACAGGATGCCTGGGACACGGCTCCGCACCGTGGCCTCTGGCCAGCAACCCTTGGTTCTTCCAGGCCGAGCCCCTGAGAGTGGGCACAGCTAACACGGGGCGGCGGCCGCAGTGACAGAGGAAGCTGGAGGGGCCAGGCGGGTGGGCCACCCAGGGTCAGCCTGGGACAGAGCGTGGACGGCTGGGCACTGCTCCCACCCAGCCTGCGGTCTGGTGGAGCCGGAGACTGCCCCTGAGCCTGCAGGGCATTGAGGGAACAATGGGGTCTGTGAGCAGGGAGGGCGGCCCCTGGGGCCTGGACCTTAGGACAGGGCTCGCAGCCTTGGAGGATGAGCATCAACACAGGCTCCACCAGGGCTCGGAGCAGCTTCTGAGATGCCTGGCTGGCCGACAGAGATGCTCTCTGGGGTCGAGTCCAACCTGGGCCCCGAAACCCCTGGCTCTCGCTGATCACAGGCTGCCTCCAAGGACTGGCACAGGTTCCAGATAGGATCTGCCCACCAACATTCCGGCCCCCTCTCTCCAGATGGAGCGCTGCCAAATGTGAGCACCAGTGGGGGCCGCCCCTGCCGTGTGAGGACGGCTGAGGGGTGCCTCTGAGAAGAAGGGTGGCCCTCTGCAGACATAGACACCTACATCTATCTTGGCAGGTGAGGAGAACTGGGCTCCTGATGCTAGGAGCCCTAGGCTGCAAAGGTCAGCTTTTCCTTAATCTAACAAACACCTGCATGTCAACTTGGAGAGCAGGGTTGCCCTGGCTCTCGGTTCCAGAGGTTTCAGTTCATGGCCAACGGGTCCTGTAATGAAACAGCACATCATGGTGGGCACTTGTGCAGGAAAACTGCTCACTGCATGGCCAAGAAGTGAGAGAGAGGGGAAGGGGCTGGGGCAAACAATCCCTGGTGGGTACCACGACCTCTCTCCAGGCTCCATCTTGAAGTCTGCACCCCCTCCCTCAAGAGCACCCTAGCAGTGGGCCCTGAGTGGCCAGCCACAGTCCAGCAAGGTTGTCCTCCAGCACCTCTGGGCTGCTGGTCTTGGCTCTGGCTTTTGCTATTGTGATCTAAGCCCTGAAAAACCAGTAGCTTAGCAAAGGGGGGCTGCCAACGTCAGTGGTGCTGCAGCCCAAAATCCCAGTGAACTCATTTACTAGCCACACTGGGCTTTTCCAAGCCATTCTTTGGACTGTCAGTGCCCTGTCAGTTTGAAGGCAGGTATTTCACTCACATCTCTCTGGGAAATGTACAGAGAGTCACACTGGAGACCCAGTCTTTAACATAGGGTCCAAACAGTAGTACGAGATGTCTTTGTAAAGCAATCCCAAAGGGACATGACCTCAGTCCTTGCCCATGGGTCCAGGGGCCATGGCTGCAGTCACTCCTGCTCCCTAATGGTCAGCCCTCTGGCTCTGCGCTCCAGGGTTGCCTCAACCACACACGGCCCTCCATGAACAGCCCATCTAGTGCCTGTGCTCACGCCCTTGCAGGCTTGGACTGGGACTGAGCCACCATGAGGCTGTACTACCATTCACCAGCCTGCAGCTCCTGCTGGGCACTGAGAGGAGCCCATACTCTCAGCTTGCTGGAGCTGCAAAACTCAGGTGAGTAGCTGGCAAGTCCTAAACCCAGTGCTGTACTGCTGTTCACACTGCAGTCATCAGCACCCTAATTCCATCACAAGCCTACTCGCCAACTCAGGCTGCCTCCAGAGCACCTCACCGTCCTGTGTTTCCTGAAAGGCAGTGGCTCTGCCACCAGCACTGCTGCCACTACTGCCCTTTGCTGGTTGGAGCACGCACCTGCGTGGCTCTGGGCGAACAGAGCTTCACTGGATGCAGAAGCCCCACACCTTTCCTCCAGGGCTGGTAAGTTGCTGCCCTGTCGGCAGATCACAGCGGTCGGCCTTGTGTGTCTGAAGGTCATGACCTTGTGGGAGTCTACGACTGTAAAGTTTTCTTATAGGAGTTTTTTTACTACACAGGCCTGAGCATTTGCAATGCTTCTAAGGATGGCCCAATGTCGCATCGGTGTAGGACATCACTGCCGACAGCGTCTGGGAACTGTTCTCCCATGTCGAGGAACCACTGCCGTCCATTGTCCTGTATCTGGCAGCTGTTCCTGTCCATTCTCTCTCTCTCTCTCTCTCTCTCTCTCAGATGCAGCACGCCAGACCAGTCCAGGTATCTCAATCTCTATGGCCTCCTCTGGGCTGCAAGCTAAGGACATTCTCCTACAACTCACTGCCTGCTCTGCTGCTAAACCCATCTCCTGAATTCTGCATTTCAGCTGTGAGATTTCTGTTCTAAAATTCACACCTGCCTCTTTCAGTATAGTCCAGATCTGGTGAGGTTCCCCATCTTGCCCAGTCTTTCTGAATATGCTACCTTGGTCAGTTTTCTGTTGTTATAATAGAACATCAGAGGTGTGGGTGATTTACAGAGAATAAAGGTTTATCCTGCTCACAGTTGTGAGGCTGGGAGGTTCATGATCAGTGGCCACCTGGTGAGGGGTCCTGGTTGCTGGGGGCTTGCAGTGCCCACGTGGTCCTGGGTATCAAGGGCAGGACAGCATCCATGCCTGGTCCCCCCTCCTCTGACAGGACCACAGTCCCAGGCCCAAACTGAACCTTAACTATCTAGCTCAGGAGGGGGACCACCGCAGGGTTAGGGGAGACGTTCAGGCCACAGCCATTCTACTCCCGGCCCCATTTACTAACCCCACCATCTGAATCATGTAGAGCTTTCACCTATGCCTTCCTCCTGACCTGCAGTCATTTGGTCTTTAAAAGTTTTTTTTTTGGTGGTACCAGGGATTAAACTCAGGACCTTGCACTTGCCAGGCAGATGCAGCAGCAGAACTACATCCCTGGCCCCAAAAGAACTTTTAAAAGAATGCCTCTGGGCCAGGGGTTTAGCTCAGTGGTTCTGCTGCTTGCTTTGCAAGCACAAGGACCTGAGTTCAATACCCGGTACCAAAAAAACAACAACAACAAAAAGAATGCCTCCATTATGGTAAAAAAAAATCAGACAGCTTGGGCTAAAGAAAGTTGCCAACATGACAAGAACAGACACCAGCAAGAGGAGCTGCCACAGCCGCGCTCCCACAAGGCCCAGCCCAGTGCCACTGAGACTGTGTGGGGAGATCCTCCAGCCAGACCCAAACGCCCAAGCCCAGACACGTTCCTGCTGCCCATGGCTGCAGTACACCGAGCCAGCCCCCAGAGCAGAGCCGACACCTGCAGCAGAACACAGTGGCCAGTGAGGGCCACACCGGTCAAGGCCTGCTCCTCGTGCTGGCTTCACATCTGCCTCTGAAGACCAAGGGCCAGCACTTCAGCTCCGGCCTCAGTCCCTGGCAGATCCCTCACACAGGTGGTGCTCAGAAGGCACAGCAAGCACCCTCGTGCAAGGTTAGACCACATCCAGCTATGCGTGGCTAAAGTCTCAAGAAAAAGACATGGCTCAGGCCAAGGGCAAGGGTGCGAAGTCAAAGCCACTGGGGCCTGAGGAGCAGTGGAAATAAATGTCTAGGACAGGCAGGCCCCGGGTCCAGTGTGACCAGCACCCGCACGCTGCTCACCACATCCACAGCCTCCTCCAGACTGACACACCGGCCGAATTCCACCAACCCATCCCACACGTACTTCGCAAACTTCACGGTAGTTGCATTCCGAGGCACGAACCCAGTGTGGAACTGAATCTGGAACATCTTCATGGACGCCATCTGCAAGAGAGTGGGCCTGGCTCAAGAGGGGCTGGGATCCAGGTCACAGAGAGGACCTGGCCGAGAGCACAGCCCCTGGTCCGGGTCTCAAGACCCCTTCTGTGCCCTGTGCAAGGCCCGAGGACAGAGGCACCAGGTACTGGGGGTGGGGTCAGAAGCAGTGTCTCGCATGGGGGCCCAAGGCCCAGGCCCCGCAGCCCCCATGGTCCCGCGCCTGGGATATAATCCCCTCTGCTGGCACTGTGTGGAGTGCCGCAAACCAGCCCAGGTGACAGCTTGCAGCTCCTCCTCAGCTTGCCTGACCAAGGCCTCTGCGAGCCCAGGGAGCTGGCAGTGCACTCGGCTGAGGTGGCCTCACCTTGGCCTGCAGCCGCCCACCTAGGGTGGACCTGGCGTGGTAAATGACAATGAGCACGTCGCCTTGAACTGTTATGCCCAAGGGGATGACTGCTTTGCCGTCCTCGATCTTAAACTCCCTAGAACAGAATGAGAAATGGCTCGTGAACCATAGCAAGAGCTCCGAGATCTGAAGCACTGAACTACTCAGAGCCCAGGTTTCTCATGTCATCAGTGGTATGCTCGGGATGGGGCCCCACCCCATGCAAGGCCCCACTTCCCGGACTCAGGATGCAACACAGCTTCCTGTCCCCACAGGGCTCAGAAGCGGGCTGGGGCACAACAGAGATGCCTGCATCTGCACTCACTTCATCCTGTCATACTCCTGAGACGTGGTGGTCACGCGCTCGTCCGCCACGTAGACCTCACAGAAAGGCCTGCAGCCACTCCTCTGCTTGCTGAAGAGCGGCACAGGGCTCATGACCACGGCCTTCACCAGCAACGGCTTGCTGTGGGGCGTGATGGCCTCCTCAGCCACCATGTCACACACGTACTCGATGTACCTGGGGCAGACATCCACAGTAACGTGTCCCGAGGGCCAGACACACACTGGATCTTTTCTCTTCGAATACAAATATTTAGTGCTACACATTTCCCTTGAAGCAACGTTTCAGTGGCTTCTCACAAATTCAAGGCTGTAATTTTCACTCAGTTCAAAATATTTTTTTAAATTTCCCTTGAGACTTCCTCTTTGACTCACAGGTCATTGAGGTGTTTAATTCTGAAATATTAAGGCATTTTCCTAGATGTCTGTCTGTTACTAAGTTCTAGTTGCACTTCCTGAGGCCTGAGAACACATTTGTATACATGATTCCCATTTTTTAAACTCGTCAAGGTTTGTGTAATGGTTCAAAATTATCTTTCTTGTTGCGTACTTGAAAGAAAGGTACGTACTTCTCGTTAGAATACCCGCAGCGACATCGGTAGGGCACTGGCCACTGATTCCCATCTACTTCCTCTACGGATCACAAAAGGAATGTTGAGGTCTACACTACCACACTACCATACATTCTGCATCTGTTTGGTGATTCAGCTTCTCTGACTTTCCTTCGGGGAGTTTTTGAGGGCACCTTGTGTCCGTTTCCCACTGTGGGGTTCCTTCTGTGGGGGTCTGGGAGAAGCAGCCATGGGGGGTGCCAGGGGGAGACACGTCACCCTCCTGCAGGCTCCCCTGTGTGGAAGACTGCGGCAGCCCTGAGGATTTGGGTCCACCCAGGTGGCAATGAGCACACAGCCGGGATGTGAGGCTCTTCCTACAGAATCAAGTGAACACTGCTCATGCCTTGTAAGCCCAGACAATAGTCCAGCAACGGAGAGAGGCTTCCGGGGTCAGAGGTCAAGTCTCCAGGAGGACCCAGCCCAGCCTGCGGGACCTGGCAGGACCAGCACTGGCACTGCGCGATCTGTCTGCGCCACTGCCTCCTCCACTGTGCCATCCAGTCTCCTCCTGCAGACACTGCACGGCCGGCCCTGCCTTCCACAGCCCAACGCGGGGCCACACCGCTGGGTTCCTTCACCATCCTTGCTCGGCGGGCGGCTTCCCATGCCTGTCTTGGTATCCCGCACTTCCTAGGCACTGGGTGTCGGCTGTGAACTCGAGAAACTCCAACACTTCTCCAGGGTTCCCACCCCTCTCTGGGATGCACATGTGTACATCCTGCCATCTGCAAGGGCCTGGCAGAGTTGGCATCTCCGGTCCTTCATTGACTCTGACTCCACTGTCTTTATGTGCGGCTGGTTCTGCAGCTGGGCAGGGCTTCTCCCTCCACTGCTGCATCTTCTTCCCCTCTGACATCACTGCTGGACCTTGCACCTCTCCCCTTTTGCACTAGGGCCATGGGCACAAGCAGTACTCCAGGTTTCCCTCGAAGCTCCCAGTACTACTCAGTCCCCCTTGCTCCTGCGGGGCAAAGGATCAGGTGGGGCCTGTGTCTCCCTCTGCCTCTCCTGGTCTGTTGTGGACGCTGAAGTGCCATGCCTCAACCCCAAGGCTTGACCGCACCCCTGTGTCCACTCACATGTGCCCCAACAGTGAGTATCTGACACCCTGGGGCCTGGGGTGGCTCGAGGGCAGTGTCAAGGGGTCTGGAAGCGATGAGTAACCAGTAGGTCCAGCTGGCTGTCACATCTCTGCCCCTGAGGGGCAGGAGTCCTGGCGGGGACCCAGAAGCCCTCCCTGTCCCAACTCCTGAACACAGGTGGGGCACAGGGCACACATGGTTGGGCTCCTGTGCTGAGGCCCTTCCTGCCCCCGGGCCTGTCACAGCTGTGCTGCTCTGCTCCAGCCATGAGCACACAGGGTACCCCCTTTCCTGCTTATGCTGTGAGACACCACCTACCAATGCCCACTGCCAACAGACCGTGCAGTCACCATGCAGACAAATGATGCAGGGCCCCATCTCCCCGCAGTACCACATCAGCTTCTGCTCCTGTGCTGCCCACTCTTGGGAGCCTCTGCTGGCCATGCCAAGGCCCAGTCTCACGGAGGGGTGAATCTGTACAGGTCCCTAGGTCCTCATCAAGACCAAGCTCGAGCAATGAGAAAAGTAACTAAGACAAAATTTGGTACGAGAAGTGGGGTTTGCTGTGACATTACCTGGCCATGTGGCTCAAGAGCCTTTGGAACTGGCCTGTGGGAAGGGAAAGAGTTGGAAAGGTTTGGAGATGCTAGCTGAAAAAGTCTCGTTGGAACGCCTGAGGCTGTGCTGTATGGGAGAAGACCGGAAAGCTGGTAAAAACTAGGCTCGAGAGGTTTCTACTAGGAAGAAGAACTGCACTGGCTGCTGGACTCCAGATATTATGGCTATGGCAGAAAGTTTCTATGTATTTTGCTTATGTCCAGAGACTTTGCCTGAGGTGGAAATTAAGGGCAGCACACTAACTAATCTGGTAGAGGAAATTTCAAGGAAATCTAATGTTGAGGCAGTGGCGTGGATACTATTGGGAGCTTTTGGCCAGATTTATTTTGAGAATTGAGAGCAAAGCCCAGAAGAATGATTTAAAATGTTTTGAGTTTGGCCAGAAAGGAAGCTCCAGTAAAGATGTGGACTGCAAAGATAGCGCAAGGAGATCCTGATTGCTGAAAAGGAACAGGAGAACAGAAAAGATGGCCTTGGGCCGAGGATTTAGCTCAGGGGTTCCACCACCTGCCTCACAAGCAGAAGGACCCGAGTAGATCCTCGGTACCAAAAAAAAAAAAAAAAAAAGGTCTGAGGGCATCACCAGAAGCAGCAGGACTCCAGCCTTTGCAGCCTCAAAATTGCAAAGGTGAAAGACTTTGCTTTGAGAAGAGAGCCCAGAGCGCCATGTTCCGGAATGGCGCCAGCCTAGGGAAGTTGTTCCTGAGGATGTGGTTCACAGGCACTGGACCCCGACAGCCAAGAGAGAGGGAAGAATAGCTCCAGCTCCAGCTGGCAGCAGACCTTGGCGTCATGGATGTGGCACTAGTTTTAGGCGCATGCAGAATACAAGAGTTGTGGGGTCAAGAAGGCTTCCACTCAGATTTCAGAAGAAGGCCTGGGGGACCAGGCAGTGTGCTCGTGAGGGGCAGTGGATGAAGCTGTGAGTGTGTGGCCAAAGGTCCAGAGGAGACCCCTGAAGTTTGGAGAAGCCAGGAGGATGGATCATCTGAGCAAAACTGCAAGGAGGGAGCAGAGCCAGCCCGAGAGAGAAGCCTTGGGAGCTATAATCACTGGAAGTAGGGCCGTAGGGGCGGGGCCACCCAATCCCTTTTGAGTTCACATCTCGCCACAGATTGCCTCCGAAGCTGTATATGGAACTCTGGGACTTAATGTCTGCCCTGCTGTATTCTGGACTTTCTTTGTTCCCATTACTTTCACTGTATCCCCCTATTTGTACCTCTTGGAATGGTAATGTCTGTCTTGTGCCATTGAATATTGGAAGTGTTCAACTTTCTTTTCATTTGTACAGGTTTGCCTTAAATCTCAGAAGAGTTTGCCTTAAATCTTAGAAGAGACTTGGGACTTAGACTTTTCAGCAATGCTGAAACTGTCAGGACTCTGGCAACTCTCAGAGACGGACTAAATGCCTTTTGTGTAAAGGAATTACATGAGCCTTAGGGGGCCAGGGGCAGAATGTTAGGGTTTGTGTCTAGATGTCCCCCTCAACCTCATGAAGTCTTAGATGGGGCTTTTTTGGGGGGTACTGGGGATCGAACTTGGGTCCTTGTGCTTGCGAGGCAGGTGGTAGAACCACTGAGCTAAATCCCCGGCCCAGATGGGGCTTTTTTTAGAGGTGGCTGAATCTAGACTGTGTGATTCATGGTACAATGCTAGGCTCAAGGGCACTACGATTAAGGATGTGAGTGCTACCTGCCCAAGTAGCCTGGATAAGGCAAAAGGGGCAGAAAGATGCTATTGGTCCCCTTGTTGCTTTTGCTGTCTTCTGTCACCATGAACTGCTGCCCCTCTGCCATGTGCCACCCTGCCTTGGAGCCAGTCAATTATGGACTGAAATCTCTACAAACTGAGCTAAATAGACCTTTCCCCCTTAAAAAAAAAAAGAAAAGAAAAGAAAAGAAAAAAAGACCAAGCTCATCAAGGGAGTATTTATGCCAGGCAGTGGCTCTGCCTATCTGATAGCCAAAGGTCCCTGTCACTGCAGAGCAGGTATGGAGCTGAGTGGGTGAAGCTGGAGAAGGCAGCAGCCCTGGGAGAAGCCAGAGAGGGATCGAACCAGGCACTGTTGAGAAGCCACTGCCTTCACACAGTGGGGAAAGAGCACCTCTCAGCGAGGAGAGTGATGCGCATGGGCATCGGAGGGCAGAGCTGGCCTGGTGAGTGGGGCCACACAAGGCCCCACACCCGCAGGAAGACCCGCTGCCCAGGACATGGACAGGCATACCTGATGCGGCCTGTCCACACTGGCTCCCTCTGTGCAGCTGAACTGGCACCGAGTGGCGCTGACCCAGCTGTTCCTTCAGAGGAAGGGCTGGTGAACGAATGTAGCAAGGGCAGCACCATCTGGGGGCCCTCAGAGCCAGGCATCACTGTCCCCATCCTGGTACCTTTTGTGGGACGGCCAAATGCCCGGCGGGCAGCGCTTCATGCTGAACATGTACACAGCAGCCTCGGCAGTACTGAACAGACGGCAGAAACACAGGAAGGCGCAGACGACCACGGCAGATGCAGCTCTCCCATCCTAGGGCAGAGGGACACAGGGCTCCTTCGTACCTGGCCACTCACGCATGGGACAGGGCTGCACTTCCTGCAGATGATCCGCCAGCACAGGCCACAGGAAGGATGTGCTGCTCCTCTGCAGTTCGGGGTACACTCAGGCGCTCGCCTCTGCACCTCTGCCGCGGGCCTCCCAGCCCAACAGAGAGTGAGGGCTCCTTGTCACAGTGCAGGGCCAGGCAGCGTCACTGTCTGCCCCGTGCTCAGCGCTGGCCCGGCCAGGGGCCCAACACCTCCCCGAGCGGCTCCCACCGACACTGCCCGCGGCAGCAGCTAAGCTGCCCGACAAGGCCCCTAGACCCCCGTCTCTGCAGGCAGAAAACCCGAGGCAGGGCTCGTCTGCCTGGCTGTGGGGGAGCCTGGCGTCGGTGCCCATGCAGCAGAGCAGCCTCCAGCTGGCCAGTGGGTTGCAGCCAAGGCAGCTCCTGGCCGCAGGGACAGCGGCTCCCCAGGCCGGAAACTGCTCTGGCAACAGCCCCTCGCCTAGCCCCACCCAGGCTGGCCGAGCACGGGCCCGTGCACTCACCATGCAGTGCACGACACAGACGTTCCTATGGTCCTGCCGCAGCCAGGAGTGCATGCTCCTGCAGATGGTGTGCAGGCTGTGGAGGTTTGGGGCCCGCCTGGCGGCCCAGCCGCACTCGGAGACCTGTGGAGGGGTCCCGCTGGCTCAGGCCCCAGCTGGGCCACGAGCTCAGCCGCACCGCACGGCTGTTGTCCCTCAGCTGCCTACTTGCACACAGCACCCCTTGGGGCCTCCGGGAAGTGGTGGGCTGGTCCCTGAGCACGCTCTTTGGGTGCAGCTCACAAGCAGGCATCTGCCTCAGCTGTCAGCCCTCCGTGACACGGGACACAACTCACGGACAGTACAAAAAGAGCCACCCTGCCGGGGATGTAGCTCAGTGGTTCCGACGCCTGCCTCACAAGTGCAAGGTCCCGAGTTCGATCCCCAGTACCAAAAAGAAAAAAAGAGCCACCCTTCCTGAGCCCTAGGTCAAAAAAGCACAGGAGGTTCTGTGTCAGATGCTTGTTGCCCTCAGGGCTGAGAAGAGGGACGAAGGAAGGTGCCCAGCTCTGGGGAGCAGTACCCCTCCCTGAAATGACATGCCCTCCCAGCCCTCAAGGTTGTCCTGGCCTGCCCCAGGCCTCCTGCAGAGCCCACCCTAGTCAGAACCCCATCTGCTCATCGCAGGCTGCTGGGGTAAGGTCAGGGTCAGTCCAGCGGGCGGCTACGGGCAGACTGATCACACTAAAGGAACCAAAAACCTGCCACATTACACCAAGACAGAACTCAGGGCTACGCACCCGGTTGTGGAACTTGGAGGCCCGGTAGGTCCTCGGGGACAGGTTGTAGACAGCATAGTGACCTGGGTGCTTGGCATCCAGAAACAACCGCACATCTTCGATGTTATTTTTGATAGCTGACTCCACGCCCTCGGCGGGGAATGACATCACTGAAACAGAGCTGCCCGTCAGCCGCCCAGGACCCGCAGGGGGCTCACTCCCCACCACTCTGCCACGCATACCGGCCTCCTCGTCTACCAGGGAAGCCCAGCATGATTACATCACCCACCTGGGGATCCCCCAATCAACTACATGGGCTCAGGAGAGGCTGCAGCTCTCCAAGTGTCACGATGAGCACCACTAACCACTCATGGCCTGAAGACCCAGTTTAGATGTGCACAGCCGTGTCCCACGACCTCAGAGCTCCAGACAGTGCCAAAAACGGGCTGTCTGTCCCCTGAGCCAGGAGGCACACTGGACACAGGCCACCCAAACACCACCCCTCTGGGACAGTGGCCAGGCACATCCCAGTGGAGTTTGAGCTGCCCAGGAGGCTGGAGAAGAGGCACCAGGATGCCTCTGCTGGCCACTGGCCCAGGCCCACAGACTGTCTCCATGCATGACAAGGGGACAGGTGCACACAGAGCCGGCCCAGCAAACCTACCAGCAATCCTGGAGGTGATGTAAGATATGTCCAGATCGCCCTTCGCATAGCTAGGATCAGAGAAAAAGAGTGCATGACTGTACAGAAAATACTCCTCCACATGTCACCTCCAGCTGAGTCCTGGCAAACAGCGGGTGCCCCATTGCAGGCTGGACCCCAAGGGGCACATGTGGGCAGGGTGCTGCATGTGCACGTGCCACGTGATAGCGACACCCACATGGCAGCATACAGGAGTCAGCCCCTCAAGGTTTCAACGGCCTTCCCATGTTCTCGAGGGCCCTAGAGAAGCAGCAGTGGGAGCTGTTTTTGAGAGAGGGCAACGAAGGTGAGGTCACCATGGACAGTGGGCACGGGTCCTGCTGGCTCAGGGGCCTGGTAGGGCACTGTGGTAGGCAGCCTGAGGACATGGACTCCATGCAGGTCAGAGGGGGAAGAAGGGAAGCCCCAAGCCACAGGGCCAGGCACATCCCTGCTGCTGGCCTTGGCCAACTTACAGAGGCCACTTATCCCCTAAGGTAGTGGACAAAACCAATAAAGGGCAGGCCAAACCCTAACCGACCGGGGAGAAATCCACAGGCTCATTCTCATCCCGAGAAATGGCTGTGAAAGAACAGCCAAGACCCTCTGGGGGAGGAGCGAGAGGGCAGCCCGCTGGCCGGTGGGGCACAGGGAGCTGTACTGCACTGCTGGGCAGGGCCAGGGCGAGGTGGCCACACTACATCTGCCACTGCGGACGGGCCACCAAGGCGAGCGTCCGGGGTTAAGGACCAAATACCACAGAAGCACAGACAGGTCACCTGAGGCCAGAGCTCCACTGAACAAGGAGACAAGTGAGACAGAGAGAACAGCAGGCAGGCGCGAGGCTCTGAAACTGCGGCAGAGGAGCTGCTGACCAGGACAAGGTGACACATAATGAGTATCAGCAAGAGGTACACACAAGAATGTGCAGCTGAGTACAAACCCCTGGACCTGGCGGTGACCCAGCCACCCTGGAGAATAACTGTGCAGGCACACAGAGGACACCGCAGGACATATGCACGAAAAAGGGACCAGACGTCACAGGGTCCACACCCATCCCAACCTCCAGCCTGGCAGGTGGGCTCCACTGGTGTGGACGGGTACACCCTCAGGTGCACACCCCGCACTGCCAGGAGGCACAAGGACATGGGGCAGTTCTGGGTACACTCGGCCTCCGCTGTGGGAACAGCCAAAGCTGGAGGAGCCCACTGCTGCCTCTAAGTCAGCCCAGCACACCGAGTGCGTGTGCAGCTCTGTTCTTCGGCAGAAGCTTACAGCATCCACACACGTGCACCACAGATACAGTGCAGCACACACGTGCACGACACACGCTCACACATATACACATTCATACAATGCAGCACATGCACTTATTTGTGCAGGACATTCACATATATGCTTACATGTGTACACATTTACACAACATGGCACGTGAGTGCACGACACACACTCACGTGTGGATACATGCAGCTGTCAGAGCTGTGAACACTCAGGGACAACTATAGCACAAAAGGAAGAATAAAAATGTGACACAAGAGGACAAAGTTTCATCAGGTCTAGGAGGCTGTGGACCACACGGCTGCAGGTCCAACACCTGAGTGCACTGGTGCACCGTGGTGTTTCCTGAAACAGCCAGGGCACTCAAGCAGCAGGTGGCAGCAGTGACCAGGGCCAGCGAGGGTTCCCCAGGCAGGCCCAGCTGAGGCTGTGCCCTAGGAGCTGGCACAGGGCTTTGACCCACTGAGCCCCAAATGCAAGGTGGCCTGGTCCCATCACATGCTTTCCATATCAGAAGTGACCTCAAGGCCACAGCTCCAGCCCTGTGGCCAGGTCTCCATGGTGACTATGTTAACTGAGAAGAGCTGAGCGGGTTGAGGGGTCACCACAGCCTACAACCACACTGGCAGTTTACACCAAAAAAAGAAATAGCACTAGCGTGTGCGTATTAGCAGAGGAAGCCAGGTTCTGAGCTGGGGGCTGTGAGCCCAGTGCCAGCACACAGAGGGCTCCACAGATAGGGCTTCCAGCTCGCAGGTGTTGGGCGCACCCACGTCTATACTTGGTAGGAAGCAGAGGCTGGCACACGCTGTCCTGCACTTACTTGGCCACAGACTGGATGACCTTGGAGGAGGTGTCCTTGAGGTTGGTGAAGAGCCGCTCTGTCCCACCCCGCAAGATGTCAAAGAAACCGCCGTACGGTTGGTCATACTCTGCTAAGGCCAGGACTGCAGGGGAGACAGGTCTCAGCAGGTCACAGGGACTTGGGGCATGGGCAAAGGGGCACACTGCCCTGGCCGACGGAGTGGCCCCTAAAACCACAGGGTCCCGAGTGAGGCCTTCAGAGCGAGGCTCTGGGGGCAGAGCTGGGGCAGATGCCACAGGGGCCCACGCAGCTGAGATGAGCCAAGAGGGCTGGGAGCTTGGCTCTACAAGCCCCTCTCCCCACCACCCATGGAGACATTGGCCACATGTGGCACAGGCGGGCCCCATTGGGATGTGGACCCAGGTCCCTCCCCAGGGAGTAGAGAGCTGGGGAGGGAACCACAGAGCCTGCCATAGCCCCTGAAAGGAGAGAGAGGGGCCTCAGCCATGGTCAGGGCAAGGCTGCGATGCCACCCCCAGCAATGCTCCTGCCTGCACGCTTCTCGAAGCCCGCTCCCACAGGGGCCCTGGACACCCCCCCAGGAGGTCAGCTTCCCTGCAGTGCAGGTCAAGCTTTGGTCGGGCTCACTGTGGGGTCTCGAGCCCCAGGGTAGACAGGTCAGCTATGCCCACCAGGCCAACCCCAGCAACAACCTGGACACCAGGAGGGCCAGGCCCTCACCTGCTGAGCCCCCGTGACTGCCCTGGGATGGGCCCTGGGGGCTGGACCCATCCTTCTGTCCCTGCCCTGTGACTGCCCTCAGCTGATCTTGGCCTAAACCTTCCTGTCAGACCAACACCACACCGAGCGCCTCAGCTCAGTTAAGCTGGAGTCCCAGTAATGGTGGGGCCTCGAGCACCCCAGCCCTGCAGCCTGGCTCTCAGCAGACAGGAAGCCCATGGCACAAGCACCTGGTTTCCAGGTTGCGGGCAGGATGTGGCTACCCCTGCGGGGGGCGGGAGGTCTCACCTGCACTGTAGCTGCTGCTCGAAGGACCTCCGGGAGTGGGAGGTGCCCGGGACGGCCCTGGGTTCCCGTAGCCTCCGTTCTGCTCCAGCAGCTGTGAGTCAGAGGTGCAGTCAGCCCCCACAGCACCAGCACCAGGCACAGTCTGCCACAGCCCCGAGCCTGCCTCGGTGGAGCCCTGCTTGTGGTCCATCCTTCTGGCCCTTGGGCTGCAGTCTCTTTCTCCTCGTCCACCTGTCCGCAGCCTACCAACCCACGGAGCAGGAGCAGTGCACACTTGGCCCAAGGGCACCAGGGGCCGGCCGGGGCTGGGTGGCGCTGGGCTGGGCCCCTTGTCTCCTCAGCTGTGCAGGGCTCTCTGGAGAGTGAGCCAGTGCAGAGGAGGGCTTAAGCGGTTCTGCTAAGTGCTAGGATCAGGCACACTGGCGTGCCCAAGGTAAGGGGCACCTCCTCTCTGGACAGCAGGAAGAGTGAGGCCCCAACTCCCATACCCACCCTGGGGCCTCTGCAGGTGACACACAGGTCCTCGAGTCAGAGGCACAGAGGCCCAGACACCCTAGAGCAAAGCCATTGGCCAGCCCTCATCCCGCAGCTCTTGTGTGAAACCAAGCCACGGCCCCTGCCTCCCCAACACTCCTGACCATGTCATCCATGCCATGTACTCACCAACCCCACCCGGCACCCAGCTTCAGAGTCCCCCTAGCTGGTGCCCACAGAGAGGACCCACCAGCCTGTGTCTCCATGTCCTGCCATCTCTTAACCCCTAGCCTGTGCACTCAATGATGCCTCCATAGGAACCACAACCCTGACCCTCAATCTTGTGCCTTGCAGGGTCCCCATCCCTAAGGACTCAGGCCAGTCACTGTGACCTCTCCACACGGCACACTCGCCCTCAGCACCCCCACATCCACAGCCCATAGAAAATGTGGCCTCCAGCCACAAGGCTGAAAGAACCAGACACCACAGGACAGGGACCAGAGCTCCAGGGGAGGGTGGCAAAGTCCACAGGTGGGACCCAAAGGAGCCCAGGGACCCACCTGCTCCCTGCAACCTCGTGGCTACTTTAGGAAGGGCTTCTGGCTGATACCCCCCAGTGCTCTCTGGCCTGCCCGCTCTCCCCAGCCTGTCAGGCCCTGAGTGCCACTGGACCTGTGGGTTGAGCCTGGGAGTGACCACACCCGAGACCCTGAGCCATGACTAGACGCCTGAGCCCAGGAACCATGAAAGGCACAAAGAATCTCACTCACTGCAGCACCCAGGCAAGGACCACAAGACGGTGTAACAGAACCACCCTCAGGAGTGGCCTAGTCAGGACATGACCTTCTCCTAGGCTGCGGCAGGCCTCACCGTACGACAGGTAGAGCCCAAAGGAGCTCTCAGGGTGACGCTGAGCACACACACCCGACACCCTGAGACGCAGGCATGGCTAGCACAGATGACGGGCCTCACCTCCGTGATGGGCGCCTTGGGGTTCACGTTCCTGGCCGCTGCAATCTCCTGCAGCTGGCGCACGGCTTCTGCAATGGACAGTCGCTCCTCAGGGTTGACCTTCAGCATGGCACCTGAAACAGAACACAGTAGCTGTGCTCGGCCCATGCTGGACAGAGCCCTAGGCCCAGGCTGGACAGCACCAGCAGGCCATCTGCGATACGCACCATGCTGACGTCAGAGGCAAGGGCGGGAATAGCAAAAAAGCAAGGATAAAAGTGAGCAGTCAGCAGAAATGGCCATTCAAGCCAGGCACAGTAGCGCATGCCTGCAATTCCAGCACTGAGAAAGGCTGAGGCAAGAAATGCTCAACTTCAAGGCCAGCCTGAGCAACTTAGCAAGACCCTGTCGGAAAATAAAAAACAGATTGGAGATAGAGCTCAGTGCTGGCATAGTGTCAACTCCCAGTGCTGACAACAAAACAAAAAAATTGGCCATTCAGAGTACCCTAAGCTCACAAAGGCCAGGGCTACGGGGAACTGCTGGACAGCTGTGGCAGTGGGAGGTGTAGGTGGTGACACCCAGTAGCACATTTGGGAGGACTCACGGATGAGGTCGTGGAAGACGGTGTACCGTGTGTCATTTGCAGGGATCGAGTACTTCCCATTGACGATCCGCAGTTTTGCTCCATCCTCAAAAGGGTGCTGCCGGAAACACAGCAGGTACAAGATGCAGCCCAGGGCCTGCAAGGAGAGCAGAAGCTGAGCAGTGGTCTCTGGGACACAGGCTGAGAGCCAGGCACAGGGCGATCCATCCTCATGCCCTGGAGAACACGTGCCAGGCTTTTCATCCCCTCGATTTTACCAGTCCCACCCTGGTTTGGCTCACAAATGTCAAGGGGCCTGAGCAGGTCGGCAGTGGGATCCACCACACCGGAAGCCTTGCTCCTTCCATTCTCATCCAGCAAACTGAACTCTCAAGCTCACTGTGGCAAGTTGCAAACCCTTATTTTCACATCAAAAGGGCGCCTTCAGCCCGATGTGGTAGTGCACACCTGCACCCCCAGCACTGTGGGAGGCTGAGTTTGTCCAGCCTGGGCAACTTACCTAGTGAGACCCTGTCTCAAAAGAAACAATTTTAGAAAGGGCTTGGCCTATAGCTCAGGCAAAGGTGCTGGGTTCAATCCCGAGTGCCCTCTGCCCCTCAATTCCCCTCAGATTCCTATAGGTCACACTAAAGCATCAAGATCTGTGGGCTAGTGGGCACCTGAAAGGACCTTAACACGAGGGGCAAACGGATGCCAGGGACCCATGGTCCCAATGACTCCTAGCCACAGCCCCAGGCACCATGAGGGGTGCACTTTGCTGTGGTTTTCAGACTTGACCTCTCCCTGGATTCGTTCTGCCCAGAACATCCACCCGTGTAGACAGACAGGGCCTGTGGTTACTGAGACACTTCCCTTATCCAGCTGCCAGGAGCAGCACACTGGGGATCAGATGAAGCATGGCAGCTGTGTCCTTGTGCCCAGACATGTGCTGAGGGTCACTCATCACACATCACTTGCTGAGGGACAAACTAACAATGACAGGGTATAGGTCCCCATTACCCTAGCATAGTGGGCTCAACTCAGACCCCACACAGACACAGGCCAGAGAGTTGGGCCTGGCCCTGGGCTCAGTCCCCAGAACTGCAGAACTAAACTAGAACCAAAGGATGGGTACAGGGAGCGCCTGCACAGTGCGGTGAGACAGGTGGATGTGGAGGGTGGGCATCCGCATCCCGCCCCTCCTGGGACTCTCCTCACTCACTTTCAGGGATACCCTTTATGATAAACCAGTAGGTGTAGGTCAGTATGTCCCCGGGACCTGTGAGCCATTCTAGCACAGCGAGGAAGCCAAGGAGGGCTTCGTGGGAAGCTCGTTTCACAGCCAGTAGGTCAAAGCCCAAGAAGGTAACTGGGGCCTTGCAGCCGGCAGAGGAAGGGGCTGAGCTGAGCTGTGAGGGTCTGACGAGATCTCGAGTGGACAGGGTCACCCCATCTTAGCCTGAGGATGCCCTGCAGGCACTGCTGTGGAGCTGGCTGCCCACTGCCAGCGAGAATGGAGAGCTGCCCTCGGACAATAGGACATGGCCCTGAGGAGCAGAGCTCTGGGCATCAGCCGGCCAGCAAAGATGCAGCCGGTACAGACTTGGCTCGTGCAGGCTCCACTGCTGTATGCTGTCTCCATGAAAGCCATGGCAACACCAGCTGGCTCTGCTCCCGTCACCCCACTAGCACGCAAGTGAGTCTCTGTGAGATGAAGACCAGGGTCAGCAAAAGGAAGGGGGCTGTGGAGCACACGGCTCCACCAGCACAGCCCAGGCTGGGTGCCACAGCTGCACACAGGCCCCGGGGCTCACACCAGCAGTGTCTGGCTCACCCAGATGTCCTGCTTCTCGCCGATAGGGAAGTTGGAATACAGGTCCACGATCTCCGGTGTCCTGTACATGGGTGTGGTGTTCCTTGTGATCTGAAGAAAAAACCGTGACCATTGCACAGAGAAGTTACAGGCAAGGAACGTTTTTAGTTCTGCACTGATCCTGCAACTTTCCAAGCTCTGCTGCAGGCTGGGCACACTCTGTCCTCCCATGAGGCCCCAGAAGGGCCTCAGAGCCCTCAACTGAAGGTAGGTACAACCCAGCCTCAAGCAGGGACTCCCAGGGAGAGATGAGTCCCATAGGTATGTTTCTGGTTGTTGTTTTTTGGTGCCGGGAATCGAATTCAGGACCTTGTGCTTGGGAGGCAGCTGTGGTGCCACTGAGCTAAATCCCCAGCTTGCTTCTAAACCACGTTTTAAAGCTATCCACGTGTGGGTGACCGAGGAGCTCTGGAGGTAAGTGGCGGTGACGCCGAGTATACGTGATGCCACTGCACCCGACACTCAGAATGACTGCAGTGATAAGGTTCACATTACATGTGTTTTACAACAATTTTTTAAAATCCCAGAGAATAAGGCCTAAGACTCTCAGGGCCACTTGGCGAAAGGAGAAGAAGCCGAAACGCCACACTCAGTGGTCTGTGGCTACTGGAGCACGATGAGGGGCCTGGCCCTGGTGCCGTAGCCTCCACCCCGGTCCTTGGGGACACCCTGAGCTTGCACCCGGAGGGTGACAGGAGCCGAAAGGAGCACAGGCAGAGAGGACAGGGGCAGGGTGTGGCCTCCTCGGGGCGTGGCGCCACCCCGGCCTCACCTCCTCCTCCACCACGGCTCGCCTCTGGGCACTCCAGCTGTAGTCGGGGCAGTGGGAGATGGTGGTGGCACTGCCAAAGTCACACAGCTTAATGGTCCCCTGGCTGCTAAGCAACAAGTTCTCAACCTGCAAGATGCCAGAAGACAGTCCATGAACTTAGGGGGACACGGGGAGTTCGGACCTCAGCAAAAATAACAGGTGCGCCAGACAGGACCAGCAGACGGCCCGAGCCGGCCGGGGTGAGGACACCGGCCACAGCCTTTGCTGACTGCAGCCCCACTGCAGAGAGGCAACAAGCTCCACACCAGCAGCAGCAATGCAGGTGGTGCCCCAGGCCCGGGGGGACTCCGCCAGGCAGAGCTGGGGAGGAGGGACACACGGAGCTCAGCCAAAAGCCTTTCTCCAAGGGGACTGGGCCTCGTCTTCAATTGTTTCTAATCAGAAGCAACATACCCACAACTAAGAAAAATAAAAGTTAAGATCACTATAAATCAAACAGATAAGCCCAAGTAATCACAGGACATACAAAGAGCCTCCAGAAAAGCCAAAAGATGAAAGAACATATGTCACCTGAAACTAAATTAAACGTAACAACCCACGAACAAACCTAATAAAAGACACAAAAAGACCTCTCGTACAGAAAACCATAAAACAACTGAGATAAAATTTAAATACAAATCACAAAGGGAATCCTAACAAGCTCCCGACACAGTACCACAGTGTCATTAAGACATCACAGCATGAAGGGTCACAGCACTAAGGGTGACAGCAGAGGGACCCTGCATAAGCCAACTCTAGCCACAATCCACAATCTAGGAACAGTTTTTACATTTTTATTTTGTTTTGGTTTGGTTTTTTTGGTGCCGGGGATCGAACTCGGGTCCTTGCGCTTGCATAGCAGGCGGCGAAACCACTGAGCTAAATCCCTGGCCGAGACTTTACATTTTTAAACACCTAGGGGAGGGGCTCAAAGATAGATTAGCATTTCAGACACACGAAACAATGCAGGATTCCAACTCCTTTCCACAGACTCTGGGCTCACCACACCCACTGCTCAGGTGAGCATTCTGGAGGCTGCTGCGGCCAAGACCTGTGGCCAGCTGTGCCACAGCCCTAATGCCCTCACAGCAGTCTGTCAGCCCTGCTACAGAGTCACAGAAATTGCAATCAATTCCCAGAAGTCTGAGTGGAACCTGACAACTCATTCAAAAGCTCATAGAGACACAAAGAGCAAACAGAAGCAGACAGGCCTCTGTGCCAGGCTTTGGTCACAGCACAGGCGCTGGCCCAAGGACACGACCCAGTGAGCACCACACTCACCACAAGGTGCCCTGTGGGGACATGGAGAGGACATGCCGTATCGCAGTCGGGCCAAGAGGAGAAGGAGAGAGCTTCCCATAGCAGACAGGACCCAAGTCCACAAGAGGCAACAGGAAAAAACGTTCTGCTGGCCTCCTGAAGACTCCTATAGCACTCAAGTGACACTCGGTCACCAAAGCACTCCGAAGGGCAGCAGGGCAGCCACAGAGCACGTGGAAACCACAGGGGAAGGACAACAGAAACACAGCCCCAAGAAGACCCCCCCATTTCCCACTCAGTGAGCTCAGCACCGTGCTTCTGGAACCTCGGAAGATAATCCTGCTACAAGCACCCAAAAGCACTGGACACCAAGTCCAAAAGGAGGAGAAAGAAATGACAGAATGCATGAGAAAGACAGGAAGGCAAGAGGCAGGAGGGAGAGGAGAGTCTCTGATGGAGCCCAGCACAGGCGGACGGCTGTCTGCAGCAAGGGACGGGTCTGGCCACCAGTCACCTCAGACCCTATTTTCCAAATGTCTGAATTTGGGGGGCCAATGACAGGCCAGGGTCACTACGCTATCTGAGTTTTATGGGAGGACTCGTAAGGCAGAACTAACTCCCGGTGAAAGGCAGAGAGGACAGAACCTCCCCAAGCAGAGACACACCGTGGAAAACTGCTTCCAGACCCTGGGCCGAGGAGGCGGAGGGCACAACGAGATGGAAGGGACGGCGCTGAGGCCGACACCACATGGCACGTGAGGCAGCGCCCCGCATCCTGGGACCTCACAGGCACACAGAGGCCAGAGACTCAGGGGGCCAGGCAGGCGACCAGCCCCTGGGCAGAGCCCTCCCTGGATAAGGCAGCTGTGGCTCTGGACACCAGGCCCGGTGGGCATCCAGGCTCTGTACCACACACCCGGACAGTTCCAGGTGAGTGACACCCGAGTCAGTAAAGGCAGACTGAGCACTGGGAGGAACCGCAGGGGCCCGGTAGACCCAAAGCATGGGGCGCTTCTTCCAAGGCCTGGCAGGGATGCACTGCCCGACCACACTTTGGTAAAGGCTGACATAAGCTGATCTCCCAGGATTACGTTTGCTTTGCTGGCCAGAGTGCTACACTGATGTAAGAAACATCTGGCTCCCATAGATGGGGGTGAAACAGCTTAAAAACTCTTCAGCACAAACAATCTGCCTCGGTGAAGAGTCAGGCCAAGCAAAAGCTTGGTGGACACTGGATGATTCTCTCAAGTCTGGGGTTTATCTGCAAAACACAACAGCAGAGTACAAACCAGGCCAAAACCAGAAGACTCCTGCAGCACACACAGCCTTAGAAAGCTCAGTGCAGGACACACAGAGCTCCAATGAATCAAACTTGTCAGCCCATGAAGAAAGAGAAAAAAGGTAAAAACTAAAGGGAAGCCAACTAAAGCACAAGGCACTGATGACTGTAAACACAGAAATAGTCACTGGCGTTAATAATCAGGAAAAGGTGAACACCATATCCAAGACTGTGACTCCCACCCCACCATGCTGAAGGGCTGCCCAGGTCAACTCCAGAGACAGAGGCCCTGCAGGACAGGACGGCGTGGCAGGAGCCCTGAGGCGGACACAGGGCGGCCCGTGCATGGGTGCCAGGATGCCCACACCAGGGAGGCAGAAGAGCAGGAGCACTGCCTGAGCCCAGTGGACAGGAGCGCCTGAGACCCGCAGGGGCAGCGCTCACAAGTCCTCAGCCCAGCAAGGGACCAGGGTACAGAGTGGCATGAGGGCACCTGTGCCCACGGCTGGCACCTTGAGGTCTCTGTGGATGATGGGTGGCTTCTGCCTGTGCATATGCTGCACAGCTCTGCATGTCTGGTAGAAGATCTTCAGGATGGTGTCACAGGGCAGAGGGCCTTTAGCTTCAATTTTCTTTAGAAATTCGACCAGCTGCCCTAAAAAAGACAATTGAATTCAATCATTCCGGGCCTACAAAATGCCCTGCCCTCCTGGCTGGGGTGCGGTGGGGGGTGTTCCCGGTTCTGTCTGGTGCAGGGCCTTGCACCCACTAGCTTATCTGAGGCCAATCAGCGCCTATAGTAGGCCTGTTCAGCTGGTGCCACCTCTGCCACTCCTCTACTGATGCAGGAGGTCTGTGGGCAACAGCTGTCACAGCAAGGACACCCCTGGGGCGGCAGGGACGAGGCAGCCCGGAACAGCACAAAAACCAAGGCCATTCAGCGGAGGCCCAGGCGAGGGGAACAGGTCCCATGTAGCTGGGCACAGAGAGAATTAGGGACGCACATGCTTCACTGGGCCATGTGGAATGACCGCGGAGCACCTGCAGTGACGATGACAGACAGGAATTCCCAACGTGTCTGTGTAGACAGGTGCGGACAGTGTTCACCTGCTAACACAGCGTCTCCAAGATGGCACACAACATCAGACCCGCACTGGGCCCGGCATCGCCCAGCTGCTCTCCAGCACCAGCTCTGCCAGGCCCAGGGCCGAGCACCTGGGGCTGGGGGCGGGGACACTGCTGGTGCCCTGTGCACGCCCACACATTCTCCAGGGGCTGTTGAGCTCCAGCCACCCCACTTCATCGTAGGTCCCGCAGGGTCAGCTGCAGCCCCAAGCATGGCGTCGCCACGGGCCTCTGACCTACACCCAACCTGGTCTTGGTTCTGTGGCCCTGCACCTTGCTCTCCACAGAGCTGTCCCCGGGATGCCCTGCCCAGAACACTCCAGGCCCCACTCCACACCTCAGCCACAGCCACCAAACAGGCCCTCAGCCAAGAGATCCGGGCCCCACACTGGGAACTGCATCTCCTCCCCATTCCGAAGTATGCTGGCCTCACACCTCATACCCCATCCAGGGGCTTCACTGCCCACCTCATCTGAACATGCACCCCTTTCTCTGCCTGTCAGCTTCGCCCAGACAGTGCAGGGACCCCAGGGCCTGCACACAGCAGCGCCAGCAGAAGCTTCAAGGAGTGCCAGAGTCTGGATGCTAGTGCTCCAAGGACAGCATCAGTAACCTCCAGGCCTGTGCAACTTCTAGAAGAAAGGGAACATAGGATTCTGTGTCTCTGGTCTCCTGCAGCTCAGAGTGAGGCTTTCTAGTAATGCAACTTTCAAGCAGGAGCTTCAGGTGTAGGCCCACAGCAGGGATTCCAGACCAAGTCTGGATGCCTCCCAGCTACGAGCCCGGAATGGGCTCAGGCTCTGCCAGCCAGGCCACCCTGGCTCTCAACCTTGGCTGGACTGAACCTCGTGCCACCTCAGCCACACCTGCCCCCCAGTCTCTGTACCAACTAAGGGGCTGAGGCTTTGGGAAGAACACAGGCTCAGGAAGAGTCAGCTGGCCCAGGGAAGGAGGGCCAGGCCCGAGGGCGGAGCACAGGCAGTGATCCTGGCTGTGCTCAGTGGCTAATTCTTGGGGAGAATTAAGGGGTTATTATTATTATTTTTTTTTGGTACCGGGGATCAAACTCGGGTCCATGTGCTCGCGCAGCAAGTGGCGAAACCACTGAGCTAAATCCCTGGCCCTAAGGGGTTATTTTTAAAAGTAAAAATTCCACGGCTGAGAAATAACTCAATAGTAGAGTGCTTGCCTAGCACATAAGAGGCCCTGAGTTCCATCCCCATGCTGCAAAACAAAGAGAAATAAAACTCTACTGGTGATGGAAGGAATGCCCAAAGAGCTCTCCCTTCTCCTCAGCACCTCCTGCAGTGGAGGAAGACAGCGCTCCCAGCTTCCCAGCCATTGGCTCTGCTTCAGGAGCCCGGCCTGAAGGCCTCTTTAGCCTGACAAGCTGCTGCACAGCAGTTCCCATGTCCTCCACCTCTCCAGCACCCTGCACCTCCACTCTGGCCCCACTGGCCAGTCCCTGTGAAGCATCCTGGGCCACACCCTCCGCAGCCCTGCAGACACCAAACCTCGTGAGGACGATGAGTCACCAAGAAAGGGAGCAGGGCCTCCCTTGGAGGGTGGAACTGGGCAGCTGGACCCTGTTTCCCACAGCACCAGCCAGGTACAGCAACTGAGTCTCCACCTGCCACATCCTTCACTGGCCCGCCCTGGGGAGTGCCACAGCAGCGAACTCTTTTTCTCAATAGCTCCAGTTCAAACCCCCCAGGACCGGGATCTTCAGAACCAGAAAGCCAGTGAAAACGCTTCTGATTTTCCCAAATGATGGTGGGGCGGGGCACAGATTTTGAATAGCACCTGCAAAAATGCTAGATGACAGGAGCCCCACCTGGCCTCAACCCACAGTGGCCAAGTGTGCAGGGTGGGCAGAATCACACCCTGACCGCCATCTGTCCCACCGTGCAGTGTGAGACTCAGCCAGACCCAGCAGCTCCAGCAATGCACCCATGAGTCACCAACACTGTCCCAGCCAAGGGAGCCCCCAGCCTCCGAGCGTGGTGGGGTGAGGAGGCCACCCCTCACCCAAGGTCCACCCTCTGCAGCTTCCGTTACACAGTCACCTGTGGCCCAAAGACATGGAGTGGGACAATCCACACACAGGCGATCCACAGCGTTCGTGCTGTGTGCCAGCCCAAGTGTGATGGAGCCTCACACTGCCCCACAGGGTCACCCTGCCTATCTTCCCGGGGTATGTGCTTAGCGACTCAGGAGCTGTCCTGGATACCAGAGCGGCTGTCACGATCATGCTGCTCCTATCAGGGCTCTGACCTGCCCCTAGGTTCAGGCATCCACCGCCAGTCTGGGAAAAAGTCCTCATGGATAAGGGGCATACTCTACTGGCATCAAAAGACTCTTGATTTTAAAAAGAGGGTTTAAAAAAGTAAGTACATGTAGTAAATCCCTAGCCAGGTGTAGAGGTCAGGACAGCTTGTAATTCTAGCTACTTAAGAAGCTGAGACAGGAGCATTGCAAGTCAGTGGCCAGCCTGGGCTACAGAGCTAGTTAAAGGGCAGCCTAGTCACACAACGAGACCCAGTCTCGAGCCAAAAACAAAACAAAACCAAGAACAACAGGTTTATAAGCATTATTCAACTCTATATCTTCAGCTTTTTCATTGAGCACACGTTTTTGTAACTGAAAATCACAGTAACAGACATCCCCAAAGGGGAAGGACCCAGGTGAAAGCTGAGTGGAAGGCATCCAGAGCCAGGGCTGGCATCTTCCCCACCTGTGGGGATGGCTCAGGGCCCCAGAACTGGTTCCCAGACACTGTGTACCCCAAAAGAGCAGACTGGAGACAACGCGTATCACTCAGAACAAAAAGGACACAGGCAGGCTCACACTGAACACAGTACTGAGCCGCAGGGCTGCGTGGGGCTGGGGCAGTATGACCAAGACCCTGGGACAGCTGAAGACAGCAGAGCCTGGCTGTCACATCAGAGATTTCCTTAGGGACAAGTCTGGGACTGCACTTAGGCCACACGTAAGAAAAAAGATCTCTGGACTTGCTATTCTGCAACTTCTCTTTAAATGGAAGCAAGAACACAGAACGGGATAACACGATCCGGAACAAGGATACAAATGAGAGCCCTGTGTGTCCACTGCACCTCCTGCAAGTTCTCTGTAGGTTTAAAACTTTAGAATAAAAAGTTGAGGGAAAAAAAAAAATCCACGCAAGGGCCACTGTGCGGAGTTCAGGCACCAAGGTCCTGGCCACAGCAGTGAACCTGCATGCACACAGGTGTCCCCGGGCCTAGGGCGCCTGCTCATCGGCTGAGCAGAGGGAAAGCACAGGTGAGGGCACAGCTGGGAGGAGCCCTCTTGACAGGGCCATCAACTCAGGGTGCTCCCAGTCTTCCCCCACCTTCTGCCTGTGCCAGGGAAGGGTCCAGCACTGCACAGACCACTGCCTGCCACCTGCCCTCCCGCCACTCAGCACAGGGCCCCAGCCCCACCTGCACCTCCACGCCTCTCCCTCCTGCTAAGCCAGCCCCAGGACTTCCACTCCTCCTCTCAGCTGTGCACTCAGGCCCCAGCCTCCTCTGTCTTCTACCAGGCCCCGTCACTGCCCATCCTGGCTACTGGAGCAGCTTGTGTGGTGGCCCATGGGCTGCAGTGCTCACACGGCTGGGTTGCCTTTCATGGGCTCCCTGCCTCAGTCTCTCTCACTGCTCCTCCTGGGCCCCCTCTCCCTATACTCCCTACCCAGGCAAACAGCCACTGTGCCACAGCCCTAGCCGAGTTCCCTCGCAGTACCACAGGTCCTGAGATGGAGCGCGGACCCAGTAGCGGTGCTGGACAGTGAAGGAGGCCATCACAGCACTCCGCCAGGCACCTCCTCAACACACAGGCCTCTCCCTACCCTGATGCCTCCTTGGGTGTGACCTTCAGGAGGTCACATGCCCCCAAGGGCTCCTCTCTTTGCCAAGAGCACACGGTCCCCCTCCCTTCCCACATGCTCACTGAACGCCTCTTCTGTGCCGGCCCACCTTGCCACTGGGAAGACATGGGTGACCCTGTTCCCCCAGAGCCTGCAGCCCAGACAGAGACACGGCTAAGCCTGTTCTAGGTGACTCGGATCGCCAAACGACTGGCCTGTCCTCCTGGCTGAGACCAGCACCTTCTAAGAGGAGTAGTTTATGGCAGGGTGAACACACCAGAGAGTAGCACCCGGGCTCCAGAGGGACTTTACCTCTGCAGAGCTCTGTGAGCAGCAGGAACTCTGCCTGGCCTGTGTCTGATTCCTCTTTTCCTATGGATGCTGCGGAGCAGAACTGGACAATGTTGGGGTGGCCGGAGAGTTTTTTCTGCAGGTATCTTGTTAAAGGAGAACGTGCATGAACATGTCCGCAATTCTGTGCACTCAGAACACACATAGCACTGAGAGACCAGTCATGATACCTGGACTGCCTTACATCTCAGCTGAGCAGAATCATGAGGACGGCCACACAGCGCCGTGAGAAGCCCGGGTGCAGGAGAAGCAGTGGAGAGAGCGACGTGCAGGCAGGAAGAGGCTCTGGGGCGGCACGGCAGGGAGGCTGTGAGGGGTACTGTGTCCACGCTAGCCACGGCTGAGCAGCCAGAGCTTGGACAGAAGAGAAGCAGACCCAGCCAGCAGCGACGCGAGGCCCCGTGCGGGGAGGGTGGGCACGGCGGCAGAGAACAGGAAGGAAGAGCCCACAGACTCACCATCCGTGTGGCAGGCGCTGAGCAGGAGGCCACATGGAGGCCTGCCGGCACCATGACTGTCCACACAGCCCTCACCCAGGCCTTCAGCTGGGGCGGGGCAGGGTAGGGCACTCCCCAGGTCCTGGCCACCACCAGGCGTGGGGATCTCTGGGGTAGGAACAGCAACCCCTCTTCCCAATACATCTGAATTTTTTACTATGACCCGGGGAGTACAAAACAGGAAGAAAACTCCTTTTCACTGGAGATGGTCTGCAAGAAATCTGGTAAAAGCAAAAGGGCAATTTTAACAAATCATGCAGAATGACACAAAGCAGCTTCTGGCAGCTGGTGGTCACAGCTTGATGCAGGTTGGTAGCTCCGTAAGAGATGGCACCAGCCCTCAGGCCCAGGAAAAGGATACCAAGAAGCAAACTTCCTGAATGATGGCTCTGTTCTTTTCCTCTTCATTGGACAGTAATCGCTGTCAGGGAATAGCACACAAGAAAGATTGAAGACCATTTACCTTGCACTTTACACAAGGCCTTATCTTAGACAAACATCCCAGAAAAGAAAAGGCGCTACATCTGAGAGCGCACAACCTGTTTGGCTGCATTTTAACATCTGACCTGACAGAAGCTTAGAGACCCTTGAACAGTTCTTGTAAGGCAAGGACACAAGAGAGAGTAGAAACAGGAGCCAAAGTAAAACAAGACAGACAAGGAGAGCAAGAGAAGCTGCCAGGCAGAGGCACAGGAACCCATCCGGGACTGCCAAAGCCAGGCCCCTCGGAGTCCACCACTGGGACCACCCAGCCCCCACAGAGAGACCTGTGCCTCAGGGAAACACCAGAGCTGCCCCACCCTGCACCCAGGTCATGCAGACCCCTCCCATCCCACCACGACCCCCAGCACAAGCTCTGTGAGCACAAATCCACATGAATGGGTTCTGAACTCCTCATATTCCTGGACCCTAATTCTGCCACATGGAACCAGGGGGCTGTGAGCTCACAGTGAGGTCACTTTCACCCTCCCTCCAGGGCCGACCAGCAACCCCCACCAGACAGAAGCACCTTGAAGGTGTCTTCAACCCAAGCTAGAGACAGAGAAGACAGATGGTTGAACTGTAAAGCAGATACAAAATGAGTAACAAGGACCCACCTCCAAAAACAGTCCTAGAGATATCTGTAAATAAACTAACCCAGTGTCCAGCTGTTCTCATTACCTTTCTTTTTTGTTTGTTTGCTTTTTTTGGTGCTGGGGATCGAACTCGGGACCTTCCGCTTGCAAGGCAAGCAGCAGAACCACTGAGCTACATCCCCGGCCTCATTACCTTTAATGCATACTCTCTGCCACTTCCCAGGTCTTGGGCTTCATACACAAATGCAAATCCTCCTGAAAATAAAAATATGTATCAGTTCAGTGCTACGGTTTAAGCTTAGAAAACCTTTACTAAGAGTCAGGCGTGGTGGCGCACACCTGAAATCCCAGCACTCTCGAGGCTGAGGCAGGAGGATCCCTGTGAGTTCGAGGCCAGCGTGGCCTGCAAAGTGAGTTTAAGGCCAGCCTGAACTACACAGTGACACCCTCCCATAAGACAAAAACAAAAAATAAATACCTTTACTAAGTAAACACCAGAGCCGTGACTGGACAGAAATTTGGTTCCCATAAAGAACTACAGCCCAGTTTACCTCCCAGTGCCACTGACATGATGGGAAAGAAAGCCTCAGGCTGATCAGCAAGGAGGGGAAATGGAGAATCAGCAAGGCGAAAAGCCAGTCCTCTGAGAACAGTAGCTCTGCTGAGATTTTAGCAGACAGTGTTCAGGTTTGATTTACTAAACATTTTTCTTGAGACAGAATCTCACCATACAGTCTAGGCTGGTCTTGAATTCATGATACTCTTGCTTAGCCTCCAAATGCTGGGATCACAGGCATGTGCCACCGTGCCCAGCCTTTGCTAAAATTTTTGCAGTGTACTCCAAGTAGAAAATCACATTGTTAAAATTTAAACTGTCACCAAATTTGGAATCGAGAGCATCTATGAAGGACAAAAGCAGAACCCTACCTAGCAGGGAAGGTGAGCCCTCCCCCAAAGACTAAGAAGGGCTGTGTTCTTGTCGCTTGGTGTCATACTGCAGTGCAATCACACAAAAAGAAATGAGAGGCATTTGGATCACAAGAAGCAGCAAAGGCATTCTTTTTTTTTTTTTTTTTTTCGGTACTGGGGATCGAACTCAGGTATTTCTATATCACCAGGACAGAGACTTCTTAGCTATAAGCACAGAACACCATCCATTTAAAAAAAGGATAAATGAACTATATCTAAAAAGAAGATCGGCTCTTTTAAATACACTAGTCAGAGAACAAAAAGAAGAGCCACTAACTAGGCTTGCAAAGCACATACCCAATAAAGGACTTGAGGGCCAGGGATTTAGCTCACTGGTGCTGCGACCTGCCTCGCAAGCGCAAGGTCCCGAGTTCAATCCCCAGTACCAAAGAGAAAAAAGGACTTGTACCCAAAAAATATAAAGAAATCTCAAAATTCAATGACAACAAAAATGTTAATGAGCAAAAAACATAAACAGACACATCAACAAGGATATAATAGTAGTTAAGCACGTAGTAAGATGTTTCATCATGATCCATTAGAGAAGTGCAAATTTAAGCCACAAGATACTCTAAGAACCTATCAGTATGTCCAAAATTTTTAAAACCAGACCAAGTGTTGCTTAGGAGGTGGAGCAACTGGAATGTATACACACTACTTGTGGAAATGTCAAAAGATACAACCACTCTGGGCTATCTTAACAATTTCTCAAAACATTAAACTTGTATGGACTATATGGTGCCAGCCATGGACATAAATGTACAACTGTAAGACTGTAACACTGTAGGATAAACATGAAAGATCAGAACTCTTGCACATCCTTGGGAAGGGGGATGTGCTACAATGTCAGTGCACTGCGACTACCTAATAACCTGCTTTGGAAATCAATCTAAATGCACCCTATTGACACCCGGACCGAGAATCCTGGCCCAAAACAAAGCCTCTCCTGCTTCCGTGGGTCCTGACAGTTCTGCAACTGTACCAAATCTTCCCTGCCTTCCCATCCTGAACAATGAGGTGCCCTCTAGTGGTGGTGTTGGGGAAGCACACTTGCCTGAGTACTGAAGCTTGGTGAATGTTTACGTAAAATACTACAGACTTCTTAGCCTGTTTCAATTCAGAAAAAGACTCTAAACAACTAAGGCAAAGGAAGAAGTCTGGCTCATAACTGCCCTGGTTATTTTTTTCTCCTGGCTCACCTAGAGAGCAAAGGGAAACGAGTTCCGCGGCAACGCCGCAGCTCATGCTTCCTTGTTCTGCATCCGGGTGCTGCCTGACCTGCATAAGCTTCCTGCTTCACGGAACCTCTCTCTTTCTGGCCGAATCTCACTAAATCACACCCAAAATCCGCTTATGACCACAGTGGAGGGAAGTATATGACAAGGCTACAGCCACACCAGAATGTTGAGCCAGATCTTCCAGCTCCAAGAACCAGCAGCCCCCAGCAGGGCCTCAACCCTCTCTGCCCACTCAAGGCCCAGAACACAAGTGTTATTTGCCCACAAACTTTACAAGTGGTGAGACCTGACACAGTACTGGGCACCACTGGACCAAGGCAAGGGAAGCCTAGAGATGGGAACCCGTGCACACCAACATTCAATCTGTGTGAGGAAGGCAGAGGACATTCAGGAAGCACAAACAAATCAAATGCCCAGGACACACAGCCGAGGGCCTCTATCCTGCAAGCCTCTATGTGGGTCACAGCCACTGGCTGTAAGAAGAGAAAAAGGTACTGTGGGACCCAGCACTGCCCACCTTCTGCCCTCACCAAGGACAGCAGGACTCCCACCGCCTCAGTGCTGTGGGCAACCAATGACTGAGGAGCACCCCAGAACTCAGGAGAGCAGTCCTGACATCCAAAGGTCCAGTCCAACCCCCTGGTGCACAGCAGCCATGGATGTGATACAAAGAACCATGCTTTTGCCCTTCTCTAGAGCACTGCTCACCTCTTGACGCCAACTTTCAGCCTTTTGAGCCCCTTCTTTGGGCCTTCCCAACCCATTGGTCTGACTGTGTCCCTCCAGCAAGGCAGTGCCCAACCTTGGGCAGACCTACCCCGCACTCAGCAGTCAACCCAAGAGGCCCTGACCCACAACCTCCCTGCAGCCAGCCCCCAGGCCCAGTCCTGACCCACACTGCCACCAGTGGTGACACACCCTGCCCTACCCTGACCCACGCCCTGGCTGTGGAAACCCTCCTTGCCTTACCTGACCTGACCCCAGCAGTGGAGACCCTTCCTGGCTGTGACCTGATCTCTGCCCTAGCAGTGGTGACCCTCCCAGTCCTGACCAGACCCACGCTGAGAATGGTGACCCTCTTCACTCTTACTTGACTCATGCTGACAGTGGTGACCCTCCTGGCCCCAATCTGACCCCTGCTGACCCTCCTGGTCCTGACCCACATTGACAATGATGACCCTCCCACCCCTGACTTGACCCCGGCTGACAGTGGTGAGCCTCCCTCCCTGGTTCTGACCTGCCCCACACTGACAGTGGTGACGCTCACTGGCCCTGATCTAATCCCCACTGACAGTAGTGACCGCCCCCCCGCCCTGATTTGACCCCCACTCACCGTGATGGCTCTCGGCCCTGATCTAGCCCACACTGACAATGCTGACCCTCGCCACCCCCGATCCTGCTGACAGTGACCTGACCCCCGCTGACAGTGGTGACCCTCTCGGCCCGGACCTGACCCCCGCTGACAGTGATGACCCTGCCCGGTCGTAACCTGACCTACGCTGACACCGGTGACCCAGGCTAATCCTCCTCCTCGCGGCCTGCAGACGCTCCCGCCCGGCGCGGGCCTCACCCTCAGCCAAGACTCGCCGCACCCGCAGGCGCAGCTCGCCCAGCTCCACAGTCTGCCCCACGAAGTCACTCTGGTCGCGGCCGGCAGCGCCGCCCAGGGAGCCGGGACCCGCCAGGAAGTCGAGCGCGGACTGCAGCAGTGACATGGTGATGGCTGATCGCAGGCAGTGGAGCCGGGCCAGAGTTGGGGCTCCGACTCCGCTCTGCCGGATCAGCAGCAGCCGGCAAGGAGCCGCGCCATCTTCCGCCCGCGCCGTGACGTAGGAGCGCGAGCACGGCGCGGCGCGGCGCAGAGGCCCCGCCCCGGCGCGGCGGGCGGAAGGACACAGGTCACTTCCGGAGCGCCGGGCGCTCCGCTTCTCACTTCCCGTCGGCTGCTCGCGGGCGGCGCAGACCAGAGCGGAGGTGCGCAGAGGGGCAGTGGTAACCCGTGCAGGTCGCAAGCCCCGTCGTTACCCGCCCGCCGGCGTCTCATGTGGGCGGCTGGCCCCAGAGCGCCGGCCTAGACACGCGCCCGCCGGCCCCGGCATTCAGTCTCCTTCCGCGAAGTCCTGCCTTCCTCGGTGGCGCGGACGTCGCGGGCGTTGGGCGCGCAGCGCTGTTTAACTGTCGCCTCCGGCCCGGCCGCGCCACGGGCTGCCAGGAGCCGAGGCCGCTGGCGCTGATGCCCCAAGGTAAAGGGAGGCCTGGACAGCCTGAGGGCTCCTATCGCCGGTCACCAGGGATGCCCCTTAGGTGACCTGCACACACAGGTGTTTACTTCTTAGCCCGCCCAGGGTGGGGGCTGAAAATGAACTCGTTGCATCTGTTGAAAGGCTGAAAGTTTAAATGTTGACAAGCCCAGTTCTCTAGCTTGTGTTGCAGAGTCGCATCTAGCGAAATAGGATCCAGAGCCCCGCTTGCCAGCAGCCACCCAGAGCTTCCCCCTCGAGGTAAGACGCAGCCCTGCGCCTGCCGACCTGGTCCCTAGTGCAGAGTGGATCCTAAAGCCCTAACTTCCCAGGATTTCAAGCTTAAAAAGTATCTCTTGAAGGGCCGGGGATTTAGCTTGGTGGTTCCAGCGCCTGCCTTGCAAGCGCAAGGTCCCCAATTTGATCCCTAGTACCAAAAAAAAAAAAAGAAAGAAAGAAAAAACCCCAAATCTCTTGAGGCAGATTGACACCCGCTATCTTCAAAGTCAAATAGAAAAAGGATAAAAAGATGTACGTTGGACTTAGTGACAGCGAGCTCATGGGCAGCTTACCAAGCGCAGTTTGATCTCAGCGGTGGGTTGGACGCTGTGGGTCACAGTGGAGGAATAAGAGATAGTACATGGAGGTGACGGGGGAAACGTGCGGAGAAGAGTGTGGGGCTTGAAGGGCCAGGTACTCTGAGATGGGCTGTAGCCTGCAAAGAGAAGGCTCACTGGTACAGAAAAGAGGTATAATCAGTACGGGCCCTCAAGATAGGAGCACGGGCATTCAGAGCATACTAGGGTGTAGGAAAAGCACTTTCTTTGAACAGAGGGAAGGAGGAAAAATGGCTTGCAGTTGTAGGTTGCATTTTGTGTTTATTGGAATGAAACAAGGAATTCTGGTGACTTCTGGTTTCTGATAAGGAAAAGAAGGCATCTCCTGAAAGTAACAGGGGAGGCAGGAACCCTAAGGCTTGTGCAGTTCAGAAGAGACCTAAAACAGCCATTGTGAGAAACCTGAACAACTCACTAGAAAGCTAATGATAGAGTTTGTGGCCATGAACTCATACTGCATGACCTAGGATCAAATGGAGGTTTGGGGGTTTTTTTGGTGCTTGCAAGGCAGGTGCCAGAACCACTGAGCTACATCCCCGGCCCCAAATGGAAGTTTCTAAGTGCTGTAATTGCTTTGGAAACTAGAACCTACTCAGACATTTTCATAAATATTTATAGAGTATTTTTGCTGGCATCACAGTAAATATATAACAACACCATCTCAACCAAAATCTGCATCTCCAGGCTTCTTTCCCGAACTATTTGATACCTCACCGCACATATATCCACGTATCTAAAACTGAATCTGTGGTCTTGATTCCCCTGTAGTAGATGTCATAGCAAGGGAAATCACCAAGTTTGAGAGACTTAATTTCATAATGATGAATTCATCAAAAGCGTATACCAATCCTAAATATGCACCTGACCACAACATTGTAAAATACATGAACTAATAGAACTACAAGGAGAAATAGACAAGTCACAATTGTAGTTGGAGGTTGAGAGAGTTGGAGAATATTCTTTTGTTAATGATATGACAGAGCTAGGCATGGTGGCGCATGCCTGTGACCCCATATGTAATGAGTTCAAGGTCATCCTGAACTATGCAAGGAGACCGTTACTCAAAACACAGACTAAATGATATGACAGGTACCTAGAAAATCACTGAGCATATAGTAGACTCAAATATTATCAACCAACTTAAACTAATGAGCATTTATAAAATAATTCCTATAGTGATAGCAGAATAAACTTTTTCGGAGCATAAAGAACATTTACTAAGCTAGGTCATCTTCAGGGCTATCGAGTATATTCACTGACCACAGTGAGTTAAATTAGAAATTAATAACATAAAAAATCCTTTGAATACTTGGAAATTGAGAGCTCACTTTTAAATTCCCTTTGGATCAAAGAAAAAAAATAGTATTTAGAACCGAATAAAAATGAAAATACAACATTTCAAAATTACTAAAAGATAGGTATTATATCGGCAACCATTGTTTTAAGAAATGAGAAAAAAAGCTAATGAAGCCCAAAGTAAATGTAAGAAGGTATAAAAAAGGGCAAGTCAGTGAAATAGAAAACAAAAACGAAAGAAAATTAGTGACACAAAGCTGATTCTTTGTCATCAGTAACACTGAAAGTCTGGCCACATTGAACAAGAAATGAAAAAGATAAAGATTAACACTATTGGGAATGAGATTTGACACTACTAAGAAGATAGAATGTTACAGTGCCATTTTGCCAATAAGTTCAATTTAGGCTAAAAACTAATTCATTGAAAGCACAAACTACTTCAGCTCACTCAAGAAATAGGTAACTTCAATAGCTCTCTACCTATTAAATACTAACTCTATAGTTTGAAATTTTCCCTTGAAGGCTGGGCATGGTGGTGCATGCCTGTAATTCCAGCACTTGGGAGGCTGAGGGAGGATTGCTATGAGTTTGAGTTCCACCCAGGCTACGTAGTAAATTCAAGAATAGCCTGCACTGCATAATGAGGCCCTATCTAAAAAAAAAAAAAAAATTTCTTGAAGACTCCAACTTCAACCTCTTCCCTGGGAGGCCCACCAAACATTTAAAAAATAATCCCAATCCTATACAGACTTCTACAGAAAATTGAAGGAAGGAAATATTTTTCCAACTCATAACAACAGAAACAGTATAAGAAAACTATAACATCATGAACATAGGTAACAAATATTCTTCTAAATATTTTTAAGCAAATGGAAGCCAACACTACAGTTTGAGCATCCCTAATCCAAATATACAAAGTTCTCCAAAATCCAAAACTTCTAAGTGCCAACTGCTCAACTGATAAAGTATATTCAAATTCTCGAAAATTTGAAAAATTCAAATCTTGAGTTCTGGTTCCAAGCATTTTGGATAAGAGATGCTTATTTAAAAAAGGGTAATGTGTGACAACCAATTGGGATTTGTCCCAGGAATGCAAAGTTGGCTTTGTATTTGAAAAATGAATAGTAAAATTCACAAGAGTGAAAAATAAAATGGATCAGGCCAGATGTTGTGGTACACATCTGTAATCTCAGCACCTGGGAGGCTGAGGCAGGAGGATTGCTGTTGAGTTTGAGGCCAGCCTGGGTTAGAAAGTGAGACCCTGTGTCAAAAGAACCAAACAACAAAAAGGATCCTCTCGAGCTATTTTAAAAAGCATTTGACAGAATCCAACATCCATTCCTGAGTTCAAAGCAAAACAGCGAAATGGGAGTAAAATTACATTTCCTCAACATGGTAAGACTGTCTATGAAAAACTAATAGTTATCAGGCCAGGGATTTAGCTCAGTGGTGCCACGCCTGCTTCTCAAGCGCAGGGTCACGAGTCTGATCCCCAGTACCAAAAACAAAAAAATCCATAGCAATCCTCATACAGAATAATAAGACTGAATGTTTTACCCATGAGTTTAAGAACAAACTGAGGCTGTCTGATGTTGCTACTTGGTATTGAACTGGAAATTGTAGCCAGTGTAATGAGGCAAGAAAAAGAAACAACATTCATCTTGAAAGTAAGCCATGGCACTCAACGTTCTGGGATAGATCATTCTTTTTTTTTTTTTTTTTTTGTTACCGGGGATTGAACTCAGGACCTTGCGCTTGCAAGGCAGGTGCCGGAACTACTGAGCTAAATCCCTGGCCCGATAGAGCATTCTTACATGCTGGTGGGAAGTGCTGCCCTGTGTGTTAGGGGATGTTTGGCACCTCTGGCCTCCCCCAGTCACATACTCACCATGTGTAACAACCAAAAATGTCTCCAGACATTTCCAAATGTTTGCCTCCCCTAGGGAGGCAGAATCCCCTTCAATTGAGAGCATTTGCTCTGTTTAAGTCAGATGTAATCTACAGGAAAGAGCTACTAGAGCTAATGAGTTTTGCAAGGTTGTAGGATACAAGATAAATGTGCAAAAATCAATTCTGTTGCTGTACACTAGCAACATACTGGGAGTTGAAAATAGAAAAAATATCATTTACAAAGTGTCAAAAAGTGAAAGACTAGGAATAAAGTTGAAAAGAGATGGTCAAGACTTACACATTGAAAACTACAGAAAAATTGCTGAGGGCCAGGGATGTAGCTCAGTGGCACCGCGCCTGCCTTGCAAGCACAAGGTCCTGAGTTTGATCCCCAGCACCAAAAAAAAAATTACTGAGAAATTAAAACCCTCAGTAAATGCAGAGATAGATCTTACCCATGAATTGAAAGATTCAGTATTGCTAGGACATTAGTTCTAAGCTTGATATACAGATCCAGTGTAGTCCAATCTCATTCCCCCTTGACTTCTTTATAGAAATCGGCACGCCACGGGCTGGGATGTATGTAGTTCAGTGGTGGGGTGCTTGCCTAGCACGCATAAGGCCCTGGAATCCATTTCTAACACCTCAAAGGAAAAGAAAGATATTGACGCTGAATCTGAAGTTTGTTAGGGTCTTTGAAAGAGCTGGAATAGTGGAAACAACTTTGTCTGTTTTGCTACTGGGGACTGAACTCAGGACCTTGGGCTTTTGAGGGAGGCGGCGGAACCACTGAGCTAAATCCCCGGCCCAGTGGAACCAACTTTGAACAAGGACAAAATTATGTGACTTATATCACATAACTTCAGCATTGTACAGCCACCGTAATAAATATAAAGCTACCCAAGTAGGTGCATGGAAGAGTCCAGAAATAAGGGTGCAGGTATGTGGCCGACTGATATCTTAACAGGGGAGCAAAGGTAATTCATTAGAGAAAGGGTTGTTTTTTCAACAAATGATACTGGGAAAATAGCCATGTGTTTAAAAATGAGCCATAATCCATACTTTTTACCATACATAAAAACTCAACATAGGTCATAAATCTAAAACTATAAAACTTACAGAAGAAAACTTAATGTGTGAGATTTTAAAATATAACACCACAGTATGACCAGCAGAGGAGATAAAACTGGACTTCATCAAAATTATAAACTTTAGACAGGCTCAGTCCACACCTGCGGCCCAGCACTCTCAGAGGCTGAGGCAGGAGGGTCGCAGGTTCAGTCCCAGCCTGGGCAGCTTAGCGCCTTAGTGAAACTTAGTGAAAAGTTTAAAAAGGGCGAGGGAAGTAGTTCAGTGCCAAGGCCTTAAGTTCAATCCCAAATAGTAAAAGTTAAAATTAGGAACTTCAAAATACACTGTTGAAAGTGGCCAGCATGTTCAGAAGGTGAATGCATGAAGTGTGATAGGTCCAGGAAATAGAATATTGTCTAGTAGTAGAAGTCAACGAGCTGTCAAGACACAGAAGGGCTCCGGGAGACCACACATGTATTGCTAAGTGAAAGACTGCATAATTGTGCAGCACGACACAGGGAAAGACAGACGAGACCAGGGCCGGGGGGGGAGCCTTCTTAGGCCAGGAAGCTACTCCGTATGCTGACGAATGCCCGGTCTGCATCTCTCAGAACCTACAGGGTGTCCGACAGGGTTGTCACTGGAACCTGGGTGTTGAATGGTGAAGAACCAGCCCCTCACTTCCTTGGTCTTCAGTTTTTTTTTTTTGGTACCGGGGATCAAACTCAGGACCTTGTGGTGTCGAGGCAGGTGGCCAAACCACTGAGCTGAATCCCCGGCCTGGTCCTCAGTTCTTTGTGCCCTTAATGAAAGAATTCAGCCAAGACGCATGGGCCATGTGGGTCCGGGTACAGTTTAGAATTTATAAAAAGAAAGAGGCCTTTGGGCAAGAAGGCAACAGCGCCACCACAGTGTCAGCTGCAAGGACGCGGCTGGATGCCTTTTATGCACAGAGAGGTGACTCCTGGAGTGATGATGCTGTTCATCAGCGTTTCTCTTGAGGGTTATCTGAAATGTTGATACCTGAAAACTGCCTTCCTTGTCTTTTGAAGAGGTTTGAGTTCCTCTGAGGCCCCCATCATCTAAGAATCTAAATCAGCTGTCAGCCCAAGGGGGAGCTCTAAAGAACACTCCCTTTTCAGGTGTCATCGGGTACAGGCCACAGCACCAGGAATGCTGTGTGCCTGCTGGGGAAACTGACGGCATGTGGCCGGATATGTGAAGGAGTGTGCACGATGCATGACCATGGGATGTCCCTGTGCTCTGTCTTGGCTGGGTTCGGTGACCTTGTCCACTCTCCTCTTGGCCCCAGCTGAGCCATCTGCTTGCTCTGGCCATACCCACCACTCCGGAAGCCACCCTCCCTGGGTGTCCTATCCTGCTCCCACCCCTCCTCAGTGGCACAGGCAGCCTGTGCCCAGGACCTCTGCCTGGGCAGCCCAGCCTCCTGCCCATGTGCTGCAGCCCTGAGTCTCCCCCTGCAGGCACTGCCTCCCTCCCTGGGCTACGCCTTCCTCAGCCCACAGTCCATAGGCAGCTCTCCATGTCAGGAAGGGCAGGGGAGCCTTCTGCCCATCTCTGGGCCCAGCTCCTCTGTACTCCCAACCCTCCTCCACCTGCAGGAGCTGCCTCCCAGTCTGCTCCTGGCCTGTGCTGCCAGACCCCTCCACTGCCACCTGTCCGCACTGTCACCTCTTGAGCAGTGACCCCACCACACTCCTGCCCCTCCCCTGGTTGTACATGGGGCTCAGCACACACTGCCTAGTGGAGCCCTGTATCGTGCCCTGCAGCTGCTGGACCATCTTGTGTCCCCTGGCCCCGACCAGTTGGGGTGCAGGGTGCTCAGCCCCATGCAGCCAGCTCCTGCCAGCTACCTTGACTGCACTTGGTTCTTTGCACCTGGACACAGGTATCTCTCCTGCCCAGGGCCCAGACTCCCAGCCACTCTGTCTTCCCAGGCCTGTGCTGGACATGGAAACCACCCAGGAGCCCTGAGCCAGGGTAGCCAGGTAGTTTGCTGTGTGTGCTCCTCACCCTGGGTGGCTCTAAAGTGGCCTCAGAGCCCCACACTGCATCTCCTTGCCTGGGACAAAAGCACCTTATGGGCAGAGCCTGCCACTGAACCCAGAGACTTGGGGGCCTTTCTTGGTGACATGGTGTGTTGAGCACTTACTTGTCTTCCTTCACTGCTTACTTCTCTAGGGGAAACTAAGGCACAGCAAGTCTCTTGCCTGGTCACAGAATTCAGCTGTGGAGCCTGATGCCGGTGCTCTTAGCCTGGAGGCTACAAAATCTGGAGGGGCTACTGTGGAAGAGTCCCTTGCCCACTCCCCATGCCCAGCTGCTCTCCTGGTGGTAGAAGCCCAGGGATGCAGCCCCCTGCAGCGCGCCACTCCACGCTCAGACCTGTGCTCCTTCCCAGGCTTCTGTGACCAGCGGCAGCAAACCTACCATGTCTGGGCCTCAGAGCACGGGGCAGGTGCCAGATGCCCAGGGAGACTCGCCACCAGGCAGGAGGGATGAGGATGCCAAGGAGGGGACCCAGAGCTCCCACCGCATGCTGGGCTTTAGCGATGCACTGCTGTCCATCATTGCCACTGTCATGGTCAGTGTCGGGTCTGCCTCAGCTCACCCCCGCCCTCACAGAACCCTCAGTTTCCCCAGTTACTCAGATGAGTTGGAGCACCCGGCATGTGCCTTGAGCCCAAACCCCACTGCCTTCGAAGGTGCCCAGCCACAAAGTGTCTCTGTTTCTCTGTCATTGTTCCTGCAGATCTTGCCTGTGACGCACACGGAGATCTCCCCAGAGCAGGTAACGGGGTAGGGTCGGGTAGGCTTCGTGGTGCTGTGGGCAGAGGGCAAATTGGGATGGGGGAGCTGCCTCAGCCCCAGGGGGACATCTGCCTTGGCATCTGTGCCTGCCAGCCTGGAAGGGAGATGGAAAGGACGTTTAAAAGCATCTCAGTCATGGACAGCTTGCTGGTGGCACTTCTGAATCAGAGCAGTGCATGTGGCTCTGCCTTTGGGAGGTGCTTGGGTGCACACCTGTACCTTGCTGTCCCCTGCCTGACCAGGGCATCATGCGACAGAACAGCAAGGATACCACGCTGCAGTCTGGGGGCTGTGTGGGATGCTGGGGACATGTGCAGGGCCCACAGCAGCCTGAGTCGACCGTGCTATTCAGGAAAGCGGCTCTGAGGGGCACGTGGCACCTGCGGAGTCTACGGTGGGCAAGTCTGAGTGTCTTGAGGCACATGTCTCACCACAGGCTCAGGGTGGGCTTGGAGCGCATTCACAAGGGTGTGAGGCCCAGGCGAGGATGTGCTGCCCCCTAGGTACTGCTCAGTTGGCGGGACAGTTCACCCTCCTCCGCCTCTGCATCATCTGGGAGACCCAGGCTTTTCGGTGCTTTCTCTTGGTCCTCACTGGTTCTCAGGAAATTCCTGTGAGTTCACGAAACATATCCAGAGGAAAGAGATGAGGCCTGGCTACCTCCTGAGGGAGTGCCAAACAGCTGGCACCTCCTGTGGTAGAGGGCTTCAGAACAAGCCAAGACTGGGCATGGCAGCGCATGCCTGTAATCCCAGCATTTGGGAGACGGAGGCAGAAGGGTTCCATGAGTTTGAGGCCTGCCTGGGCTACATAGTGAATTCAAGGCCAGCCTGGGCTACATAGCAAGACCCTGTCTCAAAAAAAAAAGGATGCAGCTCAGTGGCACAGCGCCTGCCTCACAGTCACAAGGTCCTGAGTTTGATCACTGGTACCAAATAAATAAATAATTAATTAAAAAATAAAAAGGGCTGGGACATGGCTGAGTGATAAGATTGCATAGTGTGCATGAGGCCCTGGGTTCAATCGCTAGTACTGGGGGGAGGGAAGACCAGTCAGCATTGAACATCCACAATTAAGGAAGCACAGTGGTATTTGAAGAGCACCAGCATTGCTGCAGTGTAGCTGACTCAGACCTACGTGCATGTGGACCAAGGTGCTTGGGAGTTAGGCCCTTCTCAGAGGCGAAGGCTGAGCGCTGTGCTGATGGAGCCCCTCCATGCCCTCCACTCCAGCAAGTTGCCATGTTGCCTATGGCAGGCAGGTGCTACCTGCGGCCCCGTGGGCTTCCGTGGGCACCTTGCCCCATGCTGAGTGGGACCACTTTCCCGGGCAGTGCCAGGTCTGACCTGCTGTGCTGTCAGTGTTCTCGTCACTCCCAGATTCACATGTTGGAACTCAAACCTCAGGGTGACAACATAGGGGATTAGGGACCTTCTGAAGGGCAGCGGTGCCCATTGTTCCTCTGTCCCTCCAGCCACACAAGGGCTGACCCTTTTGCTCTGCCTGGTCACTCGTGACTCGTCTGTATGCCTGGTTCTGCCCTGGAGCTGGTGCTGAAGAACCTCCAGAACACTGACCTCTGCGGAGACCTGCCCAGCAGTGCAGCAGTGACTGGGGGTGGAGTGGGGTTGGGCAAAACAGGGAGAGGGCGGCCGGGCACTGGGTCATGTGCGGGTCACTGTGTTCTCACAGCGATGCCCTTTTTTCCAGGAGTTTGACAAGAGCATGCAGAAACTTCTAGCCACCAGGATCGCTGTCTACCTGATGACGTTTCTAATCGTGACGGTGGCCTGGGCGGCACACATCAGGTAGGGGCGGACTTGTCCAATTTGAAGTGCTCAGTTAGGACTTGCCAGACCCACACAGGGCCCACTGCTCTCAGGGTGTCCACAGGCCCTGCACTGTATCACATGCTTCTCTGAAGGGCTGGGGTATCCGGCCACTCCTCACCCTCTCCCCAGGTTCTTGCTGAGCCCTGTCCTGGGACAGTGGAGGGGACATGCATGTGCCCAGGCAGGCCTTCTTCTGAACCATTCAGCACCTTCCGCTGGCCTTCACACCTAACAGGCGTGACAGCCAGGGGAACTCCCGCGAGGACGGGCAGCAGAGCATGTTGGCAGGGCCAGGGCCCTATAAGTACCCAGCCTGTCCCACTCCCTGGGAGGCTGAACTTTGGCCCGGGGAGGAAAAGCATCTTCAAGATCCAGGGCCCCAACCGCCAGCCTCAGCAGCAGGGTCAGGAGGCCCCCAAGCAAGAGTGTGGATGTGGACATCTGCAGACCGTCTGTCAAAAGGAAATGCTCGTCGGGCAATGCTGGGGAGCAGAAAAGGCCACAGATCTTGCCAAGCGTTTGCATTGTGCTAAAAACGGCACACATTTTGCATCACATGCTGCTCTCAGCAAAGTGGCTGTTTCCTGTGGTGACATGGTCCCCCATGTTCAGGTCTCAGGGAGGGCTTTTCTCTGTGGGTATCTGGAGGCTCCTGGGCTGGTAGTGCTGTGTGGCTGCAGAATCTGCCGGCTGCTCTGGCCCAGCTTCGTGACTCGTTCAGTCTATCAGCAGAGCGAGTGTGGGACCTGAGCCGGAAGGGCTTTGTGGAGCTGCTCTGTGCTCCCTCCCGCTCTAGGATGCTGGCCGGCGAGCATAGTCATGCCGCTCGGTGGGACACCAGGAGAGCTCCTGGCTCCCAGGTGGTGGCTCTGTTTGGCTTTCATTGAAGGCTGAGCCCTCGGTGAGCCCTGAGCAGGCACGCAGTGCCCTGAGCCAGGGCTGACCTCAGTAGGGAAACCCTGGGGCAAGGGCCACACTGGAGACTTCAGGAGCAGGCCCTTGGCAGCCAGGCTCGCATCTTTCCCTGGCTGAAGGCAACTTGAGCAAGTTTGATGCTGAAACCTGTCAAAGAGTGGGAAGAGAGCATTTTCAGGAGAGTAAGTTAACTGCGTGAGGGAGCCCTAGGGACGCACACTGCAGGCTGCCAGAGGACACCCTAAGAGCTTCTGGGCCGGCCCAGCCTCCGTGCCTCTCCTGGCCCTGCCCAAAGCTTGGGCCCCAGCCCCTGGTCCCACAGGATGAGCCCACTTCAGGGGTGCTTTGGAAACACCATGCGCGGGACTACCCAGTGTACACATTTGTACCTGCAGTGGTTCTGTCAGAGCCACATTTAAGCCAGGAGCGAACAACAGGAGAGCACGTGGAATGAAGAAGGTGCTTTTTAGGGAAGTTGTTCTGACTTTGAATTTTCTGAACTTCATTCGATAACTAGTGTTTTATATTTGGTCAAAAGTGACGTCTTTTAGTGACGATGTAACTAGGAATACCCGTGACAGTGTGGGCTTGATCCTGTTGGTGCCACCTCTGACCGATGGCCCCTCTCTTCCCGTTTGTACCTTGTGTAGGTTGTTTCAGGTTGTTGGGAAGATAGACGATACACTTGCCTTGCTCAACCTGGTGAGTTTTTCGTGTCCTGTTGCAAATGATGTTGGTTTGTAATGTGACCCTCCCAGGAGGAGTTAGAGATGTGGCCATGTGTTTCCCTTAGAGCCTCTGGCTCCTCAGGCCCTGGAAGCTCCCACCAACCCCACCAGGTGCTGCTGCCCTCACGGCCCATGTGGCCCATAGCTCGGGTCTGCCCTAGGGAGGCCGAGGAGAGCCTGCAGCCTGCCCATCCTGAGCTGGGGCACAGGTGTCCATGGGCACCGTCCCGTCCCCATGGCACCTGGCCCCCATTCCGTGCCCCGTCCCAGGGCACATGAGCTTGACCCTCCTCTCTCTCCCTCCTCCCTAGGCCTGCATGATGACCATCACCCTCCTGCCTTACACGGTAACGGCCGCTCCCCGTCCCCACTCAGAAGTGCAGGCCAGGAGCTGGTTCAGGGTTGAGGCCACAGAGCTGCAAGGAGGGGAAGCCGAGGGTGGTGAGTAGGTAGAGGCAGATGGATCACTTGGGCTGGGCACACTGTTCCCAGCTTCTTGGGAGGCTGAGGCAGAAGGATCGTTGAATCCAGCCTGGGCAACATAGTGAGACCTAGTCTGAAAAAAGGAGAGGAACCAAAGAGACCACAGAGGAGAGGGTCCCTGACACCCGAGCTCCTGGCAGGCCTTGCTGCACTGGGCCCCTACCCCGTCCCTCCAGGGCGGAAGGGAGCATTCGTTCATGCTCAGTTCAACACTCACACTCCTATCTGACGTGCACACTCACCGATACTCACACTCAGTTTGATGTTCACAGTCAGACTGACGGGTTTGCAGCCTGTGTACCGCAGAGAATTCAGATCTGGGGATTCTGTGTAGACTCGAAGACACTTTCACAATAAGGCCTGAAGCAGTGGGTGGGATTGCTTCTTTGGGGGTGTGGACACACACACATGCACGCACGCACAGCCGTGCCACCATTCCCAGCTGAGACGGTTCTCTGTTCTGCACACAGCATGGCTCCAGGAGGCTCACTGCATCCCCAGCTCCAGGCCAGGGCGCCTGGTAACCTTTTGGATTTTGTTTGCTTTTGGACAGTTTTCCTTAATGGTGACCTTCCCTGATGTGCCTCTGGGCATCTTCTTGTTCTGTGTGTGTGTGATCGCCATCGGGGTTGTGCAGGTAGGGTGCCGGCCAGAAGGCTGGGCGGGTGTGGGGTTGCCAGTGCCCTACTTCGGAGCCCAAGGCTGTCTGCAAGTGTGGCCCAGGGCCCCTGCTCTGCTTACCTGGGACTGGAGGTCTTCACGGAGCATCAGGCATGGGGCAGAGGTTCCTGTCCCTCTCCTGACCCAGCACACCTTGGGTGCCAGCCCACCTGGGGTCCCACCCAAGCCTTTGCCTGGGTGTACTGACTGAGGCCTGACCGGCCACCCACAGGTGCTGATCATAGGCTACGCCTTCCACTTCCCATACCTGCTGAACTCGCAGCTCCGCACCTCCACCCACAGAGCCGCGACCCGGCAGCACATCCTGCTCCTTGTCCTCCGCGGCCCAGCGCTGTGCTTCGCTGCAGCTGTGTTTTCCCTCTTCTTCTTCCCCATGGTGAGTGCTGCTGGGACAACTCCAGGGAAGAGCTCAGCTCAGGCTCAGAAGCCCCAGCCTGCAATGGGCTGGAAAGCCAACAGCTGATCTCAGCAGGAATGAGAACCTTGTCCAGTGGGTTTCTAACCAGCGGGCTGAATCCTGGGAAGATACTCTTGGAAGAGGACTGCAGGTGTAGAGCAGAAGGGCTGGTGAGCAGATGTGGCCCTGCAGTCATTGCTGGAGACCTGGCCAGGCTGGCTCCTCCCTCAGGGGCTGCACGATGGGAGCTGAGCAGGGTGGGTTGAAGAGGCCAGGCAGAGCAGAGTACCTTGGTGGGGGCCCTCTCCTGAGAGGGAGAAGGACCGTGGATGTCAGCGTGAGCCGAGGTCCAGGCCCAGCCTCGTGGCCCGGTGGCCTCAGATGTTATTTTATGCTGGTGACAGCAGAGGGAGATGAGGGTGGTGGTACAGGCTGCAGCTGGGCCATGAGGAGGTGACACGGACACAGGTCGGGCAGGGTGCTCTTGGCCGTGCTCTCTTAGCAGCAGCAGCAGCGGGGTGGGGATGGAGTGGCCAGCGTGGGCTGAGTGGGTGAGGCCCGGACAGGCAGGTGGCAGTGAGGAGCAGGGGCATGGGGGCAGCAGCACGCGGGAGAGGCTGTGCAGGCCTGTGTCATCGTCCTCGAGCTGTGATCAGCTGCCCTTTCTGCTGTCCGGGGGGCCCACTGGGCTTGTTCCTTCTCGGTCACGGACGTCGGGCGGTCCCACTCTGGGCCATTGTGAGCAGTGCCACTGTGAAGCGGGTGCACACCATCTCTTCACGTCTGTTTGCAAGTCGGGGCACACACCCACTGGTGGACCTGCTATTTCATGTGGCCATTCCGGTTTCTTTGTTTGTTTTTGAGAACCCCTTGCCGTTTACCTTAGTAGCAGCACTGTTTGCCTTCTCACCAGCAGTCTGTGCTGTGCGGTTCTTTCTCCATACCCTCACCAGCACCTACTATCCTGACCCCAGGGTCCTGGTGGTGGAGGCTGTACCCCCTGTGCTGGGTGCCCTCCCTGCTGAGTGTGTGTCTTCAGGTCCTCCACTCTTCCCAGCTGGGTGCTGCTCATGTGTTGAGTTGAAGCAGCCCCTCTGTGCCCACCGAGCTCTGTTTCTCTGTGGTGTCCTTGCGCTCAGCGTAGTAGCCTGGACTTGGGGTTCTATGTACCAACCAAAGACGATACCTTCGTTTCTCCCTTGTCTTTCTGGCTGCCCCTCCCTTGAAGCAGTGCCTGGGTCCCAAGGTGCATGGCGCCCACCGTATGGGAGCAGGCGCCGACTTTCCATGTTTCGTTGCAGTCGTACCTGCTGATGGTGACCGTCATCTTCCTCCCCTACATCAGTAAAGCTGCCAGCTGGTGCAGGGACAGGCTTGTGGGTAGGCATTGTGGCCCCTGAGGACATCGGGTGGGGCTGGGCACACTATGTGGTGACCCTGGCCAGCTGCCCTGACCCTCAGCACCCTGCCTATCTGCTCCTGGCCTACACAACCCGGTCCCTGGGGACGAGGGTAGTGATGGCCACGATGGTCCACAGCCCCTGGGTCAGGGCCGACTCCTCCCTCCTGGCATGCCCACAGGCCGTAGGCAGCCCCCAGATCATGGTGTGGAGCTCTTCGCCTCTGACCTGCAAGAGCCCCTCAGCAAGGAGCGGGTGGAAGCCTTCAGCGACGGGGTCTACGCCATCGTGGCCACACTGCTCATCCTGGATATCTGGTGAGGACCCACTAAGGGCCGCCCCACCCACCGGCCATGTGCTGCTGTCTCCAGGCCCCTTTGGGAGCCCAGAGCATTGTGGGAGGAGGTGGCGGCCCCATTCCAAGGAGGGCAGGCCCCCAGGGTGTGGAGGCAGGGTGGTTTGGGGCTGGGGTGCCAGGCAGAGGGGTCCTTGGAAGGCGTGGCACCCCTGGGGCTCAGCCCCCTCCTCCCACTATTGACACTGTGCTCTGTGGGAGTTCTAACCTCACTGATGTCTCCTGTTTCTAAGTGATCTATTTGCCTCTTCAGGTCTTTGCTTAAATGTCTGATCCTCACATTTCAGGGCACTCTCACTGCATTAAACATGTTGAACATTCTGGTTTTATATTTTATATCTGATAGTCTGACTTTCCTGATACTCTCTGGGTAGCTTTTTCTGTTGTCACTTGTTAAGTTTTAAAAACTGGAAGCAGACCCTTTCTTAGTTCCTCATTCCTGAGGCCTCAGTTTAAGGAACATCAGTGAGTACCTGGCCTGCTTCTCCCTGGGCTCGGTGGGCTATGGTTAGGGTAGGGAGCCTGACCGAAGGGAAGCCTCTGTGCCCTGCAGACCCTGCCTGCGTGGCCCCAGACTCTGTCTCCTGCCTCTATCCTGCCCTCCTTGCTGTCCTCCCCCTCCACACCCAGCTGATGAAAGGTACTGTTCCTGGGAACCCACTCCAGACGTACCGCTGGAGGACAGCCACCTAGCAGGTGGTTCCTGGGTCTTGCTCGCACTTCTCAGAGGGGTTCAGAGGCAGGGAGGGCCTGGGCTCCCAAGCCCATCTCAGAGGGTTGGCCCTGCCTTAGGGCTGCCACTCAGCAGGAACCCACAGGTGCCAGTTAGACATCCGTTTTGGATGAGTACCGACTGTCCAGCCATTCTCGTGAAATGCATGCTGTGATGCTCAGACCCTCAGTCCTGGCCCGGGAACTGGTACAGATGTCCTGTGTTCTCGCTTCCCAGTGAGGACAATGTCCCCGACCCCAAGGACGTGACGGAGAAGTTCCGCGGCAGCCTGGTGGCGGCCCTGGGCGAATACGGGCCACACTTCCTGGCATACTTCGGCTCCTTTGCCACGGTGGGCCTGCTCTGGTTCGCCCACCACTCGCTCTTCCTGCATGTTCGAAAGGCTACACAGGTCATGGGGCTGCTCAACACGCTCTCGCTGGCCTTCGTGGGAGGCCTGCCCCTAGCCTACCAGCAGACGTCCGCCTTCGCCCGGCAGCCCCGTGATGAGCTCGAGCGCGTGCGCATCAGCTGCGCCATCATCTTCTTTGCCAGCATCTTCCAGTTTGCCATCTGGACCGCGGCCCTGTTGCGCCAGGCAGAGACACTACAGCCAGCAGTGAGGTTTGGCGGCCAGGAACATGCCTTCATGTTTGCCAAGCTCGCCTTGTACCCCTGCGCCAGCCTGCTGGCCTTTGCTGCCACCTGCCTGCTGAGCCGGTTCAGCACAACCATTTTCCACCTCATGCAGATCTCCGTGCCCTTCGCCTTCCTGTTGCTGCGCCTCCTCGTGCGCCTCGCCCTCGTGGCCCTACGGGGCCTGCAGTCCCTGCGGCCAGCACGCCTCCCGCCAGGCCAGGCCAGTGCGGCTGATGCTGACACCCAGTCCCAGCTCCTGCCTGCGTCCCGCTAGCACCACAGGCCACACCCCCACCTGCCCATCCCACCCGACACCGTGGGTCTTGACTCCGCTGTGAAATGCCAACGTCTGGCCACAGGATGCATGCTGCTCTACACAGGAACGTAATTCTCCGCTTCCCTCCTCACCCAGACACTGCCAGGAGGATACCTATCTCTCTCTCACCTAGAATAAGCTGCCTGGGGTCTGCCAAGCTGCCCAGGACCCCAGATACTCTACCCGGCCACTCTACCCGCCCACCCCATTTGCCTGGAGCCGAGTGGCACCTCCTTCCTGAGACGCAGCTGGTTGGGCTGGGAAGTTGCCATCTGAGGGGCCACCCGACGTAGACCACCCACCCAGCATGTACAGCACCACCCCACTGGGGCTGCCGTCCATCCAGCCCCTCCCCATGCCCAGTTGCTGGACACAAGAACAAGGAAGGGCACTACAGGACACTGAAGCCCAACTCTTATTTGTCCCGGGTATGTTAGGTCACATTCAGGTAGCATTAAGTCACAAGGAGAGGCCTGGGGCCAGGGTCACAGCACTGCAGGCAGTCTCACTTAAATAGAAGGCAGACCACACTGACCACAATTTACAGACAATTCCTGCAGGTTAAAGTCAAAGCAGAACTAATTACATCACTAAGGACTTGTACTGAAGATGGCCAGTGATGTAAACATAAGAACTGCTACACTGAGACCATCAGTGGAACCGGGATGCGTGTGTCTGCAGCTTTGGCAGCAGCGGAAGGACGTGGCGTGGCATGGAGATTCCTAGGAGGCTGCAGATCACACCCAGGAGCCAGGTCACAGCCACAGCAGTGCAAACCCAGCGCCCCTGAGTGCTGGGAAGGGCTGGACCTGTGGGGTCCCTTGCTTTGGGGGGAGGGCCTCTGCAGACTCTCCACATTGGCTGCTTATTTTTGGTCAGATTCCTTCAGCATCTGAGGGGTGACAATGAGCTCTTAGGCACAGGGAGAACAGCTTCATTCACACCAGCCAGGCTGTCCCAGCCGGGCTTAGCCAGCAGTGGTGCCTGGATGGGCTGGGAACTGTGTCTGCACTGGTGTTTGAGAGCCACAGGTTGCTGGCAGACAGCGTTATGTGAAGTGCTACATTTAAGAACGAAGACATTAAATCCACTCCTCCATATGGTAGGTGTTATTTACACGTTCACCCAATTGGACCTTGAAGCCCTGCTTCTGGTCCCCTCTGGGCACTATATGCTCACCCCTGGGGGTAAGGGGGACACTCAGGGCCAAGCCCACGCTCCAGCTGCTGCACAGTAGCCACCCAAGCCCACCTGGCCCCAGGGGGACCGGACCCCTCTCTCAGGTGAGGCTGGGCACTGCCCAGCACCCACAACCACCTCCCTTGGCCCAAACCGCACTGCAGTGACAAGGCGGGAGACGGGAGGCCACCTTCCCTGCGCCAGGCAAGGGCGAGGTCACCCCATGGCCACCAGGGCTGCGTGCTGCCTGCTGGCGGGGGGGGGGGGTGAGCGGCCGCTCCAAAGGGCATCCAGAGGACAGCCTGAGGGGCATAAGACAAGGTCAGAGGCCACCAAACAGTTCGTTCCACTGCTGCCCCAAGGGCCGGGGGCAGGCCAGCCAGGAGCCCTGTGCTCCCGTCCCGGGGACTGTCCGGGGCTGCCCCCACCCAGGGGTTTCCAGGTGACACTGCATGGGACCAAGGGCTGGAGACGTCCTGACCCCAGGAAGATGGCGTGGGCAGGGCGCGACAGGTCCATCGGATGGACGGCTCCAGCGCCACCTGGACCTCTCAGCCCTTAGTTAGTGCTGCCCTCAGGGGCAGGGGCAGTGTGCCCCCTTGTGGCTGCAGCCTTCCTGGGCTTCTGCTTGGCCTTCCTCAGCATGTGGACCTGTCCCGAGACGGGGCAGGATGGATCAGAGAGCTGGGGGCACCAGGTTATAGCCCCGGGGCCCAGAGGCAGCCAACCACACTCAGCCCCAGTTCACGGAGGGTTTTGGGTTAGAAGCAGGGTGACGCTGCAGCCCTCCGGGCACTGCCTTTGCCCCAGGCCCTCTTCCAGAGGCCCAGGTGTCTACACTGAGGAGCACAGGGCTTGAAAAGCTGCCTGCCCACATCGGTTCCCGTGGCTTCCCGATTCACAGGTGGCCCAGGCCCCCCTGGGCAGCAAGGCCACCCCAGCCACCTCTTGGCTGTGGCCACCTGCTCCATCCACCTTGCCTGGGCAGTCAGCCACCAACATACCTTGGGGCCTGCAACTGAGATGATCATGTGTCCTGGGGCTTGGACCCAAGGCTCGCCATCCACCTGCACTGGTGTGGCCTTGAGGAGCGTGACACGGAAGTAGGAGCCCTGGGCAATGCGAATGCCAGAGCGCAGCCCCCCCTGCACCTGGCCCTGTGAGGGGTTGGGGAGCTAGTTTAGCAGGCTGTGGGGTAGCACAGGAGCCTACCCTTAGCCTGGTGCTTACCATGTGCACAACGCCAGTTACCCCCACCACCTCCAGCAGCCCATCGTCCATGCGTGGCTTCTCAAACCTCGAGTCACTGTCAGAGCCCCAGAGGTCAGCTCCTGAGCCCCAGCTGCCCCAAGAGACAGAAGTGCACCCAGGTTAGGCCTGGCACCTGGCCCAGCCTGGGCCGTGCGGTCTTGTTGGGGGCCATGCCTGCACACCTGGGGATATTGATGAAGATGAGGCCCTCGATGCTGGGCAGCTCCACCTCCCGCTGCTCCACCTGCAGCCGGATCTCCTTGTGTAGGCCTCGAGAGTGGCTGATCTTCTGCAGCCCAACCCGAACGTACACACCCTTGTTGTGGAATCTGCAAGACACGAGAGTCAGCATCACTGGGTGGGGGCTGCACCTGGCCAAGCAGTGTTCTCAGCCCGCCCCGTGGTACCTGCTGGTGAACTTGCCAGGCTCCTCCTCCCGAGCCTGGTGGAAGTCCAGGCTGAGCTCAGCATCGATGCCAATGCCACAGTAGTTACTCATCTGTACAATCTGGGAACAAGGGCTCTTCCAGGACACTACCTCCAGTGTCTGGCTGCCTCCTGCCAGCCCTACTCCTTGCTGTTGCCACAGATGCCTCTGCCCTGGGCTGCCCTGCTCAGCCGCCCAGCACCCCAGGTGTGGCTGGGAGGAGGGAGCCTGGGAGCATTGTGGGCAAGGGCCAAGGGCCGCACAGTACCTTGGGAGGCTCTGTGTCCACCGCATTGTTTCCTGTACCAGTGGCCTTGTGAGCATCCAGCAGGATGGTCCAGCGGTCCACGAGTACAGCATCCGCCTCATCCACAGACACCAGCATGGAGAGCGGGTCCTCGCCACTGTAACCCGCACCCCAGCGGAGGACCCGGCCGAGGTCGTTCCCTGGAACACGGGTGAGACTTGGAGTGCTGCTGCACAGCACCTCCAGAGAGACCTTACCTCAGAACGGAGGGGTTACCAGAGAGGTGTCGCCCTGGGACAGGGATCCCACCACACACCTTGGGCACAACTTAGGTTAGAAAGACCCCGGGGGCCTTCCCTGCCCCTTGATGGCTGACCCCACCTGTGCCCAGAGGCAGGATGGCAACCGACGGCTCCTGGCAGGTCAGACGGTGCCGGGTCTCCTCCAGGGCAGTGAGAACCCAGCCCACGGTGCCATCACCGCCGCACACCAGCACCCGGAAGCAGGGCACCTGGGCAAAGAGGTGGAACCTGTGGTGGGAGACAAGTGCCTGGCAGCTTGCAGGACGCCCACGGCAGACAGGAGGGCGGCTGCCTGCAACCAAGGCCCAGGCAGCCCTGCCCTTGCCAGTGTCTGTCTCCAGCCACACAGAGGACTGGCAGGGTCTGGGCAGGGTGCCGCCTCTGTGTGTCTGCATAGCCACACTCACCCGGGAAGTGGGCCCCCATTGGTCAGATCGAAGACCTGGTGAGGGTTCAGCAGCTTCCGGAAACTGCAGAGCAGGTCTCGGCCCTTGAGGCCCCCACTCTTGGGGTTCACAAACACGAGGAGGGGGCAGCAGTCTGGGGGCAGCTTTGTGTGCTGTGAGGGGAGAGGCCAGGTGAGGGTAGGTCCTGAGGTCCCCTGTGGCAGGTGCTAGCAGTGCCCAGACTGGGACCACAGTCCCCCGGGCCGGGACGCCCTCCTGAGGAAGATAAGGCTGCACCCTCACGTGCCAGCCCCCGGGGCCACACGCGGAGCCCATCCCACGACTGGCCACGGGACAACCTTTTCTAAGAGGGTCATTGGGCTGTCAGCCACCCGGAACTCTGGGCATGAAGGCCAGGGCCAGACCCACCATGACAGAAACCAAGGGCTCCACCTACAGGGCTGGAAGCCACAGGGGACCCTGCCTGGCACCTCCAGCCATCTGGCCTTGAGGAGCCCCCGTACCCTTTGGAGGTCAGCAGCAACCAGGGCTCCCCTGCCCATACATCACCCAGGGCCAGGGCTTGGTATACAGGCCGGCTGCCGCATCCCCTGGGCATGGGAAAAACCCATCTCCCCAACACAAGCCCCAGAAACCGCCCAGGAGTCTAGACAGGGTGGACCGGGCTAGGGTCGCTGTGACAGGGCAGGGCAAGGAAAGACAGACAGGCTAGGTGCAGACGTAGGGTGGGTGGTGGCACACGGGCTGGACCGTGGCTGGGGCAAGGACACACTCAGGGCTGCATGGTCCATGGGCAGGCAAGGCTGCCTGCGGCCACCACTTACCCACTCACCCCAAGGCGGGTAGCTGGCAGGAGAAAGAAAGCAGTATCGGCCTCACACCAGCAGGGCTGCCTCCACAGGCGATGACCAGGGCAGAGGCAGGAGGGACCCAGTGTCACCCACCCCAGGATCAGACCCCAGCCTCGTGCTACTCTAGCACTGTTCCCAGAACAGGTTCAAGGACCAGGGGTCAGGGTGCAGACCAGCCATGGACATCCAGCTCTGGACCCTCAGGGCGGGCAGACTGAGGCTCGGAGAGCACTGTACAGGTGCGGGGTGGGTCCGGCTGCAACCTCTCAGGTTGCCTTGCACGTGCCATGCCCCTTGCCCTAGGCAACCATCCTTCCTGGCATTACCGGCTCCTGAGAGTGGCCTCCAAGGTCAGGAGCTCCACCTACTGGCCAGAAGCAGCCCAAGGCTCAAAGTCAGGGCCCCAAGGCCACCAGGGCAAGCAACAGCACAGGGGAGTGTGCTCACACTCTGCCTTTAAGTGAGGTAGCCACTGGAGGACCTGATGTACCAGTGCCACCTGAAGCAGCGTCCTGTGTCCTCCCCAAAGGCGAGAGGTCTCAGGGTCCAGAGTGGATGGTCCTCCTGGCCCCACAGGCCACAAGGAACAAGTCTCGCCACTGAGCAGCCTTGGGTAAGTGCAGACCCTCTGCCCTCCACCCTCTGTTGTAAAGTAGGCAGCTCTGTCCATCCTGGGTTATTGTGAGGGCTGACCAAGGTGCCACCTACCAGCCCGGCAAAGTAAAAAAGACAGCAGATGAGACTGCCCAGCTGCATAGATGTGTGGATGTCCTTGGGGTGTGAACACTGGCCCGGAACTGCTCACTCACCAGCACATCCGGGAGCACCAGTGTGGTCAGTGGCTGGCCATGCACAGCTGTGTCCCTCCCCAGCATGTACAGCCGCTCGGCCTCAGCAAAGCAGGTGACGTCCAGCACCACTGCACCTGCAACAGGTGGGCCGAAACTCAGGGCAGGTCAGCCTGTGCAGCCTGCTCAGGTCAGCCAGAGGGAGGTGTCCACAGCAAGAAGAGGCATGTCTATGGAAGGCCAGGTTCAGGGGGTGCCCCCCACCCCCCCATGCCCCACCTGGAGCCACAGGTGTCTGGGCACCCAAAAGGGGGGACCAGGTGCACATGAAAGCTTTCCCAAGGAAAGGCACAGAGCAAGAAAGGGCAAGTCTTAGAAACAACAGCCAAGCCTCAGTGTGTTTCAGCAAAGCATGAGAAGTAAACCAGGACATAAAACCAGGGGCGTCACTGGGCACACAGCTGCAGCAGAGGCGCCTGAGCCCACAGCAGGGAGAAGGGCGGCCTGGGCTTCACAGCCAGGGATGTCACCAGGCAACAGCTCACCTTGGGAGTAGACGTGGCTCACAGACACCACGGCAGCTGCACAGACAGACGGGGGTCAGAGTGCCCAGCGCCAAGACCAGGCTGACCCCTGCAGCATCACCTCCAGTGGCCCAGCCCAGGCAACCCTAAGCCCACTCCAGCCCAGGTCCCCAGGCCTCCAGAAGTGGAGTGCAGGCACCTTAGGGAGGGACCACAGAGGGAGGGCACCCAGAGCCCTGGGGAAGGTAGGAGGGCCTGGCCCACGTCGGCTCCCTCCCAGCCAAGCCCAGTCCACCCAGGCTCACACCTTTGGTGGCCATGGCCTCATGCAGCAGGTCACCGTACGCTCGAGGAGACAGGCCAGGTGGCAGGCCACCCACAAACAGGGAGACACGCGGAGCCACGGCCCTGCTCTCCACCACGTAGAATCGCGTCCGGCTGGCCTGCCGCAGGGACGTCTGTGGGGAGGAGGGACTCAACGTGGGACACAGGGCAGCACTGCCCACACAGGCATCAGTATCGTGAGGACGCCCTGTGAGGGCGCGGGGCCTTGCTCTGGGTCCGCAGTCACCCCTTGGGGATCTGGGGCCAGCTCTGCTGGAGGACGCAGGCAGGGCCAGAGGGCAGGGCCCTGCCAGGACGGGGGTCCACCCCACTGACCTGCCGGATGTCCCAAAGCCGCTCGAGCAGGAGCTCCTCATCTGCCAGCACCATCCGCTGGACTGCAGAGAGGCACAGACATCAGCGTCCCCACACCTCTGCAACAGCTGCCTTGGGCCCAGGGCACAGACAGGCGAGGGCACAGGCAAGAGTGATCAGAGGGCAGGTCAGGCTCACCTTGCCTGCTGCCCATGAGCACCTCCATCAGCTGAAAGTTCTCAGGATCCTCGGCCTGTGCAGTGGGGGGACAGGGTGTCAGCCCGGGGCTGGTTCGCTCCCAGCATGCCCATGGGGACAGGGCCTGGCCCCGGGGGAGTGGCCCAGGCAGCCCACACACACCTGGCGTCCAAGCAACGGGAGGACCTCTAGCACCACGGTGCGCACCGTGCTCTGGGAAGTCACCCGGATGGACACGTAGGCCACGCCCACCCTGTGGGGGATAGGCGTGGAGCTTGGCCCATGGCCCCTCTGTTCCCCTCATTACCCCAGACCCCAAGCCTTGCGCCTCACTTGAGCCAGCCGGGGTAGATTTTCAGGACTTCCTGGGCACGGGGCCGTGCACGGATGACCCAGGCCTCAGGTTCATGGGACCCAGAGCCCCTGGTACTGTCTTCCTCAGCCAGGCCACCACTTCCAGCCTTCCCTGGGGTCTGGGCAACAGCAGCCAGCGAGGGCAAGGGCAGCTCCTGAAGCTCAAAGTCTCCAGGGTCCTCGCTGACATAGTAGACCCGCAGTGCCGCCTCCTGCAGGGTGAGGGGTCCAGTGATGGGGGGACAGGGTGAAGGAGCAGACAGAGGGGCTGGGTGCAGGGGACCAGGTGTAGAGAGGAGGTGGAAGAGCAGCAGGTAAGGTGGGGCCAGGTGTGGGGCCCGGTGTGGGGGAGCTGGGGGCCAGCAGGGGACAAGTGGGAGGCCAGGTCTCCAGGCGGGGCTGGCACTGGGCCTCCTGGCACCCTGGGTGCTCCTTACCAGCACCTCCTCACTGCTGGCCAGACGAGGCACAGTGACCAGGCGGAAACGGTTTCTCCTCACGGTGTCATTGCCGTCAAAGATCTCCAGGGTCTGTTTGCCTGGCCAGTGGGGAGCAGTTAAAAATCTGGGGGGTGGGCAAGAGGGTAAGTGGAGGCCACGAGGGGCACTTACTGGACTCAGGGGTTGCCGGCGCATCCCTGCCAGGGCCCGAAGCCGCACTTCCATCCACACCATCATCCCTGTCGCCTGTGGGGTGAACAGGCCTTCGCACTCACTGCCCCACCAGGCCCCCCGAACCCCCAGGCCGCCCGCTGCTCACCCAGCTCCAGGGCTGCAGTCTCGGCAATGCGGAAGCAATGCATCTTGCTGAAATTTCGGGACAGCAGGCGCACACACCCAGGGGGCAGGACCATGGAGCGCAGCTGCCCAAAGGTACACTCCGGGGCCAGCACCGAAGAGCACAGCGAGTGGGCCTGGGGGACACAGGCATGAGCCACTGCCCGCTGGAGGCCACGCTGCCCTGCCCCTTCCCTGTGTGCCCACCTGGATGCCACACCATCCGCAGCGCACACCGGCCAGCACATCTGAAGAGCCACAGGTTTTCCTGCAGACCTCGCAGCGCGCGCCCAAGGGCAGGTTCCCCTCCCGCCAGTGGTGGTGGTAGGTATCCTGGGGGCGGTGGAGCAGTCAGGAACTCGCCCCACCTGCCCCACCTGCCCCAGCTCCCAGGCACTCACGTGGTCATGGTGTCCGTCCTGGTGGCACTGGCGGCAGTCACTGCAGGCGAAGGGCACACAGTCGGCGTGAATGTGCAGCTCACACACTGGGGGGCGGGCAGGGTTAGGCGCCTCTGGCAGCGCCCCACCCCACACTCCCTGCAGGGCTCTACTTGGGCTGGAGCCAACCCAACCTGTGCCACCCTGTGGCTGGCTCCCTTCACCCCAGCTGTGCCCTGCCTGGCTCAAATCCCCCACAGCCCTGGCCACCATGCGTGGCAGAGACCAGGCCTGGGTGAAGGGCTGCCTGAGGCCGGCAGTCAGTGGTACCTTCGCAGCGAAGTGCAGGTGCCTCCAGGCCCTTTCGGCAGACAGCACAGAATTTCCGCTTGTAGAGCCCCCGGGGACCAAAGCAATGGGCCACAGGGACCTGCAGGGCAAAGAAAACCTCAGACCTGGGCTGCCCAGCCCGCACCCTGGCCGAGGGTCTGCCTGCCATGCTCTACGGGTCCAATGCAGGCTGCCCTGCTGGAGCTGCTCCAGAACGGTTCCCCCTCCACAGCTCTGTGGGTACCCTAGCTCTGCTGGGCACTGCCACTCAGGAGGCCCCAGGTGGCCTGGCAGGGCAGGGGCAGGGGAGAGAGTCCTGGAACTTCACACAAGTGGAGCAGGCCAGCCACGTGTCCCTGGGCTGAGTTCAGCATGCTTCCCAGGGACCCACGGGGGCCAAGACCATGTGCTGGCCTACTGCCTCTCAATGGGAGCCCACAGGAGAGGAGAGGGCAGTGTTCACCCTGACGCTTGCCTGATCCTGCTACTAAGTCAAAATATGTGCAGTAAAAGGGAGCTAGTGTGGACATGCCAGAAGGTAGGTGATTTTTATTTTCTTTTTAAATACCTATATTCTCTACATTTTCATCATTCATATATTTAAAATACATACTTGGTTTTTTAAATTTAGTAAAGTAAAAAAACCACACAAGGATGAAGTTAAGAAAACTGCAGCCTCGGGACATCCACTTGCAGGGCCACCCTGGTGGGGGCGGTAGCCTGGGAGTGCAGGGGACACATGACCCCATCCCTGGGGCCGTCTGCACCTGTGCCTGTAACTGGGTGTCCCCCACCATCCCGGGGCAACACCACAGCCAAACGCACCCCGCAGCAGGTGGGCTTCCCGCAAGGGCGTGCACAAGCCCCCTGCACAGCCAGTCCTGCGACCCAGCCCACCCACCGCTGCACCCACGGGCGGGCCCTCCCCAGCACGGCGGGGGACACCACCGGCCTCCTCAACCTGCTGTCACCCACAGAAGGGAGGCCCACGCCCTGCCAAGACCCAGCCAGGCATCTCACTGCACCACTGAGGGCTCCATAGAGGGAAGGCGGTGGCCAAAGCCAGCTCGTTTATGCCTGTCACATCAGCTGCTGTCCATGTGCACTTGTAAGAAACTGCAGAGAGCCTCTGTGCTCTTTGCTCAGCATCTCCCAATGGTGACCTCTGACGAAACTGGTCAGTGTCACGACTGGGCGCTGCAGGGTACCCATCCCTCAGGACCCTTCAAACTGCCTTTTGCAGCCACACCCAGCTCCCTGCCAGCAGCCGCCTGTGCTCCTCGAGCTCCCTCCTTTCGAGACTCCAGCCCTCTGTGTGGCCTTTGAGCGGGACTGGCTCTTCTCAGGACAACTCCTTCCACTTCATCTCTGAGCAGAACTCTGTTCTTAGCTCCCCAGCTGTGGTGTGACTCAGCTGAAGGTCATCCAGGGGTCACCACGGCCTGGATCTGACACATGTGCCCACAGCACTCACCCGCACCAGGCTGGGTGCCACACAGGCACACGCAGTCTTCACATGCCGCAGGCACTTCTCGTGGGACATGAAGTTGCAGACTGTGGGAGAGTTCCGAGTTGGCACTGTCCCCCTGGAGAGCCACCATCCCACTCAGTAGGAGAGGCCCCGGGGCACAGTAAGGTACCAGCATCCCGTGGCAGGGCTCAGGTGCCCATCTCGGTGGGCCACTCTGCCAGAGCTGTCTCCCAGTCCAGTCCTATTGAGCAATGGGGGGCCATTCCTGTCACACCACTGTGGAGCCCTGGTGACATCACTACAGATGCTGCAATCCCCACAGAGGCTACAGCCAGAGACTGGCACTGTGACCATCCTGGAGGATGCTGAGTGGATCCTGTCATCAAGAGGCTGGCCCTGCCCTCCCCAGGCTCTGCTTTGGCCTCATGAGGGAGCCTGGGGCTAAGGCGGGCAGTGGCTTCATGAACTGGTTCAGCCCTGTGCAGGCCCAGAGGCAAGCCAGGACCTCCTTCTCTCAGTCCCAGCTACATAGCCTCCTCAGAGCCCCAGAGCCATGCCAGGCAGGGACAACTGGATGGGTGCTCCAGTAGGCGGGAGCCACCAGGAGGGAAGACAGCCCTGGGCCTCAAAGGCAGTGAGCACTACACCGAGACGGTGGGAGGGGCCCGGGCACTGTCCCCAACCCGGCAGGAAGGCAGGTGAGTGTAAGTAGATTGGAGAGGGGTGGCCTAGAGAAGGAGCAGCAAGCAGCCTGTGCCAGCACATTCAGAGCCAGGACAGGGCCGAGGGCAATAGCCCTGCTGGGCCCCACAGGTGGGTGCAGCAGATGAGACCACACAGGCAGAGGGACACAACTGTGAAGACTGCCTGGACTAAAACTGCCCTTGGGATTCAAGCCACTCACTCACTCGTGCAACAGGCAGCTCCCCAAGAAGGGGACCCCTCAGCCCCACCTGCTGTGGCCCAACCTCCACAATCCTAGCAGAGGAGAGACAAAATCCCTCCGCAGACTGCTTGGGGGAAGCCCAGTGAAGTAGGCTGGGGTGCAAAGAGAGAAGAGCGCACGAGGAGGAGGGTCAGGCATCACTTCAGAGCCCTAGCCAGGGCTCGCTGTACTTGGAAAGCACTGCCCAGCTTCCTCCTCCAGCCTTAGAACCAGCACCCATGGGTGCTCCTGGACACAGACGGACCCCTTCTTCCCACACCCTGGCTAGGCCCTGTCTGCCCAGGTCCTACCCCATGCTCCACAGACGCTGCCTGGGAGAGGCCTATGGTCCTTTCCCAAGCACCAGGCCAGCTCTGCAACACACAAGCTGCCTCGCCCCCAGACTAGCAGAGGGTTCCTGAGCCCGAGATGGGAGGACCCCCTGAAGGGGTCACACCTGCAGTGGACTCAGAGACTACCCTTAGACCGAGTCTCACCTCTGCAAGGATCCTGGGTCTAGCCTTGGAGTTACAGCTCTACCTTCACCCTCTCACCTCCGCAGGGCCTAACCTCAGACCTGGAACTCCACCACTGAGGCCTTTCACCTGCACAGTGGATCCAGTGGTCTAGCCTTCTACCTTCAGCCCGGCCGTTGCCACCTCTGACCTGTGTGCTGCGCCCTGGAGTCTAGCCTCAGACCTGGAGCTGACTTACCCTACAGGCACACACCCTCCCTCTCAGGGTGCCACCTGGGCAGGGCGGTGTTTCTGAACCGGCAGAGAAATCAGAGTGGCCACCCCCGGGTCCAGGAGGCACGTCTGTGTGTAGCATCCCACCCAGGAAGGCCCAGGCAAGCACACACTAGCGTCGAAGGTCCGTGCCCTCCGTGGGCCAGGCTTGCAGGTGAGCGCCCGCCATGGGGAGGGGAGGGAGGGCTGCCCTGGAACCCAGCCAAGCAGGCTGAGAGCCACACCTGGGCGAGGCGGCCTGCGCAGAGCCGCCCGGCGTGGGCACTCGCGCTCTGAGGACGGCGGCCCGGCCCTGCCCTGGCCTGGCCTGGCCTGGCCTGTCCGCACCCTCAGCAGCAGGCCCGGGCCGGGCCGGGCGCGATCGGGCGCGAGGACAGGCTGTCCCCGGCGGCGCACGCTCACCGTCGCACAGGAAGCCGGCCAGCCCCCAGATGAAGTCGGAGCAGAGGTGGCAGAACGTGGGCTTGGTGAGCGTCACCTTCCGGAAGCTGTGGCCCGGCACCGGGGGGCCCGGGACTCTATCGCCTGCCCGCCCCGGCCCCGGCCCCGGCCCCGGCCCCGGCGGCCCCGGTCCCGGGCGCGCTCGGCCTCCGGCGCCCAGCACCGGGCTGCAGACCGGGCTGCCGGGCCGCGGGGAGCCGCCGCCCATCCATGCGCGGGCCCCGGGCTCGGCCGCCGCCGCCATCCCCGGACCAGGGGCCCGAGCCCCTGCGGCGGGCAGGAGGCCGGGTCGGCTCTGAGGACAGCGCCACTGCTCAGCGGCCGCCCGGCTTCCGACTGCGCCGCTCAGTGCGCAGGCGTGGTGGGCAGGGCCGAGCGGAGGGGCGGGACCTGTGGGTGGGCGGGGCCTTCTAAGGGAAGATTGATGGAAGATGGGGCGGGGACAGGCTGCCTGTCTTGGGGCTGTGCTGGAAGCCCAGCAGTGCGCCTTCTGCAGGAGAAACTGGGAGGGGACCTTAGGTTCCCTCTGCACTGGCCCTGCAGCGCATCCTTGGCTAACCTCAAACTGATGGATAAAAGAGCCCGGAAATGCCCTGGTGGTGGAGTCAGAGCCAGGACTGAGTGGCCGGGAAGCTGAGGGCAGAGGGTCCCAGCAGGTGGAACCAGCAGCACAGAGAGCCCTGGCAGGGCGTCTAGGAAAAGTCAGGCACCCTTTCCAAGCTGTCCCTTGGCCCAGCACCCAGAGACAGTCAGCAAGGTGCTCCCGTCCCCTTCTCTGCACTTTTCTGTCCTTGTCTCCTCAGCACCCCTCTGCCTTCACCCTCTGAGCGCCAGGCTCCACCTGGAAGGGCTGTGACCAGGCCACAGTACTCACACTGCACTGACTTCAAGGAAGGGCAGCACCCAAGGACAAGTCAGGAACCAGCAAAGTGCACAGGAGACGTCACAGAAAGGAAGAACACAGCCAGAACTTTCCACTTCCTGATGCAGCATGTTAATTAAAATCGAGTACAAATAAATGGTCCTTCCATCAAACTCTCCCTTAAGCTCCCTAGAACACAGAACTGTAAACTCCTGCCCAACACAGCAGCCACGGGTGGGAACAGTCACCTCTCCTGAGGTGACCAGTGGCACTCTGTGGACCTTCCCTACCCTTCCCTCCCTGAGTCCCTCCCAAAACAGAGGACCTGGCCTGGACACTCTACCCAGCAGGCTTCACTTCTCACAGTGCCAAGGGTGGAGTCAGGTTCTGATGAGGCCCTATTTCCCTTGCTGCTCTCTGAGGAAACATTGTGCCCTCCAAGTTCATACAGAGTCCCCCCACACCTCAAAATGTGACTTCGGTCAGAGACCAGGGCTTACAGAGATAATCTAAACTGAGGTCCTGCAGGGCGTGGTGGTGCATGTCTGTAATCCCAGCACTCCGGAGGCTGAGGGAGGAGGATTGTCATGAATTCAAGGCCAGCCTGGGCTACATAGCAAGACCCTGTCTCAAAAAACTAAAAATAAATAAACAAAAAAATAAAATGAAGTCCTTACAGAGGCCCTCATCCCACAGGACTGCTGACTTTATAAAAGGGGAAACTTTGACACAGGACTCCAACACACATGCAGGGACAACACTGTGTCATGGTGGAAGCTGAGGTGAAGCCCGATGTGCCGACACCAAGGACAGCCAGCACCACTAGGAGCTCCAGCAAGGCCAGGACAGAGCCTCCCTCTTGGCCCGGGAAGGGACCCGCCCTGTGGTACCTTCACCTTAGCTTCCAGCCTCCAGGTCAGAGATGCTACGTCTCTGCAGTTTAAGGCACCCCCTCCGCCCCAAGGAACCAGGGTCTGTGGGACCAGCAGGTGCCGGAGTGGAGCGCAGCCAGGGTGCCACCTAGTGACTGGCTCCTCGAAGCACTGTCCGAGCGCTCAGGTGGATACCAGTGCATCCCTGGCCTGGGCTGTTGTGCTCAACACTGGGCTGATACCTTGACTGTTCATGAGTTTCTGGTTCTTACTGATTTGTAGGTGTTCTTTAGCTATCCTGGAAGTGGCTCTCAGGGCAGTCACATCAACACTCAACGCTCGTCGCTGTGGCAGTTCTGCTCCTCGGAGAACTCATTGACCACTGACACTGAACCTGGGGACATGTAGCTGCTGCTGGGGCCACAGCGGGGTCCCACCAGGCTGGTCAGTTTTGGCCTCTGATTGACATTAACACTAAGCCTTCTGCTTCCATGGAAGGACACCTTGGATGTACACGCACTGCGAACCTGTCCCTTCTGCTCAGGCTGGGAGGGAGCGTCCTTGGCACTTCCCTCTCCTTCGTAAGGCACTGCATACCTGCCTGGTGCTAGGGACATGAGACGACACCCAGCACTGCTCCTGTCACCAAAGGAAGCTCAAAAAGGCAGAAAATGTGCCACTGAAGAGACCTCAGGCTGAGCACTCTGGGAGGCTGCGGCAGGAGGCTCACAAGTTAGAGCCTAGGCTGGGCAACTTAAAGACTTAGTGACCCTGTCTCAAAAACTAAAAAGGAAAAAACAAGCAAAAAGGGCTGGGAATGTCACTCAATTTGAAGGCTCTGGGTTCAATTCTCAGTCCCAAAAATATAAATAAATAAGAAAGAAAGAAACCTCAACAAGGACACCGGTTCACAGCAGGAGCAGACAAGAGGCAGCATGTGACCTTGTTCCACCCCGGAAGGAACCTGCATGCCCCTGCTCTGACCATACCCACGAGCGCCTTTGGAGGATCACACACAGGCGTGGCACGCGGTGAGTCAGGACTGGGGCTGTTATGAAGGAGCCCAGCCTGCCTCAGCAGGGCCGTGCACCCGTCCAACACGGCCTCCTCCACGGCCTCTGCCCTCTGCGGAGGCGGCAGTGGCAAGTGCACCTTTCCCTTGTGCTGAGGGCAGCCGCTCCCGAGTGCTAGGACTGCATGGCTCCCCTCACTCCTGCAGCTCGGAGCCACCCAGCACCGAGCCAGGCCAGGGTGGGCAGGGGTCCAGTCCCCACTTCCACCCCACATCCAGGGACCCGGGCAGGTAACCAGGTCAGCATGCAGAGTCTACCCAGGCCCAGAGGGGCTCCCTTCGAGAAAAAGTGCAGGTTAATTATGATACTTAGATAATTAGTATATATTTATTTAGGATAAGAGAAGAAATCATAACAAATTGTACATTTTAAAAATATTAACAAGCATCAGCCAGAAATTGCTATGGCTTTTATTCTTCACTTCCTGCTACATCAAGACAGTTTTTTATCCACATTTTTCGTTGTCTCATAGCAATGGTGAAATATCATTTTCCAAGGAGAAGAGAGGGAGACCCTTTAGCTCCTCTTGCCCGGCTTACCCCAGTAGCTGCACTTGCCGACCCACCTGGTAGCGGACAGCTTGGACGCCACGCCCTCCCGGGTCCCTCTCCCATGCACCTCAGCAAAGCATCCCATCCTGCTGCTCAGCACGATCCCAGTCCCGTCCCACAGCTGCCGATTCCCTCCTCCTCATTCCCGGAAGCTGTTTCCTACCCTAGGATGTCTGGCCTTCGCCCTACTGAACAGGAAGTGGCCAGGAGGGACCTGCATAGACTCCACCAAGTCCCAGAGGACAGGGCCAGCCTTCACCAGCGCTTCCCAAGAGCCAGGGCAGTGGAGAGGAAGCTGCAGCCTGTGGCTGCTTTGGTCAGCGCTGTGTCAGGACACCCTGGCAAGTTTTGCAGAGCCGTGTGGCCATGTGACCAAGGTCTCCCTGATGTGCCCCACCCTCTGCCTGTCTTCACCTTCACAGGCTTCACTGGGAAGTGTTCAAGGTGCCCCGCAACCTGCTCCCTCTGGTCGTGCTCTGCTCCCAGCCTCCTCCTTCCCTGCAGCAGCCTGCACTTTGCTCTGAAGTGTGTCCCAGGGGTTGTAGCCAGGTACAGCCAGGTGCAGAGTGCGGCCCCAGAGAGATGCACACTCTGGTGTCCCAAATGGGGGGCCCAGCAGAGGTGGGAGTGGGGGCGGCCGGGCAGCTGCAGGGGAGTCTGGGTTGATGGCGTGGGGCACAGGCCAGAGGGCAGACCTTCGCCGCCTCTTCTCAGCCTGATGCGACTCCAGGACAGACGCCCTGATGCTGCAGCCGCCTCTGTCACACTGCTCTCACTGTCGCCTGTCAGGAACACACAGGGCTTGGGGCCTGGGGTAGAGCGTGGAGTTGGTAAAGGAGATGCCTGAGGCTCTCTCTGGTTGGTTTGTGATCTGAACAGGATAAGGCCCCAAAGGCTAGAGCATCCAGAACCAGAAAGTAACAACACAGGGTGAATAAAACCAGAACAGGCTGAGGAAAAGATCTGCCTGCCTAGAGTATAAGCTAAACTATATTTAAGAGGAAAACAAGGTTTTTTGGGGTGGGGGTGGTACAGAACAAGGCCCACCTGGAGGTGGCTGGCAGGCTCAACCCTCCCTTTTCCTCTGATAACCCAAGATGGAAACAAAAACTCCACCTTGGGGGTGTGGAATGGGAGAAAATAAAACTCAGATATAAGGGAGCCAATAAAAGCCCTATTTGAGTAGGCGTGGTGGTGCACAACTGCAATCCCAGCTACTCAGGAGACTGAGGCGGGAGGATCATGAGTTTGAGGACAGCCTTGGCAACTCAGCAAGACCCTGTCTCAAAAATAAAGAAGGGCTGGACTAGGGATTTAGCTCAGCGGCATTGCGCCTGCCTCAAAAGTGCAAGGTCCTGAGTTTGATCTCCGGTACAGAAAAAAATAAAAAATAAAACAAAGAAGGGCTGGGCTATGGCTCAGTGGTAGAACACTTACTTGCCTAGCCTATGCGAGCTGTGGGCTCAATACCCAAAACTGGGGGCCGGGCCGGGGATTTAGCTCAGTGGTTTCGCCGCCTGCTGCACAAGCACAAGGACCCAAGTTTGATCCCCAGTACCAAAAAAAAAAAAAAAAATCAATAACCAAAACTGGGGAATCAGTTTTCCCTGCTCTTTTACCTGGAAAATGAAAGGGCGCCTCATAGTCTCAGTGGATGAGGACGCTGGACACTGGTCCCATCTCACAGGCCCAGAGCCCAGAGGCCGAGGTCACTACGTCCTTGGCAGCAGCAGGTAAGTATTCCCCTCCTGGACCCCAGCACGCCCTGCCACAGCCGGCAGGACAGAGATGACACAGTGCACCACTGCAGGCTGCCCAGGGCCCCTGGAGTGCGTCCCACTTGGTCTGTGTGGGAAGAGCCCACTGAGGAGCAGCATCAACTGTAGCGCAAGACCTGGTGCCCTTGACACCTTCGTGACATACTCTAGATACCCATGTGTGACACCTTGGGTTCTGCTGGCAGCACAATCCTCATTTACCAAATCTCCCAGTCAGTCAACAGGTGTCGTCCTCAGTGTTGCAGACTCCCCGCTGTGCTGGCACCCGACCCAGGAAATTTCCGGGTGGCCTCCTCTGTGGGCCTTCAGCAGGGCCCATGTCCAACACATGCGGTCTGGCTGAAGACAGAGACCCTTGCTGACCCCGGCCTGACCCCCACCACTGCCACGCTCAGGCCTTCCTGGCACAGGGAAGCCAAGACGAGGCCTCTGGATGTCCCACCTGCCTTGACCCAGATCAGAGGCATGGATGCCAGAGGAGCTCCAGGTGCTCGGGGCCCTCGGAGCCCCTTGGGGCCCATGGGTGAGCAGCAGTGGGGCCCCCAGCTACAGGAGGGCACTGACTTCCGCCCCTAGCCAGCCTGGTCCACACAGGACTCAGCCCGGTTCCAGGCAGTTGTCCAGCTCAGGGCGCAGCGGGTCACAGACCCTGTCCCCTCACAGTGGAGACCCCGACTACAAACCCAAAGCTCCCACCCCTGCATCTAGTGGGGGCCACTGTGCAGCACCTTCCTTGGACACTGTGCTCCCCACCTTCAGGACAGTCAGTCGCTGCCAGGCCCAGTGCGACTCCAGGGCAGACGCCCTGACACTTCAGCCCCCTCTCAGTCACACTGCTTGTGCCACCCCTTGTCAGGAACACACAGGGGTGACATTTCTGCCCATGGATAATCCAGGATGCTCTCATGGCAACCCTTAATGGCACTGTGCCTGCAGAGTCCATGCACCCCGGAGGACAGTGGGTGTCATCTTTGGGGCTCCGAGCTCAAGACCCAGGACCTCGCCACTCACGACCCCGTCTGGTGCTGTCACAGCCTGGTCCTGTCACAGCCTGGTCCTCTAGCTGTGGTGTAAGCCCATGAGGCATCACCAAGCTCAGTCTGTTCGGCCATCTGGTAGACTCGCCCGCCTGGTGTATACCATCTTCGGCTTTTCAGCCTGCACCTCTGAGCTTCCATGGAGCCGTTTCCCTCCTGCTCCAAGGACACTTGGAGTTGATGGGGACAAATGTTCTCAGAGTTTGTTTCTCTGCAATGTCTCTATTCAACCTCAATTAAAAAAAAAAATACACATATAACATATTTATTTTTGAAATGAGCCCTTGCCATGTTGCCCGCATTGGCCTGGAGCTCCAGGGCTCAAGGGATCTTTGGGCTCCTCAGCCTCCTTAGTAGCCGGGACAGTCATGTGGCACCGTATCCAGCCTGAAACTATTTTTTTTGCTGAATTTAGACTTTTAGGTTCCTAGCCACGTGTGGTGGCACACACTTTGAGGGGCTGAGCCAGGAAGACTGCAAATTCAACCCCATCTGGGAAACTTAGTGAGACCTTGTCTTAAAATAAAAAATAAAGGGGGCTAGGGATGAAGCTCAGTGGCGGAGGGGCCCTGGAGTTGATCCCAGCATCACACTAAATATACACATATACAAACAAGAATTCTTAGGTTACTAGTGACTTAGTTTGGAGATCGAAAGCCTTCTTTCATTGTCCTCTGTTGGAGATCAGCTTTCATTTTGCTGTGTGGCACTGCAGACACAAGTCTCCCTCTGGCTGTATCGAACATCTCCCTTTGTCTCTGGCCTGGGCTGTTGTGCTCTGAAGTGCTTAAGTTTTCACTTTTGCGGTTTTCCCTCTCGGGCCACAGCACTCTTGGGCCCATGGCTTTCATCACTTTTAGAAAGTTCTCTCTGACCCCTCTCTCCTTCTTCCCTGAGGGTTACTGATACAGTGCCATCCTGTTCACCATCTGTTTTGCTGTTTCTGTCATTTCTGTTTCAGAATGAATTTCCTCCACTGTCTTCCAGTTGTTCAATTCTTTCTCTAGTTAGGTCTAATCTGCAGTACACCAATCTATTCAGTTTTTGCCAGCTTTTCTGTGACAGGATTTAAGTACAATAAACCCGACCTATTTAAAATGTCTAACAACACATTTGCCTAGGTTTTCTTGAAGTTGTTATGCTTTTTCCAATATTTTGGAAAATTTTCAAACTCTCAGGTAGTTACGCTAACAGTACACACTTTCCTCTCCCAGGTCTGTCAATTGCTAACATTTTGTTATATTTGCTTTCATTTCCTTCTTTACATGCAATCCTATGACTGCTTTTTGCTCTGCTTTTCAGAACTATTTGAGTGCAGGCAGAATCAGCTGGCACCTCTGAATGGTTCAGCACCGAGTTCAAGGAGCAGAACATCCACTCACAAGCATGTGCAATCATTAAGTCATTAACAGGTCGCTGGTAGAAACTTGCTGAGCCACACGCAGTAGGCATGCCTGGTGGGGACGTGTGGTTGTCCCCTCTGGTCTTCTGCAGGAACTGCAAATCTTTTCTGGCAGCCTGCTGGGGCTCAGGGCTGGGGTGGTTTAGACTGGACTTCAGTCCCTGGGGGGATAGTCCTGTTTCTAGGGCACCTCTGCTTCTCAGATGTGGCCCTCTGGGGCCCCTAAATGCCAGCCTTCTGTCCCTGGGCCCAGATGCAGCTTTTCAGCCACTGCTTTCATGACTGGAAATCCCTCCAGAGCTGGAGCTCGGTGCCTACACTGGGTCCCCACGACCCCTTCTCACAGGGCCCTGCACACTCCACTTCCCTGGCTGTGCTCTGGAGGGATTGGTCGCTACAATCCCTTTCTGTTGCCGAACTCCCTCTCTTCAGTTTTAACTGGGATTCCTTAGCGTTTTCAGTCCTTCAAAGCTTTTAAGAATTGTTCACCCCAGCACCCTGGGAGCCGTAGGCAGGAGGACTTTAAAGTTTAAACCCAGTCAACTTAGTGAGACTCGTCTCAAAAAATAAAAAGGGATGGGGGTGTAGCTCAGTGCAAAGGCCTTGGGTTCAATCCCTGGTACCACTACAAAAAAGAAAAAAAAAGAATTGTTTAAAACATTCCCCACCCAGTTTGTGGCTACTTATTTGGGTGCCTGCCACTCCTGGGAGGCATTTCCATGCTGCCAGGCTCTGCTGGGCTTTCTCCTTCTGTCTTTCCTTTATTTAGCCTTTAACTTTAAGAAATTTATTTTTCACTAATTTTTATTGCCCTTCTGAATTTCCTCCTTGCTGGTTTGGAATTACACTCTATTTCTCTTCTAACTGGCGAATCATGATGCTGCCTTCAGTTTCAGCACAAGAAGATGCTAAACACCCTCTTATCCTCTCCCTGGAATAAGAACACCAACCCTGCTGCTTCTGGCTCCCTCCTCCCTGCTCACCGCTGCTGCTGTCTAGAGTCCTGGTTCCCTTCCTCTAGCCCACTTCAGCCCACAGTGGTTACTTCAGACATTGCCTTGGTTTCCCACATGAGCACCTGGATGCTCTTCTGGTGAAATGTTCCTTCTTGCCCAAGAACATGTTTCAGAAATCCCCTTGGGCCAGGTGTTGGGGTGCACGCCCGTAATCTCAGCACTTGGGAGGCAGAGGCAGGAGGATCGAGGGAGTTTGAGGCCAGCCTGAACTGTGCAGCAGGACCTTGTCTCAAAAAGCCAGAAGCAAACAAAGAAATCTCCTTGACGCCAACATCCTGGGGCCACCTCGGGATTCTCTCATCCGCACGCGCATGGATTTGAGCCCTGTGTTAGTTGGCTTCTTGCTACTCCAGGAAAAAGCCTGAGGCTGGTGCTGTACACAGGAAGGAGGGTGAGCAGCACCCAGATTTGGAGGCTGTGAGGCAGCACAGCGATGGCTCTGGTGAGGCCCTGGCAGATGACACAGTGCGTGCAGGAGTGAGAGAGTAAGACCCAAAGCCAGGGGAGACCGGGGTCCCCCGGCAGCGCCCAGTGAACTCCCCGTGCACCTGTGAGGTCCAAGGCGGGCACTGCTGCTCGGTGCTCATGCTTCCTGTGCCGTGGCTCGGGACCTCTGAGAGCAGCCCCAGCATCCTGCCTCCCTGTCCCTGTCTTGCCTGGAACTCCTGTCAGGCGCCTGTTGTATTCTCCGGGTCTCTGGACAGGTCTTTTCCTTTGGCGCTTTGCTGCTTCTGCGTGACCTTCAGCCCTGCCTTCCACAGCACCAGGCCCGTCCCCAGTTCTGCACACTCAGCTTCCCTGAGCAATGCAGGGCTCCTTGTTGGTGGCACCTGCAGGTGTGGCCCCAGGCCCGGCTCCTCTCCATCTGTGAACCTGCCCTCCATCCAGCTCCAGCCTGATGACCCAGGCTTAAGCCCAACACTCTGAGGACCTGGTCACGTTGCAGGCTCCAGGGAGGGACTCCTGCCCTGGGGGAGTCGGGCAGGCAAGGCCCCCTCACCCTGCTGTGGAACTTCACTGTTGAGCTTCCAGGTGCTGTGCTCAGTGCACGGGATTCAAATCTTAAAACAATCTTTAAACCTCCCGGGAAGCCAGGCCGGCCCTCGGCTGCCCGTTACCAGGGCCACTTGGCTCCTCGTCCCCTGCTCCTTTCACAACAGCCCACACAGGACAGCACAGCCCGGGGGCTGTCTCCCCCGCAACAACCCATCAAGCCTTCCGAGCCCCCTCAAGTGCAGTCCCCACCTGGCCAGCTCTCCACACGTCCCGCGTGCCCCCGACCGGCCCTGAGGCGCGGCGTACGGAGAGGCCTGTCGGCGCATCCGTCCCGCGCAGGGATCCCTCGCAGAGCCCAGGGCCCGGCGTGGTCCTGACGGGCTCGGCGCTGGGCCGGGAAGCCGAGGTCCGGGCGGGGCCGCGGGAGCCGAAGCCTCGCCCCGCCCGGCGTCACGTGGGCGCCACCGGAGGCGGACCCGGGCGGCGGCTCAGACCCCGCGTTCCTGCCGTGCCCCGCGCCCCCGCCCCGCCGCCGCCATGCGCCCCCCGCAGCCTCGCACCTCGCTCCTCACGCTCCTGGCCGCGCTCCTGGCCGCGCCCGATGCAGCCCGGGCCGAGGTCCCGCACCTGGTGCGTGTGGATGCGGCGCGCGCGCTGCGGCCCCTGCGGCCCTTCTGGAGGAGCACCGGCTTCTGGTGAGCGCCCCGCCCCGGGACTCTGGGCCCCGCCTGCCCTCCAGGCGTCCGGGCGGGGGTCTGTGGGGGTGGGCTGTCTCGGGCTGGACCTGAGGAGGTCGTCTGTGCAGTACATTTTCGAGTTTGCGGACTCGTCTCCGGTTTGTTAGAGCCGAGGGCGGAGTCCCCAGAAGGGAGACCCGGCTACTTCCTGGACGGGGAACTGGCGCGCGCGTCTAGAGCGGAGTCCCCGGAGGGGGCTGCACGCCCCAGGAGGCCCCGCCCACGCCACAGGGGTGGGCACGTGGGGTTTTTCTGTTTTATAAAATAGGTAATTTAAACATTTTTCCGAATTCTTTCAACCCCTCCTTTATTTTAGGATCAGGTTTCTGCTCTTTACTTTCTTAATGTTAAATCAGCGCTTGGACTTAAGGATTTCCTTGTCCTCTTTCCTACCTTGGGGGCGCCTTCATATTGGCTCCAAGCTGTGTCTTGGTGCGGGGTTTCCTCCCCAGGGGCAGCCCTGGGGGGGGGCGCTCTTCCTGGTGGACCAGGAGCCTCCAGGGGAGCCAGGGTGTGGACCTGACCTCTCCCCGAGTACGCAGGGAGCCTCCCCTCTCCAGCACAGTGAGCGTGGTGCCCATCACGGTCCTCTGTTGGGTAGAGCTGACGGACAGCCCCAAGGATGAGACTGCACAACGTTCCTGCCCTGTGGCAGTTTATTGTTCACTGGTACCCCTCTTCGGGCCCTGGTCGGCACCAACGCAGGGCACCCTGTCTGTCCCCAGCCCCCCGCTGCCGCACAACCAGGCCGACCAGTTCGTCCTCAGCTGGGATCAGCAGCTCAACCTCGCCTACGTGGGTGCTGTCCCTCATGGCGGCATTGAGCAGGTGCGGACACACTGGCTTCTGGACCTCGTCACAGCCAGGTGGGTGATGCTGGGTGGGGCTGGCGGTGGAGGCCGGTGCGGGGGGGGGGGGCTCACTTCATGTCGGAGCACCCTGAAGGGGTTGGGGGACGTCCTGGCTGGCGTGCTGAGGACAGCCCTTGACGTCTTCCTGGAGGTCCCCTTGGAGAGCCAGGGTCAGACTGGTGTCCACTGCCCTGGCTTCGTGTGCGCTATGTGGTTGCTGGTCTAGCTGTGCACGAGGAATGCCAAGCCCCGGCTGAGGTTGTGCTGGCCGCGTGACCTTCAGCCCTGGTGCCGGACCCACTGCCTTGGAGCCAGCGCCTGGCCTGCAGGGCCGAGCACCAGGTGTGAGGGGCACTTGGGTGTGGGTGGCTCTAGAGACAGACACTCACGCGCTGTCCCAGGCCCTTCCAGGTGGGGCAGGAGCTGGGCGGGCTGTGGGACAGGGTGTCTCTCTCCACACTTGCAGGATTCTGTTCTAATAATGGTGTCCACCAGGACCTGGCCCTTCCAAGCTCAGGTCAAGGCACGGTGTGGGCACTGGCCCCAGGAAGGCATGGCTGGTCCCAGAGGCAGAGTTCCAGGTCACTGAGCACCAGGTCCTCATGTGTGTTCTGGTGCCGCCCTCCCCATTCCCAGTTGGGGTTCCCTGGCTCCCCAGGGCCAGGGTGCATCTGTGGCATGACTCAGGCCCTGGTGTCACCCCAGGAGCTTGGTGATGGTGACCCTCAGCGGTCTGCCTCAGGCTCCCAGAGTTCAGGCCGTAGCACTGCTACAGGGCAGAGTCGGTGGCCACCAGCTGCCCATAGTGGGCCTGCGCAGCCTCTACAGCACTGTGCACACTGGGGAACAGCTGCTTGTTCTCGGCTTCCTGCTCCTCCCCCAGGAATCCTCCTCTGTGAAGGGTGTCTCTCACTGAGGGGCTGCAACAGGCCAGGAGCAGGCTGACACCCAGAGCCCTGTAGTCTCGGCGCAGGTCCTGCAGCACGGCCATGCCGGCCATGTCCAAGAAGAGCAGGGAGGCGCAGTCAATGACCACCGAGTGGAACCCAGCCACCATGGGCACCAGCCTAGCTTGGCTGCTCCCAGGATCTCTGCCCTCCATGCGATCCCCCTCACCGGCCTCCAGCTCCGAGCCCTGCCCCTTCCTCCTGGCAGCCAAGCGCCCTGCATCCAGCCCCGTGAGGCTGTAGAGTGACTGCAGGAAGAAGGCTTTGTTGGCATAGCAGAGAGGTCCAGAGAAGCGGAATACCCGCACGCCGGCTGGGGGCACCAGGCCCTCGAACTCTGCTGCATCCTCGTAAAAGGCCGAGTCCCCAATGCGGGCGAGCAGGGCAGCCCGTGGGCGCTGTGTGCGCCCTACCAGGCTGAGCAGCGAGAGCAGCAGCCCGGCCAGCAGCCCGGCCTCGACACTGAGAAGCACACAGGTGGCTGCAGTGGCTGCCCAGACCAGCGCATCAGCCGGGCTCAGCCGCCACAGCTGCGGCAGGTCCCTGACCTTGCGCAAGGCACCCCGAAGGCTGGCCACAATGACACACGCCAGCACGCACCTCTGCAGGTCCCGGAATAGTGGTGCCAGTGCCAGCAGCACCAGCAACACCACAGCTGCGCTGACCACACTGGACACCTGCGTCCGGCAGCCAGTGGCTGTCTTCACCAGAGTCTTAGAAAGGGCAGCGCTGGTGACAAAGCAGTGGAAGAAGGCGGGCAGCACGTTGCAGCAGCCCACAGCCAGCAACTCCTGATTGGCACGGACAGAGTAGCTGTGGCTGCGGGCAAACATCTCGGCCAGCGAGATGGAGAAGGCTGAGCCTACCAGGGCCAGGGACACAGCGTCCAGTGCCACGCGCCACATCAGCTCGAGGTCTGGTGCCTGTGGGGGCACAAAGCCCGTGGGGATGTGGCCGGCCACGCTTGAGCCAAAGCGGCTGTGGAGCTGCCCAAAGTGGGACACAAGAGTGGCCACCACGATGACCAGCAGCTCTGTGGGCAGTGGCACCTTCATGCGGTGCCGGCAGCGGTCCGAGAGCTCCCTGGCCGCCAGCAGCACCGATAGGCACACAGCACTGGTGACCACATCGCACACGTTGGCCTGCCCCAGGCCTCGCAGCAGGCTCAACCATGTTCGGACTACCATGCTGAGCCCCTGGTGCTGGGGGACCCGCACCCCCAGCAGGTGCCTGAGCTGCGAGGTCAGGATGGTCACCGAGGCCCCCATAGCAAAGCCGTCCAGCAGTGGCTGCGAGAGGTAGGTGGACATGAAGCCCAGCCGGAAAATGCCCATGAGGACCTGTGGACAGAGCGTATGGATCTCAGGCCACCCCGCAGAAGCCCCATGCCCCACACCACCAGTACCCAGCAAGAGGTGCAGTCACAGCCCAGAGCCTGCCAGTCCATAGATGCCACCATGTGACCCGTGTCCTGCACATGTCTGCACGTGACAATGCCAGCGTTCACTGTGGCAAAGGTGGGTTGCATGTGGGCAGTGGCTGTGGTGCTCATGTCTTACCCATGCAGGGATTTGTCGGGGGCCCTGGGCATTGGAAGGCACTTCCACCCCTGTGCACACTGGAAGGCCACAGGAGGCAGCCCGTCTGGGGCTGCTGGGACAGGAGGCCACGTGGGTCACAGCCCTACTCATCTGTGCTACCTTGCCCATGGTGCTGGCAGGCCCGCTCCTGCTCTGGCTCCACTCCGTCTCACTCCTCCTTCTTGGGGGCCCGGCCTGGGACTGCAGGGCACCTCCTCCTGCACTGACCTGAAGTTCCTCCCAGCTTCCCTGGTGGTGGCTTGTGAGCACCCAAGGGAGGCCAGCCTGCAGTGCACCTGCTCCTCACCTGGTAAATCCCTGTCATCAGCGTGAGGGCAGTGGCCACACGGATGGCGTAGCAATCCCGCCCGCAGTCCTGCAGACCAGGCTCCAACATGGCCACCGAGCTGTTCACGGTGCTGCTGTTGCCATCCCGGGACGGGTCAAAGCCAGCCAGCTGGAGCTCGCGGTCCACCACCTGCCCCACCATGAGGCACAGCAAGCTAAAGATGCCTACAGATACGTGGTGCGAGGTGCCCAGGAGAAAGTAGATGAGGTTGGCAAAGAACGACGTGTAGAGGCTGTAGATGGGCTGCAGCCCGGCCAGCAGGGAGTAGGCAATGGCTTGTGGCACCAGGATGATGCCAATGACCAGCCCAGACATGATGTCACCTGCCAGGTACTCCTGGGGGCGGTACTGACGCAACCAGCGTGTGGCGGGGATCAGGTCCTGCACCAGCCCCCATGCCCGTGGCACGCTGCACCTACAGCTCTGCTGCAGCCTGGCCTTCAGCGTCTCCATCCGGCCTCGGGGTTTGGGTGGCTGCCGGCGGACCAGCACCAACCCCTTACCCTGCTGTGGGGCCTCAGGGGATGATTCCATTCTGTAGTGCCAAGCCCCACGCCAACCTGCAGGGAAAGTGGGCACAGTCAGATCTACATCCACTCAGAGCCCAAGAGCCAGGTTCAGATGAGGTCCCAGGCAGCAGCAGATGCTCTGGCCACCCTTCCTGGCCTCAGGCCCAGGCCTGCCACCCCTTGTGGATGGATGGCAGGTCATGAGTGCTGGCATCCGGTCTCTGGGAAGATGTGGTTACTCGTGCCTCTCGTGGGGGTTTGGGGTGCTGGCCGGGGTCCCAGATGTTCATTCCAGGCTTGGTGCTGGCTGTGGGCTCTGCACCTCCTACCTGAAATCCACCGTGAAATCCAGAAGATGATGCCTGCAGGGCCTCCACCGTACACATAGGGCTCAGACCAGAAAATCCCAGAGACCAACGGTGCAGCTCTGACCCCTTGCCACCCCTTTCCACCTCAGTGCTCCGGTGTGGTGCAGGCCCCCACTGTCCACAGCGTGCCCACAGCAGCGTACTGGTCCCCTTCCCCACCCAAACCGTTGCCCACTCTCCTGTGAACACCCCGGGCTCTGGGCATGGCAGGGTACCTCTCCCCACCCTGTCCAGCCACGTGGGTGTCCCGCCCCAGCTCTGGGCTCACCCTGCCCCAGTCTCCTTGCCCTGCTCAGGACAGAAATGAGAGTGCACCCACCGGGGGCCTGGCCTGGCTGTGGGTGGAGGAGCTACGGTGATGGTATTGGTCTCCCCAGGACACCTCCCCTAAGTGCTAAAGACCCTTTCCAGATGCGCAGTGCGTGTGGCACGGGCATGCCGCTCTGCAGATAGCGGCCCGACCATCCCAGCACCTCTGACCTGGCCTGGCCTGGACAGCTCTGTGGCGCCAGGGAGGCGGTGCTGAGAGGCCACACTGACCACACCAGTGGCCTTGGGTTTGTCCTGCCTCAGGCTCCAAAGTACTTGTTTTTAAAGTTCTCCTCATGGCAACGTTAAGCAAACATTCTCTGTTGCCACAACCCGGGACCCCCACTTAATGCCCGTCCCCACTGGGGCCTGCAGCTTCCTGGAGACAGTAGGCTGGTGGGCCCAGCCCAGTAGGTGGCCCAGTCCTCAGCGTTGTGAGAACATGACCCCTTCCCCAGAGACCCCACCATGAGGGTCCCTGGAACTCTCCCCTGAGGTCAGGGGTATCGAACCGGACCACAGATGTTGCCTGCCTTGTGCTCAAAGAAATGTCAGCCTCCATTTCTGCTCCGCCTCTCGACCCAGGAGCTGCCTCTGCTGTGGCTGGGTTGTCAGGGTGCATGAGTCTTACCTGGGGCCCTCCCAGGCTTGGGACTGTGGATATCAAGGGCCTGGGCCGCCCGCCGGGTGGACCTCTGAGCCCTCTGCTTCTGTTAGGGGTGGGAGAGTGGAGACGGCACGGGTCTGCTGCTGACCTCCTGGAGCTAGCTCTGTATGTGCCAGGCTGTCAGTTCAATTATTTACTCCAAGGACTGCTGAGTCATGGGTTTCCCCCTGATGCCTGGCTATTACCTGAGCGGCTAATCCGACTGGCTAATCCTGCAAGTTGTACTGTAATCAGAGGCTCACAAATAATTATAATTGTAGGGGCCTCTGATAAGCTCCTGGACTACCAGGAGTGGGGCTCTGGCTGCAGGAGAGATGGGCAGGAGAGGAGGGGTGGAGCAGGGTACACCCCGGCCCCCTTCAGCTCCAGGCTTCAAGGCTAAGTGCACAGGTGCCCCCACACCAAGCCGGCGGCGGTGGTGGGATCAGAGCCAGCAGGCCCCAGGCAGCCTTGTCCCCAGAGGCTGTTCCATGTCCTCGAAGGTGGGCACGAGGCAGCCAGTGTGCACACCCACACATGCCCCTGTGCAGCTGTCCTGGGTTCCAGCCCAGCCCCAGGGTGGACCACTAACTAGCCAAGCACCTGGGCCCCATGTACCTCTGCCCTTGCCAGTAGGATAGGACGAACAGCACTGGCCGAGCTCAATGTAGGTGATCCTTCGAATGAGTTAAACCAGCACTGGAGACGCTTAGGGTAGGGGCTGTATGAAAGATGCCAAGGGCAAGGTGTGGTTTTAAAAGTGGCAGTTCAGACCTTCAGCCCCATCTGGAGCTGGATAAATCTCCGGTGCGGTGCTCTAGGGTGGGGGGCTGTGTATCATAGCTCAGCTCCCTTCCAAGGGTGGCTTTGGTCTGAGGGCGCTCCTGTCCTGGAAGGGGTGTCATGGGCGTGTGGTAAGCTCTTCAGTGGGGCTGGAGGTCCAAGCTGGCCTGGTCTGCTGTCCCTGCAGACTCCGATAAGAGGGGCGGTCCAGCATGGGTCTGGGCACAGGAGGCCGCCAGCCCTGCTGCTCCCATCCCAGGGGCCCTGAGAGGGGAATTAGGATCCCCAAGTGTTTTTGCAGAACCTGCTGAGACCCTGGGGCTCCAGGACAGGATGGTCAGAGGAAGAGGGTTGGGCCAAATCCCCAGAGAGAGGGGTCTCATCCAGCACCATGCTGGAACCTCCTCCTGGTGGCCGCCTGCGTTCTGCGTCGCTCCCCACAGCCATGGGTCTGGCCCAGGAAGACGAGGAGCTGCACCGAGGGAGTGGCATGTGGGCCGGTGACCAGAGAGAGTGGGAAGAAGCCTGAGCAGGCCATGGGGCAGGGCTGGGCACCCCAGGGTGAAGCCCCACCTTGTTCCCAGGGCTCCTCGCCAGGTGCCCGCTTCTCCCTCCCCAAGTTAGGAGAGGTGGGGGCCCCGGGATCGCCTCTGCTCCTTGGGGGACGGACTAGGCCTCCTCCCAGCCAGTGTGGGGTGGGGATCGTGTGCCTGGCGGCTGGGAGCTGTGGCTTGCAGGGATCGTGTTGGCGAGTGTGACGGGGTGAGTCAGTGGTTCCCATGGAGCAGATGAGGGGTTCTTCGGTGCCAGTGGACAACCACCAACGGTGATCTGCTGGGTTACCCACAGAAGGGCCTGGGGACAGTCCAGGGACCCCTGGGGCCTTTGGGGGAGGGCAGGGGTGGGAGGATCCTGGGTTCACAGGCAGGCAGGACGTTGGTGCCGGAGAGGTGGGGGTCACCTGGGTGCAGAGACCCCGGGGAGCAGGTCCTGCCCTGCCGGGTGCCCACCTCTGATGAGCACGAGCAGTCGGGCTTCATCCACCCAGTTCAGGGCGAGAATGGCAGACCCCCACAGCCCGCAGCCCTTCGGTTCAGTCCCTGGTCCAGCCCTGTGTGGCCTGCTGATTGCCTTCACTTTGTCTCCGCAGTGACCGTTTACAGTTTGAACACACTGTCTTGGAAAGCAGCGGTGTCCCCTACCGCGGCGGGGATGAGGGGTGGGGAAGAAGGCCCGAGCTCCTGCTCCCAGGCCTGGACCCGGGGCGGGTGGCACTGTCCCAGGGGCAGGACCTGTCGCCTTCCGGGAGCGCGCGCGGCCCAGCTGCTCACCTTGCGCGTTCTCGCCCCCTCCTGTGCATGCGTGGCTCCTCCACCCTGAGCACGTGCGACCCCTTCCTTCTCTCACGCTTTGCACGTGCGGGTCCCTCCCTCACCCCCACCCCGTGCGCGCGTGCCCACTCTCGTCCCCCCTCGCACCCCGGCAGCGTGCTCCCTCCCGCAGCGCACGCGCTCTCACAGGCTAGGCTAGGCCGCAGCGGGTCCCGAGCGCACGCGCGCGCGCGCGCGGGCTCGGGGCTGGGGGCGGGGGCTGGCGCCATGAATGGGTCCTTGTGCGGCTTTCTGAAAAGGCTCTGCCGCGCTCGAGTGGAGGCCTCTCACACCCCTCCCCTGGCCGGGGCAGCGGGGCGGCGCGCAGTGGGGCGAGGGCTGCCTCCACTTGGGGGCCCCAGGCGTGCCCTATGCCCCGCATTGCTGACGCGGAGGCGAGGCCCAGGCTGGGGACACCTCCGACGCGGGGCCCCTGTAGTGCATGGGCGCTGCTCGGGGTCGTGGCCAGGATGGAGAAACCGAGAGCCCGCGCGCGTCGCTACCCCTGGTGGCACCTACGGTTACCCAAGCGTCGGTCACGTTTTATTCATTTGCTGCTGGTTGCGACCTTTGGATGGAGGGTCTGGACACCGCTGGGCAGAGGGGACAGAGGGTCCCGGGAGGAGCCAGTGTTAGGCTTCCCTGGACCTTGTACAGCGAGGAGGGGGGACTTGGGATCTGGGCCTGCTGTGGCCCGGTCAGCACCAGGCTAGCCAGGCTGTGGCATGGTGGCGATGGATTGAAGTGTCCACCACGCTACCCTGCCCTCGTCCCTGCCCCGCCCTCTCCAGAGCCCCATCCACAGCACGGTGTCCTCACTTGCGCTGCTTCGGGTGGCCAGCTCCACACTGCAGAAGAGCCAGCCCTGTCCAGCTGCCAGACACCACATCCACGCCACGGCCCTGGACACCCCAAGCTCACCTTGAATCCCACAGGGGACACTGTCCCTGCCACCTCGTGGCCCCATCTGTTCCAGTCTCTCAGTGCCCTCTGGGGAGCCCACCACAGATCCAGCTGAATTCACAGCTCCAGTGCTGAGTCAGCGCCCATACCCACAAGCCCTGACACCTTGTCTTCCAGATGTGCACCGCCCAACAGCTGCCTTCTGCTCTCGACCCCCATGAGCCCTTCCTACCGCAGGGCCTTTACACGTAGCAGTGCCCCAGACATTCCCGTGCTGCTGTGTCCCACAGGCCTTCCCTCCTAACCTGCTGCCCCTTCAGCCCCATCATAGCCCTCGTGCATCTGGTGTCCTACTCCACATCCAGGTGGCTGTCCGATGACACTTGTGCCTTGGGACCTGGCCCAGGCTGGGACAGCTCATGGTGGGAGGCCCTCCATCTCCCTTTCTGCACTTCCACCCTGCCCCTTGTAGGCCAGGAGAGGGATGAGGGCACCACTAGGCCGAATCTGGGGTCCTGGCCTCCAGGAGCACCACCAGCTTCCCCTGGCTCCTTCCCCAGTGCCCCACTCCAGCTTGGCACTGTCTCCTTTGCACCCCGCCCCACCTAACATGCTGGAAAGGACAGGTGCCCCCCCACCCCAGCATCACAGCCATCGTGAGCCCCTGCCCCAGGCCTTCTCCTGGAAGGCTCAAGTGGGTGTCTGTACAGACGCGTTCATACTAGGCCGTGAGTGGCCGAGAGGCTCCCTGATGCTGGTGTTTCCCAAAGGGAGAAGCCCGTCCAGAAGCTTGGATCCTAGCGTGCAGCGCTGGACAGGCTCCCTCCCTGGCCACAGGTGGCCCCAGCCCCAGCACAGAGTGCCGAGGTGCACTGCTGCATCCTTCTGACCCTGACTGTTCAATAGGGGTGCTGCCGGACAGGGGCTGAGGTACAACTTCACCCAGCTGGACACCTACCTGGACCTCCTCAAGCAGAACCAGCTCCTCCCCGGTGAGCAGCAGCCCTGGCCTGCTCCCCCTCACAGCTCTTCTGGTGGTGGTGTGCCCAGGACAGGGGGTGCCAGGCAGGGTGGTGCTGGGCAGCAGGTGGGCAGTGGGTACTGTCTCTGTGTTGCAGGGTTCGAGCTGATGGGCAGCCCATCTGGACACTTCACAGACTTTGAGGACAAGCAGCAGGTGTTTGAGTGGAAGGACCTGGTCTCCGTCCTGGCCAGGAGATACATTGGTGTGCGGGAGAGGCTGTGGGGGGGCTCTCCCAGCAGACTCCCTGTCCCCCAGGCCACCCCGAGTCTTCTCTGTCATAAACCCGTTGAGCCAGGGCTTCCAAGAGGTGGGGGCCCACTCCAATCAGACACCCAGCCCCGACCCAACCTCCACCCTGTGTGCCCGGCCCTGGGAGGTGGGTGGGCTTGGCCCTCGGCCTTCCTGAGTATGGAGGCCACTCTGCAGGCAGGTATGGGCTGGCACAGGTCTCCAGGTGGAACTTCGAGACATGGAATGAGCCAGACCACCATGACTTTGACAACGTGTCCATGACAGAGCAAGGTGGAAGATGCTTGCTGGGGTCCTGCAGGGCGGCCAGGGTGGGCTGGGGGGAAATGCAGTGCCCGGAGGACACTCCAGACCCTCCTTTCCATCCAGGCTTCCTTAACTATTACGATGCCTGCTCTGAGGGTCTGCGGGTTGCCAGCCCTGAGCTACGACTGGGTGGCCCCGCTGACTCCTTCCGTGAGCCTCCAAAGTCCCCGCTCAGCTGGGGCCTCCTGCGGCACTGCGCCCATGGCACCAACTTCTTCACTGGAGAGCAGGGTGTGCGGCTGGACTTCATCTCCCTGCATAGGAAGGTGTGCTGCCTGCCCCTCGTTCCCTGTCCTCCAGCCCCGGCCCTGTAGTGCTGACCCCTTGCCCCTGCTGCAGGGCTCGGGCAGCTCAATAGCCATCCTAGAACAGGAGGCGGTGGTCCTAGGCCAGATCCAGCAGCTGTTCCCCGAGTTCAAGGACACCCCCATTTACAATGACGAGGCAGACCCACTGGTGGGCTGGTTGCTGCCGCAGCCCTGGAGGGCAGACGTGACCTATGCAGCCCTGGTGGTGAAGGTGGGCCGGGGCCTCCTGTTGTGGGCCAGGGTGGCTGCTAGGCTGGCTGAGGTCCCAGGTGGCCGCCATTTGCAGGTCATTGCACAGCACCAGAACCTGCTGGTCGCCAACGCCAGTACCGCACAGTACAAGCTCCTGAGCAATGACAATGCCTTTCTGAGCTACCACCCGCACCCGTTCTCCCAGCGCACGCTGACCGCGCGCTTCCAAGTCAACAACACGCGGCCGCCGCACGTGCAGCTGCTGCGCAAGCCAGTGCTCACCGCCATGGGGCTGCTGGCGCTGCTGGGTGAGCGGGAAACAGGAACCGCCCGGGCGGCCAAGGTGGCCTGGCCCAGGCCCCGATGCAGGGGCAGGAGGGCAGGACTGGGAGCACATGTTCCCCGCCGCGCGGTTTCTTGGGGTGCGTCTCAAAACCCCGGCCTCCTTTGGAAGAGGCCGGGAAGCACGGGAAGGACGCGGGGTGGCGGGAAGTGCCCCAGGGACAGCCCCTCGGCCTTGCAGACGGAGAACAGCTCTGGGCCGAGGTGTCGCGGGCCGGCGCGGTGCTGGACAGCAACCACACGGTGGGAGTCCTGGCCAGCGCCCACCGCCCCGAGGGCCCTGACGACGCCTGGCGCGCCACGGTGCTGGTCTACGCCAGCGACGACACCCGCGCCCACCCGGACCGCCGCGTCCCGGTGACCGTGCGCCTGCTCGGGGTCCCCGCGGGTCCGGGTGAGCGGGGCGGGCTCTGGGGAGGGATGGGGAGGGCCTGAGTAGGGGGCGGGGCCGGAGAGCCGAGCCACGCGTCCGGCTTCGGCTTCGCAGGGCTCGTCTACACCACCCGCTATCTGGACAACCGGCTCTGCAGCCCCCAGCGCGAGTGGCGCCGAGCTGGCCGCCCGGCCTTCCCCTCGGCGGAGCAGTTCCGGCGCATGCGGGCTGCAGAGGTGCGCGGGCGCGACTGGGGCGCGGGAGCCCGGGGTCCCAGGCGGGCGCCAACCTGGTCTCCTCCGTCGTCCCCAGGACCCGGTGGCCGCCGCGCCGCGCCCCTTCCCCGTCGGCGGCCGGCTGACTCTACGCCCCGAGCTCGCGCTGCCCTCGCTGCTGCTGGTGCATGTGTGCGCGCGCCCTTCGGGGCCGCCAGGCCAGGCAAGTGCCCCCAGGTCACCCAGCTCCCTCCAGGCCGCTCTCCCCCAGGGCGCCCGGCTCACCTGCCCCTCGCCTGCCTCTTGCCCCCAGGTGACCCGGCTCCGTGTGCTGCCCTTGACCCGAGGGCAGCTGGCTCTGGTCTGGTCGGATGAGCGCGTGGGCACCAAGTGCGTGAGTGTAGAGTGACCTCCCCTGGTGCCCGCCTGTCCTCACCCACCTCCGCTGCACCGTAGTTCCTGGCTTGCCCCTTCCCAGGTCTCTCACTCCGGGTGCCTTGTCTGGGGTGTGAGACACCTGCAGAGGATTCTGCAGTTGGGCTTCCCTCTGCTCGTAGCAGGAAGAGTGCCAGGGACACCCCAGTGCCAGGAAGGGGACTGGCGGGAGGAGGTTGTGGCCATCCAGGCCTCCGCGAGCCACCGACTCTGCTGCACCTGACCTCCCCAGGTGCCTGTGGACATACGAGATCCATTTCTCCCCAGATGGCCAGGTGTACAACCTGGTCAGCAGGAAGCCGTCAACGTTCAACCTCTTCATATTCAGCCCAGGTGCACCCACAGCCACAGACCTGGCTTTAGTCCCCTCTGTGCTGGGCCTCCCACGTACCTGGCGGGTGGCCCCAGGGCTTCAGGACGTGGATGGGTTCAAGGGCATGAGCTAAAGGCCACAGGTACCTTGGTGTTGCAGACTCAGCTGCTGTCTCTGGCTCCTACCGTGTTCGAGCCCTGGACTACTGGGCCCGGCCAGGCCCCTTCTCCGACCCTGTGCCGTACCTGGAGGTCCCTGCTGCCTGAGGGCCGCCAGCTCCAGGCTGACTGGCAGGGAGCCTAGATGGGCCTGGCTACCACTGGGTGGTCAGTCAGCTGTTGGCTCCTTCTGTCCCTACCCACTCTGTGTCTCTAAAGTACCTTTCTTTTTTTGAATTCATTGTTTATTGGTATATTTTAGATATGCAATGTGAGGACATTCATCATTGGGAATTTGTACTGTGCATGGTGTATCTTGGTTCTTACTTTTTCCCCCTGCCCTCCCTTCACCCCCTCCATCCTTCCCTATTTACAGAGACTTTGTTTCCATTTTTTTCTTTCCTTACATTTTTTTCCTTTCCCCTACCCCGCCCAGTTCCCCTTCCCATTTAGACCTTTTTTTCCTATTTCACATTATCTGTTATACATTTTGATCCTCATTCATACTTTCCCACCAGAGAAACTATTCGGTATTTACACGTGTGTCCTATTTATTTCACTTAAGAGTATCACTTCAATGCGGATCCATTTAGCTATATATATATTTTTTGGCAGTACCGGGGATGGAACTCAGGACCTTGCACTTTCGAGGCAGGCACAGCATCACTAAGCTAAATCCCTGGCCCAAGTTTCTCATTCTTTATGGCTGAGTAGTACTCCATTTTATATTAAAAAAAAAAAACACCCACATCTTCTTTAGCCAGTCTCCAGCTGATGGGCACTTGGGCTGTTTCCAAGCCTTAGCTCTTACAAACTGTGCCGCTATGAACATGGGTGCACATGTATTGCTGTGGTATGATTCTCTTAATTCTTTTGGGAAGATACCCAGCAGGGGAATAGCTGGGTCAAATGGGACCTCTAATCTTAATTTTTTGAGGTGTCTCCATACTGATTTCCACAGTGGTTGCACCATCTAGAGTACCTTTCTGCTCATCAGCTCCTTGGAGGCTGGGACCAAGGGAAGAAAGGTGCTGGCGAGGACCCTTTCCTGCCTCGTGCTGGTCCACGCCCCCAGCCTGGGGAGGGGACCTGTTGCAGGGGCTGCGGGCACTGCTTGGGAGGTCGCAGCTCAGCAGACTGTGGCCAGCAGAGGAGGCTGGCAGTGCCCGCTGTGTCCGTGTGACCCCTGTGGCCATCCTGGCTGTGTCTGAGCCCATGCCGAGGTGGGGACTCTGGTGACATTTGCAGGGATGCAGGCTGGAGGCAGGAAGCCACGGGCTGGGCACAGCTACTGTCCCCTTCTGGGTGGCCCACTGGGGCCACTTCAGTCCATTTCCCTTCTTGCCAGCAGCGGTGAGGAAACATGTCATGAAGCATTTGGTAAGAAGTGGTTTGGCGGGGCTTTAGCTCAGTGGTGCCGCCGCCTGCCTCAAAAATGCAAGGTCCTGAGTTCAATCCCCAGTACCAAAAAAGAAGAAAAAGAAGTGTTTGGAAGCAGCTTGAGCCTCCTATTCGGAGACACTATGTGTTCCCTCCATGCTGGGTCATGTGGCCAGGGGTGACTTGTATTGGGCCTGCAGTGGGGCTCAGCAGCGAGTCCAGGGCTGCATTTCAGGTGGAGAACTGGCTGTGACAGCAGGAGCCGCCTTTGCCAAGAAGGCAGTGGTTCGCTGGTGCTTCTGCAGCCTGGGTCTGATAGCCGTCCACCCAGTGGACAGCACTGTGCCACAGCCTGGCCTGCCACCCAGTGTTACCTGTCACCCAGGAAGGGCTGAGCCCCAACCCAGAGTCCCTCCAGCTGCGGGCCTCAGGAGGAATGACAGAAAAGGACACCTTGTCTCCCAGCAGTATACCCCTCATCACCTCTGAGTCCTGCACACTTCCTGGGAGGCTCCTGGCTTTCAGGGTTTCTCTCCCACCCTGTGGGAAACATGGCTCCCTTGGGCATATAGGGTGTGTGTTATCTCTTGCTCACTGAGCCCAGTTAGTGTAATCAAGATCCCCTGGCCAGCACTCTGGGAGGCTGAGGCAGAAAGTTACACGTTCAAGCCTAGCCTAGGCAACTTGGAGACCTAGCAGACCCTCAAGAAATAAATTTAAAAGGGGGGCTGGGAGGAGCCAGGTGTGGTGCACACTGTAATCCCAGCACTCGAGGCTGATACAAGAGGCTAAGTGCAGGCTCAAGGCCAGCCAGGGCTACGTAGGGAGTTTAAGGCTGACCTGGACCATGTAACTCGACCTGTCTCAAACAAACAAGGGCCGGGGATGTACGCAGTTTGGTGTGAAGACTCTGGGTTCAATCCCCAGTACTGAAAGGAGGAGAAGAAGAGGGGTGGAGACAGGGAGGGGAGGAGGAGAAGACCCCGCCACATGGTCTTCCGTCTTGGGAGAGTAACAGTGTGCGGATGGCCCTGTCACGTGAAGCCAGGCTGTCTCGGTCCTTCTTGGTGGGAACAGAAAAGGAAGCTTTGGCTCCAGACAGCTTAGGCTGGCTGATTCCCATCCAGGCCCCAGCTACGATGGGTGCTGCCTCGGGTTATGCTATGATGTCCAGCATCCAGCACCGCTCTGCCAGCTGTGCAGGACACGGCCGGGCCCTCCCAGAGCCCCACCTGCACTAGGGACTAGAGAAGGACCTGCAGGGAGTCTGTGGGTGCTCTGAGCAGCGGGCCACAAGGTCTTCAGACAGGAACAGAGCATTTCGAGGAGGAGGCCAAATGCTTCCTCTTCCCACAGACTGAAGCCAGTGGCCTGGGCAGGCCCTTCTCTAGGGGACTCTGGCTCCTCTCTAGGGCTCTGAGCCCACAACACAGCTCAGGCCAGGACCTGGCCAGGAGGCCTGCAGCCCCATGGACCTGCACTTCTGCTGGCTGATTCCAGCAGTGCTCTACTGCTGAGGGTCACTTCTTGGGACCCTGTGTGTCCCCCAAGTGCACATGAGCCTAGGAACACACTGGTGTGAGTGCAGGCTCTGACTCACTCCTGCCTGGCCCTGTCCCAAGACCCTGACTGCCCCAACAGGTCCCCCAGGCCCAGGCAGAACCATTTCCCCCTGGTGCTCCTGGCTGTGCTAGGGGCTGATGTGGGGTAGAGGCGTGGTGGGGTCCAGAGAAGAGGTGGCATCAGCCCTCCAGGCAGCTGCCTCCGTGCTGGTGGGGTAGGGGGTGCCCACCTGCAGCACTGAGTCCCTCCCCATGTCTGCTTGGCAGCATGGGTGCCATGGGGCCCCGCCCTCAACTGCCCCTCCTCTAGGCTGGTCTCCTTTTCAAGGGAGAGGGAGGGGCCTGGGCTTTGCATCCTGCCAGTGCCATGGCAGCCCTGACTTCCCCTGCTTCCACCCACACCTGAGTAACAAGGTGCCATTTTCCCTCTGAGGTTATCCCAGCCCTTCCCTGAGCCACCTGATTCCAGAACCCCAGTTGGAGGTCTGTGTCCAGGGAGGAGGGCTCTCCGGGCTGGAGGCCGGGGCAAAGTGGCTGTTGCCTGACACCAGCCCTGCCTGGCTCCCAGGACCAGTTGGGGCTGTGGGTGGGGTCTAGCCAGGGCAAAGAGGCCTGGGCATGTGCTTGGAGTCTGCAGGTCTCTCCCTCCTGGCCTCCACCTGGACTTGAAGATGCAGGACAGGGCGTGCCCCTCCCAAGTGAGCTCAGGCACTCGGCCCAGGGTCAGCGCCCTCCATGGCCTCTGGTTGAAGCCCCGCAGGTGGGCACAGGACAGGGTCTCCCATGGAGTGCCCCCAGGACCCAAGGCCCCTCCTTACTAAGGCAGAGGCTGGCCTGAGCAACTCTGGGCCAAGCCCTGGAGCCTGCTCATGGTGCTCCATGACCAACAGGGAGGGCCCTTGCTCCTGGGCCTTGGTGACCAGCAGGTGGGACACGATTCCTCCAGGTCAGGTCATGTACCAGGTGCCCACCAGTCCTGTCCCTGCCTGGCTCCAGTAAGCAGCAGAAATGCTCTCAGCCAGCAGTCACACCGGGCATCCCCTCAGGGAGACTCAGGGAGCTGCCCGGTCAGTGCCCAGCCATGTCCTTTCTGGCCTGAGCAGGCATCTGGCTCCAGCTGGGGGGACACATCCACCATGGTAGCGGGATGTTGGGCCCAGAGTGCCTGCCACGTCCTGTGACCAGCTGCCGCGGGACAGGATCCCTCAGCAGTCCCTGAGCCCCGTGGGTCCAGGTGCCCCTCAGAAGGGCTCTGTCTGGTTAGCTGGCTGCAGAGACACAGACCTGGTGACTGCTCAGTTCCAAAGTTAGAGGTCAGGGATCCTCTTGGCAGGGCTCGAGAGAGGGCTCACCTCCCTTTCAGCCACTGGGACCCCTTCCTCTTCTGTGAACACAGCAGCCCCGCCCTGGGTCTCATGCCCTGTCGGACTCCAACAGCCCCGTATGGCACCATGTTGGGGTCAGGCTCCATGGAGGGATTTGGGGACACCTATTCAGCCAAAACGGACTGTGCCTTCTGACCAGGGCTGCTCCCAGCAATGTGACCTGGTCACTCGCAGCACCCGTGCCCCTTGCCATCAGTCTGTCACCGTCCCTCCTCTGGAATGGGGTGCCTGTGTGCTGAGGAAGAGCCCTGTGAGGGCATGGGGGGCATGGGGGGACAGGAGGCCGCGGCCCACGATGAGAGCTGGTGTGTGGGACAGCGGACCGCCTCCCGCAGAGGCCTCTCAGTGTCGCCAACGCCACAGGACAGGTGGGGCCGTGGCAGGTGGATGCTGTGCGCTTTGGCTCCACCTAGACTGCTACTGTGAACAGACACGGAGGCCACTCTCGAGGCCACACGGGCCTCTGAGTTAGGCCAACCGGGGGCTCAGAGGAGCAAAGTGGGTTGGTGCATTTGCCAAACAAAGATCCCAAGGGTCTAGCATTCTCCCAAATGCAGCAGTTTATTGAGCATTTATCACTTTCACAGCAAGACAGAGGGGATCTCACCCAGAGCATAAGCTGGAGCTGGAGGGGCACCAAGGCCCAGGATCTTCCCTTCCACCTGGCCAACACGCGTGAGAACATGGACGGCCCAGTGGGCAGCACTGGAACTCACAGCAATGCAGAGACCGGTAGAGCCAGGAAGCTGGATGGGATTCCAGACAGGCAGCATGACAGTCAAGACAGTTAAGAGCAGTGCCTGGGGCCAGAAGACCAAGCCGAAGAGCAGCCGGATGGTTCCTCTTTAATGCAGTGGCCATGGGAGTTTGGTACAAACAACATGTGCTGATCTTATAGTGGTGTATAAATAATGTGCTAATCCTATGGTGGTAAAGATATATTTTTCTTTATACGTTTCTTGAAAAGGGTCACAAGAT